GCCCCCCTAGATAGCATTGATTTTTCAGAATAGACGGGTGGACTAAGGTCTGTACACTTCCTGTATCTAAAAGAGCAATGGCTGGCTTTCCATTTATTCTAACCTCCATGACTTGTTTCTTACCCTGAAATTGGTCTTCTACAAACCCTGGCCTCGGAACAGTGCAAAAATATGCTGATTTAGCTTTTATCAACGGGCAGTCAGGTTTTATATGACCCTCTTGACCACAAAAATAGCAGACAATAGGTTTTGTTTCTGATTTGGGCTTAGATGAGAATGTTTTCCCCCTTTGTTTCGCTACAGCTGTCATCTGACTTGGACCACCACCCAAACCGAACCCCACAGACTTACCCTGCATTGAGCTGGTCTTATGCTGAAGGTTATATCGGAAGGTTTTTGGTCCCCGCCTTGCAGCTAGGAAGTTTTCAACAAGTTCTGCCGCTTCTTGTGCCGATGCAGGGTTCCTCTCTTTAACCCACACTTTCAGCTCTGGTGACAGAGAACTGTAGAACTGTTCCAGAATGAGGATCTCCCCTATCTCATCTTTTCTTCTCTTCTGAGGCTGCATCCACTTCAGGTAAAGGTCTTTCAAACGATTGTAAAACTCTCGAGGGGTTTCATTCACACGGACCTCAGGCTCTCTAAATCTTTGTCGATACACTTCTTCATTAATCTCATATTTAGTCAAGATGGCTGCTTTTACTTCGTCATAATCACAGGAATCCTCTACAGCCATGGCCACATATGCTGCTCGGGCCCTGCCGGTGAGATGAGGTACCAATCTTATTGCCCAGTCCCTCTCAGGCCACTGGTACGCCGTTGCCAACCTTTCAAAGGTTGTTAGGTATTGTTCAATGTCATCTCCCTCCTCAAACTTTGGAATATCAGATTGAGTCCATGCTTTTTGTACTGGCTCACCTCTAGATTGATGCCGGGGAGTTGGCTCCACATCTGCTTCTGAAGAGGGGCCTGATTGAGCCTCAGCTTCAGTTTCAGTTTTCTGCTGCTTCTCCAGCTCTTCTCTCAAATTGGTCATTTCATCCTGAATCTGGTGCCATCTCTTTTCTTGCTTACATTCCTCTTTGTCCCATCTATCAACAAAGTCACTCTGGAACTGGAGACATCTTTCCAGCATGGCAGCAATGTTGTTCATGTCCACAGATGTTTCATCACTGGAGTGCAAAGTTGACTGACCTGTAGCTCCCTCCTGCTCTGCCTCCTCCACCGGAGCGGCTTCTGCCACTTTGAGGCTTTTCGTCTGCTGCTTTGGACCCATGATTAGCTCTTTTCTGGACCTCAGCGTCGCATCCCACTTCTGACACCAAAATGTAGGGTTGCAATCGAAAAAAATCAAACAAAGTCCAGAAGTTATAGAGCTCTTATTCGTTTTATCTTTTTTTTCCCAAAAACATTTCCATCCAGTTACATCATGACAGGTTCACACACAAGAGGGAGAGAGACTTCTGATCTAACACACCTGCCTTTTAAAGCATTGGCTCTTCCTTGACTAATTAAGGGGTGGAGTCAACACTTACAAGTGAAACAACATTTGTACTACACTATATTCCTAGAAAGAAATTTACATTTCAACTAACAATCTTCAAACTAAAACAAAAACAATCTGGGCCCCAAATTAAATCCAAAAACATCTCCCCTCTCTCTCAAACAATAGATTCTGAGGTTGATTGAAAACACCAGGTCCTTGTCAGCACTGCTCATGGGCGCGCTTCCATGGCAACACCTGACCAGGTGACCTCAAAGAGAAGAAAAATGATTAAAACAAAAACACCAAACAAAGCAAGTTGCTTCCTCCAAACAAAATACAGTTAATAAATAAATCGGAATATAGAAGCACAAAGACATCACCTTTTAGGGAGGGGTAAATCCCTCACAGAACCGTTTTTTATACTTTCATTAAAAACCTGCAAAAGAAAGGGAGCGAGGTCGACCAGAAAGTGTTTGTAAAACTCAGCACTCAGGCCATCGATTCCGGGGGATTTGTTCATTTTGAGACGTGAGATGGCGTCCTCAATCTCTTGTAGAGAGATTGACTCATCACAACATTCCCGTTCACTATCAGAAATTTGACTAACTGATAAATTGATCATCAGGGCATCAGCTGAAACTTGACAGAAGTTAGAGAGATAAAGAGATTCATAGAAGGAACTACAATATCTAGCTATATCATCAAGGTTATCTGTAACAGCATTGTTAATCTTTAGCCTGGTAATAGAGTTATTGATCGAATTATGTTTTTCTAGATTAAAAAAGTAATGAGTGTTTTGTTCTCCTTCTTCTAACCATTTTCTCCGTGATCTAATGAAGGCTCCTTTACTCTTATTAATGTAAAAATGATCTAATTTAATTTGTAAATCAGTTAATTCTTGTAGCTCAAAGTCATTTAAGTTTGAAGGATTTGACTGAGTGAGTTCTAATATTCTTGTAACGATTTTGGTTTCTTCATTTCTATTTGCCTTGGCCTTGTTACTACCAAACTGTCTTAGAAATTTGCCAGATTCAAATTTAAAAAGTTCCCAATTAATGCCATAAAGATTATCTATTTGAGCTTTATGCCAGAAGAATTTTAGTAGATTTTTTATCTTTATAGTAACCTCTTTGTAGTTTAATAAAGAATTATTCAATTTCCAATATGAAGGAGAATAACTGGAATAATTCCCATCTGAGAGTGTTAAAACTATTTCAATAACTTTATGGTCCGTAAGGGGAGTAGGTAAAATATTAACAGTCACAGATTCCTTCTTTACTGAATCTGAGATCAGCCAGAAATCTATCCTAGATTGTCGAGATAAGGATTTATTACTCCAGGTAAAGAAATAATCATATGGATGTTCAGTTCTCCAAATGTCAATTAGATTAAATTTTTCCATAAAAGCTTTAATAGTCGGGCTTGAGGCATTTGGTCTACCAGGAGGCCATTTATCAAGGTTACCATCCAGGACAGTGTTGAAATCACCTCCCATGAGAATTATGGCATTTGGCCACTTTTTTAACCATTCTAAAAGGATCTTTTCAACTATGAGAAACAGCTTATCATTTTCTTTTTTATTATTGTAACCATAAATATTGGCACAAATGAAATGATGGTTTTCATAGAAAAAAAGTTGAAAAATAAAGTGACCCAGCGAATCACATTCAGTAGAAATAATATTCCCATTAAATCTATGTTTTAAAGTCATAACTCCTGCAGAGCGCTCAGTCCCATGAGAGAACCAGACAGAATTACCCCACTGGGACTTCCAAAAAGTAACATCATCAACTGTAGAGTGACATTCTTGAAAAAAACAAAAATCAGATTTAAAATTTTTGGCAAACAAGAACAACGCTTTTCTTTTTAACATATTGCGCAACCCCCTGGCATTAAGAGAAATAAGTGAAAGAGACAACATATAAACAACAGGAAAAGTAACTTAATGAATGAAGGTAGTTATAGATGACATGGACACCGTGGGTCAGCACATTATTAAAGCTTCAGATCTCAGTTTGCAACCTAGGGTAAAGTTCTGAAGTAGTGGACCCATTAAGGAGAATAGACCTGCGATCATTCTAGCAGTGGAGTAAACACTGTGGGTATCTCCACACCGTTGATAAAACCACGACCCCCTATGAAGTAGGCAGATTTTCCTTCTTCACGAGCCTTCTGGATGCGAGGCCAGAGATTCTGCCGAGATTCACGGTCTTCTTTGCAAAGGTCTTCGGTAAAGCGGAGACCATTTTTCTTCAGGAAGTCATTTCCTTTAGCTGCTTTCCATATGTAGTCACGAAATCTCCTCGCAATGAAGCGAATGATGATAGACCGAGGGCGGGGGATTCCAGCGACCTTCCTACCGACTCGATGAGCGACATCAATGAAGAACTGAAGCCTTTCTTTTTCCTTCGGAAGAATCTCCTGGCAAACCCGCAACACCTCCTCCAACACGTCCTCCTTCTCCGACTCAGCGACTCCATGAAGCCTGAGGTTCCAGCGGCGACCATAGCGCTCCATCTCCGTGACACGGATTAAGCAGGAAGTTGTATCTTTTTCATTGCGCTCGACACGTTTTTCAACTGAGTTAACTTTTATTTTGATATCTTTAATTTCTTCTAGCATACTACCCAGCTTTGTTTCTAAAGCATCACTTCTTGTATTGATCAGGTTAGCAAGCATAGCAAAAGCATCATCAGGATTTGAGTTGCTATTTGTTCGTTGAATATCTGAAAAGGGCTTCTTGGCAACAGGAGGCTTACTTGGAGTCACCGGGAGCGGCGGGAAATCCTCTTCGTTAGTTAGCGGTTGGGGAGCCGGACCGACATAGTCGTGTTCCATTTCAGCATTGCCAGAGCAGGATTTTTCCATTTTGTTGTGGTCACTGGCTCTCTTTTGGGCTGTTTTAGGCATCTTCCCGTCAGTAAAGTAGATTTTAAAAAGTACTTATACTCAGGAAAATTGCAATAAGAGTTCTTGTACTGAGAGCACGGCACAGGACGTCTTACGCTACCGCCATCTTCTTCTCATCGGGTTTGGTTTTTACATTTAGTTAAACAAGAACATGTTGACGTGGGTCATGATCTGACTTTGGTACCACTGTGTCTTTTATGGCAAGCCGTGTTAACATAAAATCAGCTTCACCACACTTATATTCCAGACATCTGAAATCACTTTATTACTAAATATTATTAGTTAATTATAAAGGTATTTCTTATATTGAGTCCCAGTTCAAGATATCAGCAATAAAATATTTACTATTTCAAACATATATTTCCACCATGTTGATAATAATGAGGTGAACATGAGGAAGCTCTAAAATAATTTATATACTTGGATATTTTGCATATATTTGATGATCACCTCTAGTTGTTTCCCCATGTGAGTTTTGTATTTTTACATAATCCTCATTTTTTCATTTGTTGTATTTTTGCCACTTGCTCAATAACATTTCATGGGAAATAAGAATGAGGGGTTAACAGAACAGCTGCATAAATAACCTTCACACACTTCAAAATAAGAGCATGGACATAAGCATTTAATTATTCTTAACACTAAAAAACCAAAACTTTGACACAGATGTCAAATTTTATTATAACTGAACGTTTACAAAACAGAAAAGTCAATTTGTGCTTTAAAATTAATCTGGAAAAATGTACTTAAGGGAAGCTAAATGCACTGAACATTTTCAAAGTTAGTTAAAAAATTTGCTCTGCTACTAGCATTGTAGTGGAAGTGTGCAAACTAATACATTTTCAAGATGGTAGATATCCTCTTACTCTTGTCTAAAGGCATCAACAAGAAAACAAAACAATCCTGGGATTCCAGCTCCAGATCTCCAGTATTAAATTATCACATTATATTTCTACTCATAAAGATGGAAAAAGCTGAACAAAAGAGAAGCAACTCATTTTAAGTGTCTGAGGAGCTTTTACTCCATGTTTACTGGACTGATGATCAGGGGCATTTCGTTTTTTCCTGATTTGTTGGTGCAGGGGCTGAAGAAGGGGAAGAGGTTTTCAGTGAAGATGTCGTGGAAAGAGTAAATGTGGACTTTGGAATCGACGTTGTAAAAAGATACCTGTGGGAAGAAGAAAAGAACAAGGACAGTTTACTAACTTAATAAGGTTTCACATCCAGCCATTAATCGTTAGATTGATGAGTTTCTGAAAGTAAAACAAGGTTTTGTTTTCACCTCTCCTTTCTCATAGTCCACAAATATTCCAATCTTATGAGGTCGAAGTTTCATCTCCACGTTTGTGCACGGCTCAGAGCGAAAGGCGTAATTGTGTCTGAGAGAAAAGAAGAAAACAATTAAATTTCTAATGACTGCCTGTAGAGCCATGATGGGAAGAGTGGACACACAGCCAGACACAGGGATTTAACGTGAGGAGGTTTCTGTTATAATGTGAAAATAAAGTCATAATGTTACCAGAATAAAGTTGTCACATGGCAAGAAAAACGTTGTAATATTACTAAAATAAAAAACAACAGCATAGAATAAAATAAAGTTGTAATATTAGTAAAATAAAGTAGTAATTAGTTAAGAAAAACATGACAGAAGTCTGATGGTCTCTGATTGATTAGAGAGTGAAGTCAGAGGTCACATTACAATAGTTTCTCTCTTACAATAATCCAATTCACCATTTGCAAAAACTCACAGCAGTCACTGAGTCTGACCAAAAGCAAAAGACTAATCAGAAATTTACAACATGGCTTCCATGTCCTCCATTACTAATGAAGGACGTTGTGTTTGGGTCACATACAGATCACATTGTACTGACACTGGCATCGTCTACTAGAGCTCTGACTCAGTGGTAATAATAAACCATCCGCACTGTGTAGAGCAGAACTGAGCCAATTCAAACTGCCCTGCTAGTTGCTTTTGGTAAAGGGCTGTAAGTCAGACTGATAATCCACTAGTTTCAATTTGTAGATGTAAATATACAGACCAAAAATATGGATGTTTGATGTTGGGTATTCTGACCACTAGGAACCTCTGAGATCTTCACTCTGGAGGAATCATAAAGACTTTATCACACTCCAGCTCTCCACACAAAACAGGCAAAAATAAACAAGTTATTTGTAGATCTTGACAAATAATAGAATTAATCCTAAGAATCAACTTCAACAGATTATACTTATACTTTTTTTACATTTGTTTTGACAGTGAAAACAGAGAAAAAGCTTTAGCCTCATCTGACCGGAACATCTTCTTCTACAATTTCTCTTTCTATCTTCTCATCACTCTCAGCATCTCACATTCCTACCCTTAGAAATCCTAACCTGCTCACCTTTCCCATCTCTCTCTCTCTACTTCACCAACCTGTACAAATTATTATCTCCCTCCTTATTGTCCAACCAGCATATAGGTCATTATTGGCCCTTTGTTTGGGCTTTCCACCACTATTTTCACAATACATAATATCTCCTGGTACTCCTGTAAACACTCCTACTTCCTCTTTCCTAAATTCTTTATTTCCATTTGCTTCTGCAAATTATGCACTTGTGTGGGAACACGTTCTGCAAACTGTTGATAATTATGATTTATAACTTATAATTAACAGAAGTTGCTAATTGTTTTACTCAGATAAGTACTGGCCAAACAACATCCAGTCAGTCGGTGATGTTTTCTGAATGTCAACCTGAAGCAGAGTTACAAAACAAGTTCAGGTTCCTCCCAGTTCAACACCTGGGAGGAACCTGAACTTACAGCTCGTCTCTGTTTACAATGATCTTTAGGCCTTTGTGAAAGGAGCGGCCACATTCCTGGTATTTCCACCTATGGTTTTAGTTTTGTTTAGCCTCAAAATATCTAAGAAGTTTGTGGAAAGAATAAAAATATTCCATAATACTACAGATAGGGAAATATTAAGTAATTATACTACAAACAAGATTAAAGAAATAGACTTGAAGAGACCTGGAATAGTTATAAATTGTAAACCAAGTTGATGCTTGTATTTCCACAAACTGGTTTTTCTCTCTCCAGTCTGTGTGATTATTATTATTCTGCATAAAGTAGCCAAGATAAAACCAGAACTGACTTTAGTTCCCTCTTTGGTTTAATGTCTATAATACAAGTAAAGATAATTATAAGAAATAAACCTGTAAATAACAAGTTAAGCATCAAAGAGACTATTATTTTACCTTAAATCTTTCTGCTTCACAGCAAAATGAAATATGAAAGCGTTTGATAAACAAATATGAGGAAATGCTTCGTCTCTGGGGAGGGACAGAACCAACCTCATCACAGGTTGTTGTTGCCGCTACACCCCCTCCCCCCCCCTGCCCCTCCTTCACTCTCTACTCTCTCAGTCACTACTTCCTCTTCTGAGAGGGAAGATGTGCTACCAGCTCTCCATCTAACGGGTAAATTGAGTTTCCTAAATCTGCTGGGATTTACCCTGTCCAGAAGTAAACTCTGTTTAAGCTGGTTTCAAGACTTGATTCGCCTGACTACTAACGGCCTCCATCCAGATGTCCCACCCTTCTTCCCCCTGTGAATTAGCCAGACTGAGCAGCCTACAGCCAACTAGTTCCACAGAGCACATCTGTTAACGGTCGATGAAGAAGGTGTTGCAGCAGGAGGAAGGAGGTTGATTGATGAAGGCAGGGATCTCTGTTGGTCTGATGAACTTTCATCTCTGCATCGATGATAAGGTCACACAGCACTTAGGTCTTTATTTTTGTCTTGATCTTCATCTTTGCTTTGGTCTTCATCTTTTCCTTTATCTTTGTCTTTGGGGTCTGAACCCAGCCGATGAGAGAAGTCCGATTTGAAGCCACATGTTGCGGGGCTGATGGGTTGGTCCCCGTGCGCAGGACAGTCTTCGTCCCTGTGGCCCCGGCTCTTCTTCAGCTGCAGAGTTCTTTGTCCATCTCGGTCTTGACTCGAAGCTGCCTGGAGAATCCAACCAAACATTCCTCTTTTGCTCTCCCCTTATATAGGGTTTATACCCGCTTTCGGTGCATTTTCATTGGCTAACACTGTAGCTGTGCTTTATTGGGTAGCTGTTTGGACAGATGAACTCATATCCATCACTGTCTTAGAGACATTTTGTCCTGAGGTCTTGGCTAATGTCTCAGGGTTGCTCAACGTTCCTCCTGTGTCTCTTACACGTTTAAGTTGTTCAACAAGCTATCTCCTAATAAGGTCTTGGTCGTCTGCTTTCCTGTTAGTCCCCATTTGACCCCTAACCTCTCACCTACTATCTACCTCCAACACATCATCAGTGATCTTTAATAGCAGTTACATGTTTTACACCATTTCAAGTTCAATGTTAAAATCACATTCATAAACCTTTTAGTTTCTTTAATTTAGCATTAATTTATAATTTTATGATAACCACAACTTATTACTCTTTTATTATTTGATACCAAAGTTAGTTACTTGTTTTACTTGTACATTTTTCCACAAGTGTAAGTAAGTATTGTTATAAGTAAACCAATATTAATATAAGTACTTTACTTTAAATCTTATCTAATTACTCACAATGTTTAGATTTTATCCTTTGAAACTTTTATGCTTTTAAATAAGGACTGGTCTCAGCTATTTTTATACAGCTGCAAGCTGGAAACTTACTTCCTCTTTTTTCAGGAAACCTGCTCTTCCTGTCTCATCTCTCTCTCTGACTATGATTTCTTGTGATTAGATATAAAAATGAAGTATAATGAAAGCTAAGTTTGCAGGAGACAAAAACAACACACACAACCAGGTTTATTTTATTGCAGTCTGGGTCTACTGTTGGATCTAGATGTGATTGATGTGACTTACTTTAAAGGTAATTTTATTTGTTGTTACTGTTAACTAAAATCTCCAGCATGGGGAAGTGGGATGATCTCGGATTTTTCTTGACAAGGTGGATCGTCACCTGTGAGGGAGGGAGGAGTTTAACTGCTGCTCATTGCTTCAAGCTGTCAGTTCAAACCTTAGAAGAAATTTTATCTAGTCAGAAACTACAGTCAAAGATATCTATTAATTTAGTTTTCCCTGCCACTATTTGCTTTTACAATATCTGTAGTTGGATTTGCACAATTTGATTCCTTTATAAGTTACTTCATGTCTAAAAATACATTTTATACATCTTGACTACTTATCATGTAATTTAAGATATATTTAATTGGAACTGTTACTAGACATAACAAAAGAGCAAGATGACTAGTCATAATTAAATTATATTTGAAATATTGAGATGGCCAGGAATTTATGGCATTAATCTAGAATTGGAGCCTCCAAACATCTTAATAGTAAACCTTATTCAACTCAATAATACCTGATTGGTCCTGTTGTGTTTTGTTCTTCATATTTACAATGAACCACACATCCGTTTGTCAGGTAGCTCTATTCTCTTTATTTATTGCTAACTCACAGGTCCAACTCCTTCAGTGCTGCCAACATCTCATTCTGACTCCCTTCCCACCCAACTCTGCAGAACAACATGCACAATAATAATACTAGACAGAAAGTGAAAGTAACAGGATGCAGAACTGGCGGGTGTGGATTTCAAAACAAATTAGACAGCACAAACACAACACAAAAACTCAAAGACATGTTAAAATGAGAATATACAGTCATATGAAAAGGTTTGGCCATTAATGTTTATTATTTTTATTTCTAAATATTTGGGTGTTTGCAACAGCTATCTCAGTTTGATATATCTAATAACTGATGTACACAGTTATATTTCAGTACTGAAATGAGGTTTATTGTACTAATAGAAAATGGGCAATATGCATAAATACAAAATTTGACAGGTGCAATAATTTGGGTACCCTTATCATTTAATTGATTTGAATACTCCTAACTACTTTTCACTGACTTCCTGAAACACAAAGTTGGTTTGGCAACCTCATTAAGCTTTGAACTTCATAGCCAGGTGTATCCAAACATGAGAAAAGGTATTTAAGGTGGCCGATTGCAAGTTGTTCTCCAGTCTGGATCTCCTATGAAGAGTGGCATCATGGGCACATAAAAACAACTCTCACATGATCTAAAAACAAAGATTGTTCACCACAGTTGTTTAGGGAAGGATACAAAAAGTTATCTCAGAGATTTAAACTGTCAGTTTCCACTGTGAGGAACATAGTAAGGAAATTGAAGACCACAGGGACAGTACATGTTAAACCCAGAAGTGGCAGGCCAAGAAAAATATCAGAGAGGCAGAGAAGAAGAATGGTGAGAACTGTGAAGGACAACCCACAGACCACCTCCAAAGACCTGCAGCATCATCTTGCTGCAGATGGTGTCACTGTGCATTGTTCAACAACTTTGCACAAAGAGAAGCTGTATGGGAGAGTGATGCGACCGAAGCCTTTTCTGCAAGCACGCCACAAACGGAGTCGCTTGAGGTCTGCAAAAGCACATTTGGACAAGCCAGCTTCATTTTGGAATAAGGTCCTGTGGACTGATGAAACAAAGATTGAGTTGTTTGGTCATAAAAAAAGGCAAAAAAAAACACGTTCCAAGAAAAACACTTGCTACCCACTGTGAAGTTTGGTGGAGGTTCCATCATGCTTTGGGCCTGTGTGGCCAATGCTGGTACTGGGAATATTGTTAAAGTTGAGGGTCGCATGGATTCCACTCAATATCAACAGATTCTTGAGACTAATGTTCAAGAATCAGTTATGAAGTTGAAGCTACGCCGTTGATGGATATTTCAGCAAGACAATGATCCAGAACACCGCTCCAATCTACTCAGGCATTCATGCAGAGGAACAATTACAATGTTCTGGAATGGCCATCCCAATCCCCAGACCTGAATATTATTGAACATCTGTGGGATGAATTGAAGCGGGCTGTCCATGCTCGGCGACCGTCAAACTTAACTGAACTGGAATTGTTTTGCAAAGAAGAATGGTCAAAAATACCTTCATCCAGGATCCAGGATCTCATTAGAAGCTACAGAAAGCGACTAGAGGCTGTTATTGTTGCAAAAGGAGGATCTACTAAATATTAATGTCGCTTTTCTGGTGAGGTGCCCATATTTTTGCACCTGTCAAATTTTGTGTTTATGTGTACTGCACATTTTCTTTTAGTCCAATAAACCTCATTTCAATATTGAAATGTTACTGTGTCCATAAGTTATTGGTTATATCAAACTGAAATTGTTATTGCAAACATCCAAATATTTATTGATAAAAATAATTTAGATTAATAGGGGTGCCCAAACTTTTTTATATGACTGTATCCTAACAGATTCCAAAGGGAAATTAAATGCAACTCATTAATTCAAGATTCTTCAAAAAGGTGCTATAAATGTTGATGACTTTGGGCAGAAAATATCTTGTGTCGCAGTCTGTTAGTGAGTTTGAATCTGAAATGTGTTCAAGTTGCTAGTATTGAAATGCTGCCCTCTGGTGGACACATAACATCCCCAAGTTTTAACAGCAATACAACCTGCATTGAAAACTATGAGTGCTGCCCTGTTGAAGCATCTTTCAGTGGTATCCCTAGTCCAACCTAATGGAGCTCCAATTCCTCATTGACTACTGTCCTTTATTTAGGAGATAAACAGGTGTCTTCTATGTGATATTTCTCCCATCTCATGCTACCCTGGTCAAGTGCCCACATCAACAATTACTACAGCAGACAAAGATCACTACATTAAATCCAAGAAACAGTTTGTAAAATGATTTAATTTATTCAAGGATAAAGTAAAGTAAGAAAAGGTAAACTAATAAATAACATACAGAGTTGAAGCCAAAATGAAAACTATACATTTCCAACTGTTAGGATGAGTTGATGTGTTGAACCAAATGCAGCAGGCAGAAGATGAAGGTGAGATTCAAAAGTTAATGAAAAAAAATGAAAATGCAAACGTACTAAATACAAAGTCAAAGAAATAAAAAAATAAATCGAAAACAGAAACACAAGGGAACCAGGAAGGAGGAGACAAGGTGAGATGATTTGCTGGACCAGCAGGTTGTAACTGAAGAATAAGGAGCTTAAATATTAGGAGGTTGATAGTGGGAACAATGGATCAGGGCTGATAAGCTAACAGATTGCAGGTGTGAGTAGTTGGAGCTGGAACCAGGCTGAGGAGGGGAAAGAGAAAGTGTCACAGGAAAGTGAAGAAGAGAATACAAGGGAATAGAAAATAGTTCTAACACTAAGGAACAACTTGGATTAAAGAAACATGATAAACTAGAGCATCAGAAAAATAACTTAGAAGCAAGAAAAACATAAAAACAATCACTGAGGAGAACAGAAGAGAAAAACAGAGCAAACTAAAGTAGAAAAGTTAAAGGAACAACAATAATGACTAAATCTACAATCTAATTTAAACGCCCCCAGATCCTGACACCAACCTTAAAGGGGCAGGATATAAAATAATGAACATCATATTGTGCAAATATAAATAAGATGTCACTCTATTTTATATCATTTACACTACCATTCAAAAGTTTGGGGTCACCCCATTCAGTACTGTAGCTTCTGTGAGGAGCTAAACTCTTTTCAGATGTGTGAACATGGTTACACAAGGGTTTTCTAAACATCAATTAGCCTTCTGAGCCAATGAGCAATCACATTTTACCATTAGAACACTGGAGTGATAGTTGCTGGAAATGGGCCTCTATACACCGATGTAGATATTGCACCAAAAACCCAACATTTTTAGCTAGAATAGTCATTTACCACATTAGCAATGTATAGAGTGTATTTCTTTAAAGTTAGGACTGGTTTAGAGTTATTTTCATTGAAAAGTACAGTGCTTTTAGTGACTTTCCAATGTGACCCCAAACTTTTGAACGGTAGTATATGTGTACGACTTATAGCATATTAGTGAAGATGTATATTTCCAAGTATTTATTCTTCTTATTGATAATTTGTTAAGCACAAGAAAACAATCAATGCATAGAATCATTACCACAACATTAGAATATATTGTAGTTTAAATTGCAGTTTAAAGTGCAAGTAGATTACATTACATTGTCTTCAGGCACTAATAGCAACCAGGAAATCTACATCTTAACCAGTTTTCACAAACTTAGAGAAGAAAAAATGTACATCAGAGAAATGCATATTACAGAGATTATTGACATTAAACTGAGAGGTTTTGGATAAAATCTTACATCCAGTCTTAGATTCATTACTTTTAATGATCTGGTCATAGATTCTTTATTCTCACATTCTCATAACTAATTATTGATGCTTTTCCCCACTGCACTCTGTGCATCTCAGCATTCCTTCCCTAGAGTGGCTGCAAGGTGTAGTAAATGATGCTGCCAGGCTTCTGACAATCCTATAGGTTTTCATACGTGACTCCAATATTGATGCAGTGACATTGACTTCAGTTTTTCTTTTTTTTCCACAGTAAAATAAAATAAAATTATTTTATTGACTTAAGGAGTTTTCACAGACAGGCACCATTGAATATGAAAAGGCCACATGTCCTGTCATCAGGACCTGCTGATGACTTTTTATTTTATGATTAATTGAAAACAAAGGGAGACAGAATCGTTAGTTCAGTGGTTCTTAGACTCAAGAATTCTCCTTTGTTTGGACTTAAGATCGATGGACTATGTTGTTTCTTTTAAAAAACTGTTTTATTAATGTGACTTTTTATTGTTTTTTTCCTGTTTTTATTGCATTGATAGTCTTGAAATGTATTAGTTTTGAAAAGAACATAGGACTAAAATGAGCACCAGCACGCTCCTGAATAATTCCTGATCCCAAATCCAGGATAAAGTGTTTCAGTGAATTTGGTGTTGAAGGTGTAGATGTGGATCAGTGCATCTGAAGAGACTCTGTAGAAGGACAGAGTCCCAGCAGGACAGTCCACATATACGGCCACTCTGTCAGAGACAAAGGAGGGAGAGGAGAAGGAGGGAACAGGGATGAAAGCTTTTTTTTCACTATCATGCCAAACAGTGTAACCATCATTAGAGCAGATTAGACACCAGGACTTATCATTCAATCCAAACCAGGAATCATCATTGAGTCCTTTTCTATTGATTTCCCTGTAACTCACTGACATGTAGACTTTCCCACTCCACTCAACCTCCCAGTAACAGCGACCAGTCAGACCATCAGTACACAACAGCTGATGGAGATCAAATCTGTCTGGATGATCAGGATATGGCTGCTCCTCTGCCACACGTGTCACTTTCCTCTTGTCAGACAATCTGAGGAATCTGCTTACAGTGTTCAGGTCGACTGTTAGTGGACGGGAATCTGATGGACAGAACAAACACAATGCAGTTACTGATATATACTTTTCTGAATTCACTGTCACAAACGTGAACATCCATAAATGGGACAATCTGCTATGAATCAAAAATGCACTTACATTTCTTCAGACCTGATGTCATCCATCTTTCTCCTGCAGGCTCCATGCTGTAAGAAAGGAGGTTTTTTGATGGTATTTATCATAACGGGTGTCCCTATTATGTAAATAGGGACACCCATATTGATACCTCATTGAGTTTTCTAAGTCCATCTGTGGCTACATATCTGTCACTATGTATTGACAGTTTATTTGCTCCTCCTCAGTTTTTGTGTCATTGTTCTCATTCTGCCCCATACAATACATCCATAAAATAGTCTGGGAATAAAGTCCCAACAAAGTAACATTTGTCAAGAGCATTTTTAAAAAATTTTTAGATCAAACAAATTTATGTATTAGACTAGACCTAATTGAGAGTGCGTAGATTTGTACTTTTAATTCATATTAGTTATGGGTTAGGGCAAGACAAGGCAACTTTATTTATATAGCACCTTTCAGTCAAAGACAACTCAAAGTGCTTGTACAAGAAAAATAAGGAATACATACTGTTAGAAATAAATAAATAAATAAATAAAATAAAGAAAATATAGACAAAGTAAACATTAAAATTGTAATTATAGTAAATGAGTGGGATTAAAAATTTAAGAATAGACAACTTCAAATAAGAAGGTTTTTAACCTTGTTTTAAATGAACTCAAGGTAGGCGCAGACTTACAATGAGCAGAAAGTTTATTCCATAGTGTTGGAGCATAAAAACTAAAGGCTGCTTCTCCGTGTTTACTTCTGACTCTCGGTATAGTTAATAGGTTTGAGTCTGATGATCTTAATGTTCTGAGTGGTACATAGGGTTGCAGAAGAGCGGAAATGTAGTTTGGATTTCTATTATGAAGTGCTTTATAAACTATTAAGGAAATTTTAAAGTCAATTCTTTGAGCAACAGGCAGCCTGTGCAGAGATCTGAGAACTGGACTGATGTGCTGATCTCTTTTTGTGTTTGTAAGGACTCTTGCGGCAGCATTCTGAAGGAGCTGGAGCTGTCTTAATGCTTTTTTTGTAATCCAGTTAAAATGGCATTGCAATAATCAAGTCTGCTAAAAACAAAGGCATGAAAAGTCTCTCAGAATCCTGTACGGACATGAGTCGTCTCATTTTAGCAATAAGCCATTGTGTTCCCCCCTCCCTCTCTGCTCCTCCAAGCATTCACAGGATTCAATGGATACCAATGAAGAAATGTCTTCCGGACCAGAGTTTCTTAAATTTACAGATGGAATGAATCAAGAGGTTCGCCTCGGCACGTCTCTCCTTAGTACTAACATAGCAGACCTCACTACATTTAAGCAACCTGCCCCTGACTTTCCAGAGGATCCATCACTCTGCGTTTCTGAGGTCTGAGGCCGGGGACCAGGTATTATCTTTACACCCGTCTCCATCCAGAATGTGTCTGGCCCCCGGGTTCTGCAGAACAGGACATTACCTGTCCGGATCACTACAAGAAAATTTACAAAAACCAGAAATATGAAACACAGCGGTCCTAATTCAAACCTCAGAGTGATCCCCTGCCTAAAGGAACCTCAGACTGAAAATCTTTTGGCCTCCAAGCCACTTAAAGTAGCTCTTTTAAATACCAGATCACTCTGTGCTAAAGCTCTGTTAATTAATGATTTCATCACTGAGTATAATGTTGATGTTATGTTTCTGACAGAAACATGGTTGAATGACGATAATGACCAAATTGTACTCATTGAATCAGCGCCTCCTGACTACAATTTTTTAAGTTAGAACAGAAAACATAAAAAAGGAGGAGGCATGGCTTCTATATTTAAAAATACCATAAACTGTAGTAAAATCTCTTTCGGTCATTTCACATCTTTTGAGTATCTTGGAATTCAGGTTAAAGGCTTCAAACGAACTTTGACACTAACTTTATACAAAACTCCAGCATATGTGGAAAATTTCTTTACTGACTTGACTGATCTTCTTTCTCTCATATGCATTGATTATGATTGTTTAATAATTGTTGGTGATTTTAACATTCATGTGGACAAACCCGAAAACAGAGGAGCAAAAAAGCTCTCTGATATTTTAGAAAATTTTGGTTTAACACAACATGTTAAACAAGCAACACACACTCAAGGACACACACTGGACCTGGTTATCAGTAAGGGTGTGAATATTTCCAATGTCTCTGTAACTGATGTCGCCTGTCGGATCACTTCGCTGTTATCTTTGAAGGTTCTTTATTCTTTGACCCACTTGGACAAACAGCTACTATCACAAAACGTTCTTTCACAGAAAACACAGCAGAAACATTTAATCAAATCTACTCTTCCTCCTCACCCTTAAGCTGTAATGATGTAGATCAGTTGTTAGATGATTTTCAGTCTAAAGTTTCATATATCATTGATCCAATTAAAGTAAAGGTTGTGTCTGGTACGAAAAAATCTCCATGGAGAAAAGCACAAACAGTTCGTTCTGCAAGACAACTCTGTCGCAGAGCAGAACGAAAATGGCGTAAAACTCAACTTCACTTTCATAATGACATCTATAAAGAAACACTACGTAACTATCACTTAACACTAAAACATGCAAGGGAGGCTTTCTTTGCAGATGTCATAAACAAAAACATCAACAATGCTCGAACTTTATTTGCAACAGTTGACAGGCTCACAAACCCTCCTGTGACGTTACCACCTGAACTCCAATCTAATGTTGCCTGTAACAAGTTTTCCAGCTTCTTTTCAGAGAAAATTCAAAAAATCAGAGGATTAATCTGCACATCAACTCTAAAGCCAGAACCATTGCTGTACCAAAACAAAACAAATACAGAAAAAATGACCCACTTTCAACTACTTAATTATAAAACTCTAAAAGAAATTATAAGTCAATTAAGTTCAAGCTCCTGCTGTCTGGATGTCCTTCCCACACATTTCTTTAAGAAAGTCCTGCCTGTTATTGCTACTGATCTGATCCAAATCGTAACTCATCGCTTACATCAGGTGTTTTCCCTCAGGCCTTGAAAACAGCAGTCATCAAACCACTGTTAAAAAAGAACAACCTGGACAAATCACTATTGCAGAATTACAGGCCAATCTCAAACCTCCCATTCATCAGCAAAGTTATTGAAAAAACTGTGTGTAAAAAATTAAATAGTTTCCTCATGATGACCAACTGCTTTGACACTTTCCAGTCTGGTTTTCATGCTCACCACAGCACGGAGACTGCCCTCGTAAAAGTATTCAATGATATTCATATAAATACGGACTGTGGCAGAACCACGGTGCTGGTTCTGTTGGACCTCAGTGCAGCTTTTGACACTGTCGACCAGGACATATTACTGAATCGACTTGAAAGTTGGGTTGGACTCTCCGGTTCGGTGCTCGACTGGTTTGAATCCTACATAAAGAACAGGGATTTCTTTGTTTCAATTGGAAACTTCTCATCAAAGAGGTCAAAGGTCACATGTGGGGTACCCCAAGGTTCAGTCCTAGGACCCCTCTTATTTAATATTTATATTCTCCCACTAGCTCAGGTCATAACAGGAAATAATATTAGCTACCACAACTATGCAGATGACACAGCTCTACATTACGATGTCACCAGGTGACTCTGAACCCATCCAATCACTGAATAAATGTTTAGAACAGATAAATGTGTGGATGTGCCAAAACTTTCTCCAGCTAAACAAAAACAAAACTGAAGTCATTATTTTTGGACCTAAAGAGGAACGATCTAGAGTCAATGCACAGCTTCAGTTATTACAACTAAAAACTAGCATCAGGCCCGAAACCTGGGAGTAGTGATGGACTCAGACTTGAACCTCCAGAGCCACATAAAGACAGTTACAAAGTCGGCCTTCTATCACCTGAAGAACATCTCCAGGATTAGATGACTAATGTCTCAGCCAGATCTAGAGAAACTCATTCATGCGTTTATCTTTAGTCGCATTGATTATTGTAACAGCGTCTTCACAGGTCTGTCCAACAAATCAATCAAAAAGCTGCAGCTGATCCAGAAGCTGCTGCTCGCGTTCTCACTAAAACCAGGAAGATAGAGACATAACACCAGTTTTAAAGTCCCTCCACTGGCTCCCTGTAGCTCAAAGAATAGATTTTAAAATACTGTTGTTAGTTTACAAATCACTGAACGGTTTAGCACCACAATACATCAAAGATCTGCTGTTGTTGTGGCAACCTTCCAGACCTCTGAGGTCTTCTGGTTCTGGTCTGCTCTGCATCCCAGAACCAGAACCAAGAGAGGAGAAGCAGCTTTCAGCATCTATGCACCAAAACTTTGGAACAAACTTCCAGACAACTGTAAAACAGCGGAAACCCTGACTGCTTTTAAATCGCAATTAAAAACACACCTGTTTAGAGTTTCATTTGAAATGTAATATGTAACAATGTATTCTCTATTATATGTTGCATGACTTTGTGTTCTTGTGTTTATGATGTAAAGCACTTTGAAATGCCTTGCTGAAATGTGCTATACAAATAAAATTTGATTGATTTGATTGATTGATTGATTGATTGATTGATTGATTGATTGATTGATTGATTGATTGATTGATTGATTGATTGATTGATTGATGAAGCAAGGGACATGAACTTAAAAAGACCACTGTTCAACATTGTTTAATTAATTATTCCTCTATCTTAGCTTGATTTCCCTTGATGCAGCATACAGTAAACCAGCATTTCTTGGTCTGAGGCTTGTTGAGGTATCTGGGTTTACCTAGCTATATTCATATTCACATTGATTTATCCAGATCTCCTCACCCTCCCCAAGGATTATTGTTCCTCAATTATCCTGAGTATCACTGAGGGGCTGCAGAAAATATGTCCTTACTTGAGAGACTCCAGCCTGAAGTTTGGATTCTTCAGTATAGCTGCTAGACTCTCCATTCCTGCCTCTCTAGGATGATTGAAGCTGAGGTCCAGCTCCTTCAGGTGAGACGGGTTTGTAGTCAGAGCTGAGGCCAGAGCAGCACATCCTTCATCTGCGATCAGGCAGCCTGAAAGCCTGCAGACACAAACACACAACATTGTTGGAAAACTCACCCATATTCTCAGTATGAAGCACATTTTAGAACTTGTTTTCATCAGGAATAATTAGATGACATGCTAAGAAAGGTAGAGCATGAATGTTAAGCAACAGTCTGCAGAAAACTGTGTGTCTCTCTATATTGTCAGTTGAAGATGTTTACCACAACAGTTCGGCAAAATCAGCAACAGAGTTAGCAATAATCCACAATTATAAAACTGTAACCATGACTGGAAGGTCTGTTTCAAAGAATCACATCTTGAAGTGCAACCATAGAGAAAATGTTGGCCCGGACATGAGGACCAATGTAAACACACCGGTACATGCTGTTGTAGCACATGTTGTGTCATTGTGTGGTGGGTATCAGCATGATTTCATTTATCAAATTAGGATTAGAGTTAGCACAACAGTTAGTCAGCGATGCCCACAGCTAGAAGCAGGTTTTCCTAAATAATCCCTGTATTTGGCTGGGTTTTGAATCAGGTGTTCTGGAGCCAAAGTACATCTAAAATATGCAAGGTAGTGGTCCCTGATGAAATGGATTAGGAACATTTGTTGAAGTAATTTTTTCAGTTCAAGAAATGTTTTCAGTTTTCTTTCTAGAAAACTGAAAACACATTTTAGACATGTTAATAAATTTGGTAAATATGATAACAATAGAAGACTTTAAATGTATCTCACCTGAGAATCTCCAGTTCACAGTTAGGACTCATCAGTCCTTCACACAGCAGCTTCACTCCTGAATCTGTCAGGTCATTGTTACTCAGGTCCAGATCTCTGAGACTAGAGGATGTTGAGCTGAGCAATGAGGACAGAGCTTCACAGCTTCTCTCTGAGAGGTTACAGCCACTCAGTCTGAAAGGACAAGGACAATATAAAGTAATTGTATTATTATTATGAGACACTTTTCTAAAACTGATTACATCTGTACTTACATAACTTTGCTGGAGGCTTTGGCTACTGGCAACAGTCTCTGAAGAGCTTCCTCTGAAGCAGAGTATTTCTTCAGGTCAAATATCTCCAGATCTTTCTCTGATGACAGTAGGATGAAATGCAGAGCTGACCACTGAGCAGGAGACAACTGGTGTGTTGAAAGACTTCCTGTTTGTAGAGATTGTTGGATTTCCTCCACCAGCGACTGATCATTAAGTTCATTCAGACAGTGGAACAGATTGATGCTTTTCTCCACACCATGATGATTCAACTTCTCCTTGATGTACTGGGCTGTGTACTTATTGGCCACTAAACTTTCTTCAGTCTGTGCCACAAAGCCTCTGAAGTGACGCTTATTGGTCTCCAGTGAAAGACCAAGTAGGAAGCGGAGGAACAAGTCCAGGTGTCCATCTGGACTCTCTAGGGCCATGTCCACAGCACTCTTGTACATTTCTGTCTCTGAGGATTCATGATTTCTTTTTTCCAATTCCTTGGATTTCATTTCACCTTCTGCCATCAGATTGACTCCAGATTTGTTGAAGGTCAGGTGAACATGAAGAGCAGCCAGAAACTCCTGAACACTCAGGTGGATGAAACAGAAAACTTTGTCCTGGTACAGACCTCTCTCTTCTCTGAAGATCTCTGTGAAAACTCCTGAGTATGTTGAAGCTGCTGTGATATCGATGCCACACTCTGTCAGGTCTGATTCATAGAAGATCAGGTTTCCTTTCATCAGCTGCTCATAAGCCAGTTTTCCCAGAGACTCGATCATCTTCTGGTTCTCTGGACTCCAGATTGAATCTGTCTCAGTTCCTCCATCGTACTTGATGACCTTCAGTTTGGTCTGCACCACCAGGAAGTAAATGTACATCTCAGTCAGGGTCTTTGGCAGCTCTTCTCCATCTTTCTTGTTCAACATGTCTTCCACAACTGTAGCAGTGATCCAGCAGAAGATTGGGATGTGGCACATGATGTGGAGGCTTCTGGATTTCTTTACATGGGAGATTACCAAGCTGGTCTGTTTCTTATATTTAAATCTTTTTGTGAAGTATTCATCTTTCTGTGGATCAGTGAATCCTCTGATCTCTGTCATCATACCAATAAACTCAGTTGGGATCCGATTGGCTGCTGCAGGTCTTGTGGTTATCCAGAGGAGAGCTTTGGGAAGCAGGTTCCCTCTGATGAGGTTTGTCAGAATAACATGCACAGAGGTGGACTTTCTTACATCTGTCAGGATCTCATTTCTCTTGAAGTCCAGTGGAAGTCGACATTCATCCAAACCATCAAAGATGAACACAACTTTTAAATCTTCAAACCTGGAGATTCCTTTGGTTTCACTAAAAAAGTGGTGAACAAGCTCCACTAAGCTGAACTGTTTATCTTTTAACAGATTCAGCTCTCTGAATGTGAATGGAAACATGAACTGGATGTCCTGGTTAGTTTGGTCTTCTGCCCAGTCCAGAGTGAACTTCTGTGTCAGGACTGTTTTCCCAATACCAGCCACTCCTGTTGTCATCACTGTTCTGATTGGTTCATCTCTCTCAGGTGAGGGTTTAAATATGTCTTCAGGTCTAATTGTTGTTTCTGGCCTTTCTGGTTTCCAGGACACTGATTCAATCTGTCTGACCTCATGTTCCTTATTGACCTCTTCAGATCCTCCCTCTGTGATGTAGAGCTCTGTGTAGATCTGATTGAGAAAGTTTTGATTTTCTGATTTTACAATTCCTTCAAACACAAACTGGAACTTTTTCTTCATGTTAGACTTTAGTGTTTGTTGACGTGTGGTGAATGATCCTAAGTGAATGCAAGAATAACTAATTAAAATAATTTCTTCACTTCTTATATATTTAGCTTTAAAAGTATTACAAATATTTTCTGTTGGTTACATTTTATAGCCTCAAAATCAAAACATTTAAAAATCAACCATTTAAATCTTCTAGCCAGATTTATATATAAAACGCAACTGAATTCTTTAGATAAACTATTAAAGGAGCATGGACTTTTCAGTTTTTATATGCTATTAACTCAGTTATTATTTAATCATAATAATATCAACATATAATATTTTCATATTTTGCTATTTGGTACAAAACACACAGACAAGAAATTACTGAACTACGGGGATCCTAAAGTAGAAGCTCAGTGAAAGAGGCTTTATGCAGATAACATGGAAGGTTAAATAAATTTCTATATTACATGAACAACAACTTCTTTCCTGATGTTCATCATCATTTTCTGCTCGTCTTTGGAACAAAAAAGTATTGTTGCTTGGCAACCTCTCAGCCAATAGAATAAAAGTGTTGTACTGGGTTTGTTTGTTTTCTTCTAGCAGGTGTCCCTGTGTGGCTACTGTTAATTATAGCAACCTGCACCAACCACTGAATGTACTGAAAAACAACAATCTCAGCTTTCTCATCAGTGTTACGCTAACTATCCACTAGCAGTGCGCTACTAATTGCTAACAGCCTATTGAATTTGTTCACCCAAACAAAGAAAATGGATTCATAAATCCAATAGTATTACAACTTAGTCATGACTTGGTATCTATCTGATAGTTTTCTTTCTTAAGCCTCACTCAGCCACACTTATGCTGCCAGATTATTGAAGACGTTATGCAAGTAGTTTTCCAGCACTTTTCATCTTGTCCTTATTGTTGTGACCTCACTTTTGTTTGCTGGATTTGCCCCCTCACCTTTGTCCAACAGCTGTTTTTAAGAGTCACAAGGTGAGAGGCCACATTTGGTACCAGGAGCCACTGATTGAGCCCCACTTGCTGCGTTGCTTCAAAATATAGATATCTCTTTGCAGCGTACTCCTCAGGCCAGTCTTTAGGCGTGCTACGCCCTCTCCAGCCCAAAGGCTGCAGGTTGAGGTTCCTCTCTGCCCTGATCATCTGTGCTGGGCCACCTGTCCGACTCCTGGGACTTTGTGCCCAGTGAGATTCTACTCACTCCTCACCTGGAATACATCTGTATTCCACCAAATCTGTACTCCCCTTCCTTTACCTTAGCTCCTTTTATCTTGCATTTATTAGTCTTTGCAAATACCTCTATGACAGTGTTTCTTAATTCCAGTACTCAGGCCAACCTGCTCTGCATGTTTTACATGTGCCTCTATACCAGAACAGCTGATTAAATGACTGCATGACGTCTTCTCCAGCCACCAAGTACTGAAGAAGCCTGTTGATCACCCAAAGATTTAATCCATGTCTATGGCAGAAGGAAAACACCTAAAACATGCAGGGCAGTTGGATCTAAGGACCAGAATTAAGAAACACTGCTCTATGAGCAACTAATCACTGTGGTCCCCTCCTTATTAGAGGACCAGATCCAATTCAGAGTGTCTGACATGTTAAAGGGGAAAAAACTACACAGAATATAAAAGACATGTTTATATTCACTGTGAGAAAAAGAACCCACTGTGCAACAAATGTATTTGAATCTCATTTTGGAGCCTCTAAATATAAATCTAACAGAGGTTTGGCAGCCATGCACCAGTCTGGATGGAGCAGGTATCAAATCGGCAACCTATTGATTGTGCTGATTAAATGATTACCAAAATTGAAAGAAAGATTCATTTATCAATTTACACTCTTTACAGAAATTGTCTTACTGCTTTGAAGACGGTCAGCAAGCTCCTCCTGGTTCATCATCCTCAGGAAGTGCTGTGTGATTTTCTCAAATGCTTCTCTGCTGCTGTTCATCTGCTGTTTATCTTCACCCTCTGAAACTTCATGCTCCTCCTTATTCTCATCTAAACCTTCTGGGTAATCTGAAGCCAGAACCATTTGGATCTTTTTCAGCTCATTTTCCTCAAAGGTGAAAATCTTCTTTTTCAGCTCCTAAAATGGAATAATAGACAAGACCTCAATGGTTTAGCCAGTGCTGTGAAATACCATTAAATTCAGAGGTTTGTGAGTTGGGGATAATCTATTAACAATTTTTCAAAGTGAAATTTTATTTTAAATCTAATCTGAATTATTTACCCAAAATCTCCATCAACTTTAACTCAATAGGGAACAGACTCTTGTTAGTTCTCTGTTCATTGTGCTCCAATAGTGGAGCTAAATATCTAATCAAGAGAGGCTGTTAGAACAAAATGGATGCTGGTGGAAAATCCACTGGATTATAATTTACAGCATAGAGATGATTATGAACACAATAGACAGGAAGCAATGGATGTAAATATACTGACCTTATATGTGGAGTCCAGCTCTGTTTGATGCTGTTGGGGAGATGTACAACTAGGAGCCTCTGGGTTTAGCTTCACTCTGTGGAGGAATCATAAAGACTTTGCTCATATTACAGCTTTTCACAAACACAAGAAAAAAAAGGAAGCTTTTATAGATCCAGACAGGTAACAAATTTTATGTCATACTGAAGTTTATAAGGTGGATCCAATAGCAGCAGGCAGGACTAGTGATGGACCAGACGACACAGAAACCTCTTGTCACTTTAAGAAAAACCATGTGACTGATACAGTTCCTGTTTGGATGTAAAATTGTATTTATGAGTGAGATGGAGATACTTTGTGTTCTTTGTCTTGCGTTAGTTTTTCGCTCATATTATAATACCAGCATGGATCAACAGAGGAAGAGGAAGTTTCCTCAAAGAAACTTCAATTTTTATCAGTTATTTAATCATAAATAACAATTTATGATTAAATAACTTATTTACTCATAAATAATTTATTTATTTATGATAAATAAACAATTTATTAATAAATAATTTATTTTTTATTTATTGTCAAAATGACATTTTGTTTAAATAAAGGAAATGTTTATTTATCATAAATAAATAAATACATTATATTTAATGGAAATATAAATAAATAAATTTATTTATTTATGATAAATAAATTTATGATAAATTTATCATAAACTTTTGTTTATGTGAGATCATCACATTTTGATGATCTCACATCAAAATGTGAGATCATTTGATCCTATCCCAGAGAATAAAATAAGTTATTCTATTTTCATTTCACTTTGATCATTTTCTTTCAGATTATTCCACTTCCTTTCTGTAGAATATTTGAATTAGTTTACATGAATTAACTTTTATTTATATTGTAGATGAAAGTTGGATTTGCTCCCATAAACTGTCTTACTTCTCCAAATGTGGGTTGGGTTGCAGACACGCATCAAAATGCAAAGTAAAAACAAATAGTGCCCTCACCATAGCAACTACCACCTTCAAATGCAAATACAGGAGTAATAGAAATTATTTTACAAAACTAACCCGGGCGTCAATTACAAAAGAAAAGTAAGGCAAGCTGAATGAACACATAATGTCAGCTGCACTTCCTGTATTCAGCTGGTAGGTAAAAAGGATAGATGGTTATAAAACAGAAACAAATGCCCAGATATACCAAGTTACAACATTTACAAACAACTCACCTCTTTGGAGAAGGATGTTTTTCTATTTCTGACAGTTGTCCAGATGAACAGCTGGGCAGTGAGTGCTGAACTCTGTCATGTAAAACAATTATATACAGTAAGAGTACAGTGGCTAACAGGAGTATTGGCCTAACCCCTAACCTAAACACGATATAAATAGCAAAACACATAAACACAAAAAACAAACTGTAAATAAAACATATATACAATATTTTACAGTTTGAAGAAGAGATCTTTTTTCCGTTTTCAAACTTTTATGCCTGTATTTTTGAAGTAAACAGTAAAACATTACAAATAAGAAAAACAACCAAGTATGAAAAGCTGTCACTTTGTCCATGTCAACATGCAAAATGCAGATTGGAGTTGTTGAGTGTCTGATGAGAGTTTATTAAAGCAAACAGAAAACTTACAAAAAGTTTAGGAACAGACTGGGAAAAGCCAAGTTAAAGGGAGGATTAAAGAGTTTCTTTGTCTGGGTTTTGACAAAAGGAGTTAGTATTTGTGTTTCCACTGAACTTATAATTGTACAATTTGATTCGCTTAATGGAAATACAGCAATTTTGAAATATCAAAATTGGTTTAATTCGCAAAACTGCAATGGAAGCACATTTTCTGCACATAATCAACAACCAGAAGATGAAAGGAAGTAGTAGGTGGATGGGAGAAAGAGACTTGAATCAAATGAAACCATAATTAGAAAGAAACATTAAATAAACAAAGAATAAACTAAACTGGAAAAGTAAAAGAAAAACAAAGAAATGATCAAAAGAGGAAATAACTAAAACAGTCCAAAAAACAAATATCAGTTTACAGTTGCAACATTTTTTTTTATTAATTTTTTTTAATTTTTTAATTTTTTTTTTTGCATTTGTATTGTTCAGGTTTTAGTTTCTATTTTCTTGCGATTGCTTTTGTTTTGTCTTTGTGAGTTTTGGAGTTTATATCATTCATGTGTTTGCAGCGTTTTTCATTATTTGTTGTGTTTGTTACTGTCAGTCACCATATAAGCATCTAACCTAAGTAATATAATCCATAAATTACTGCATCATAACTCAACTGTGATTAACGAGATTCATGTTGTTAATCACACCATAATATCTATCTAAAACAGATAGTTATATACTGTTTTCCAGCCCACCCAGGTCTGATCACCTACTGACCTGATAAATTACTAAATCACTAAAACAATAGTACAATAAAATAATTTAAAATTTTCTTCCATGGGCAAATATTTTTCCATACCACATTATATGTTGGGATCACGTTTTAGATAGTTAGATTGTTTAGATGTAGCTCACCTCTTTCTAGATGAAGGCTGGTTTGATTTAAAATAAAAAAAATCCTCTTTGGACTTGTTCTCCCAGGATTCTGATTCCACTTCATCGTCAGATTTGCTGTAAATAAAGTTGCTTAAGTGATGCTTTGCTCTAACAGATTGATGACACAAAAACAGTGGAAGGTTATTTCACCTCTTAGCTTTGCTCTGAGTTTCTCCTTCTTTCAGCTCCTCACTCTGATCCATGATGCCGAGTTCAGGGCCACATCAATCTGCAAACAGTTTTTATATTAATTTATAGAGACGATCACTCACCTGTCCCACAGCTCTACATATTGTTTTTTTTTCACATTATGTGTTCAATAGTGATGCGTTCACACCATACGTGTTTCATGCATCAAAAATGCGTCCAATGCTTCAAGTTCATGTGTGACCTTTGAAGTCAGATGCTTGACATTTTATTCACATTGAGGGCGATTCACAGCCTCGATGCGCCTCAACATAGACTATAAACCAGATGTGCCTGATGCTCAAAACGTGGTTGATGTGAATGCAGCATAAAACTATCAGTTGACATTATTTTGCTGTAATAGGAGCCAACAGAGAAACACAAAGGGATCTGGCAAAAACACAGAAACTAATTTGGTACTTCCTACTGAATATTTAAACAAAATGTTAACTTTCCTGTTATTAAAACATAAAATCAGGTTTCAACCTTCATATTTTTGTATATGCACTTTGTTATTAAGTGCATATTTATTAATAAGATGTTAATAAATATGATTAGTCATTTAATATTAGTACATTAATTAATAAAGTTGAAAACAGTTTTAATCAAACTAGCAAACATCAGATGCTGCTCTGTAAACACCAACCTGTTACGGAACAACTGGTGGAGTGGCATTTAACATGGAGGATTGTGTGTAAACATGGGCAGTGTTTAGAGTGGAAACAATATTTTATTTTCAGGTTAGTTTTCTCCCTGTGCTCACAATATGGGAGGACATGTACAGTGTGCTGTGTGTGTCAGTAGACATTCAAAGTCAAATATATAATCCTTGTATGAAGGACTGGGTGAGGTACATGTATAAACTACCTTGAAACAAAACGATGCCAAACTAGAAAGGAACGATAGAACAATGGATAAATCTTGCATTTTAATATAGACATTGGATCACATGAGCTTCAGTTGTTCTTTGATGTGCAGAAAAACCAGTATGAGTGTTTATGAAGGAGGAGGAGGTCAAACCGTTCCAGTTCTCTGGTTTCAGTGTTTTTATCAATTTGACCATTTGTACAAACTAAACTCAGAACTCTTCTTATAATTTAACAATTTAAACAAATAACAAGTAGGATAAAACAATGTTCTCTGAAATATTGGAGTTTACGTATGTATGATGGTTGTATATATTACATTAATTTTAAAAACATTAGTCTATTATACAGCATTGCTCTTTATGATTTATTTCAAATTATGAGAAATAAATCACAAAGCAAATTAGATTTCATTTTCTATGAGTTGTTTTTATCACATTAATAGTCAGAGGTGGGTAAATTGTACTCAAATTAGAAAACAATTTGACTTTTTACTCAAAAAAAGTAAAACATGGCTGTCTAAAAGTGAAAAGTTTTTTATAAAAAGGCCCCTGAAGTACTGAGTAACTGATCACAGCATTTGTTTTAATATTTAAAACACATTTACATCAGACAGACAAAAAGTTATCTGCAAATATTTACGGAGACCCATCTTAAGATACAATTAGTATTCCATGTAATCATAAGTAAATGATGTTCAACAATAATAATGTTCCAGCATTAAACAAAGCATCACACCTAACTGGAGTTTAGAAATAAATGAAATAGAGAAACTAAACGAGCTGATCTTTCATCAGCAGAAAGAGAAATACATCATAAAGAGCAAATCCAGAGGTTATTTAGTGTTTCTCTTGTTTCGTCCTCAATGTATGAATTGTCTTACCTTCAGTTTGAAGTTGATCTGCAACACAGCAAAGATAAGTGAAAATAAGTGTCTGAAATTTTTAGGTTTTTCCTCCAGGTGAGAAACCGATTCTGTTTCTATTCCTGATTCACCTCTAGTTCTGTGCGGTGTTTTTAGTTCCTGTCCCTCAATTTGCAGGTTTTGTTTACTGTGAGCAAGTTATCAGTAGGCTACCTGTGCACTCAGCTTCCCCTATTTCTGATGCAAAGCCAGAAGGTTGAGCCCTGAGAGTATGGCAGGCCAGTTTAGCATACAATCTTTTTCTCCATCCATCCATCCATTTTCTTACACCCTTGTTCATCTGAGTCTTTATAAATATTTAAAACGAGTTTTGACTAGAAACAACTACATTTTGACTAATATAACGGGTAATTTAAAATTTCTGCTTTTATATTCTGACTTGTAAAAAACACAATTCAAAATGTCTCCAGTGTTTGTGTTTTCCACAGTGTGTTATAGTGGGTTTGGTTTTTACATTTAGTTAAACAAAAACATGTTGACGTGGGTCATCTGACTTTGGTACCGCTGTGTCTTTTATGGCAGACAGTGTTAACATAAAATCATGGCCGCAGACTACCTCTGTTCTTTGTATTTTCTGGACATTTTTGCATTAAAATTATTCAGTGTTTACCTCACCACCGCCACTCCACCCATCGTGACACTTGGATATTTTGCATATATTTGATGATCACCTCTAGTTGTTTCCCTATGTGAGTTTTGTATTTTTACATTTTCCTTATTTGTTCATTTGCTGTATTTTTGCCACTTGCTCAATAACATTTCAAAAACAAAATGAGGAGAGTTAACAGAACTGCTGTGTAAATAACCTTCACCCACTTCAAAATAAGAGCATTAACATAAGCATTTAATTATTCTTAACAGTAAAAAAACAAAACTTTGACACAGTTGTTAAATTTTATTAAACTGAACGTTTACAAAACAGCAAAGTAAATTAGTGCTTTAAAATTCATCTGGAAAAATTAACTTAAGGGAAGCTAAATGCACTGAACATTTCCAAAGTTAGCAAAAACTTTTAAACAAAAAAATTAGCTCTGCTACTAGCACTTTAGTGGAAGTGTGCAAACTAATAAATTTTCAAGATGGTAGATATTGTCTTACTCTTGTCTAAAGGCAGACTAGCAGTTAGCTTTAGCATCTAATCTCTTGTCATCCTGTATGACTAGAGACTGAAGGTAAGCTGTTAGCTGCTAATAACCTCTCAACAGAACCCCACTTCAAAAACATCTAAATTCTCCTTTTAATGTAGCAGAAAATGGCATTTAAACAAAAACTGCTTTACTAGATATCATGAAAAATGTTCATTATACAACAGTTTATTCAGAAACCACATTGTTTGTCCCATTTAAAGGTATATTTCCTGAATAAAGTAAATTAGGAATTAAGTAAATAGAAGGGATAAAATGTGGTACAAGAACTGAAAACCAAATCCAGTCAGAAATTATTGCTGTTTTCCACATTTTGAACATTTCAGGTTGTTTTTTGAAGCATCAACAAGAAAACAAAACAATCCTGGGATTCCAGCTCCAGATCTCCAGTATTAAATTATCACATTATATTTCTACTCATAAAGATGGAAAAAGCTGAACAAAAGAGAAGCAACTCATTTTAAGTGTCTGAGGAGCTTTTACTCCATGTTTACTGGACTGATGATCAGGGGCATTTCGTTTTTTCCTGATTTGTTGGTGCAGGGGCTGAAGAAGGGGAAGAGGTTTTCAGTGAAGATGTCGTGGAAAGAGTAAATGTGGACTTTGGAATCGACGTTGTAAAAAGATACCTGTGGGAAGAAGAAAAGAACAAGGACAGTTTACTAACTTAATAAGGTTTCACATCCAGCCGTTAATCGTTAGATTGATGAGTTTCTGAAAGTAAAACAAGGTTTGTTTTCACCTCTCCTTTCTCATAGTCCACAAATATTCCAATCTTATGAGGTCGAAGTTTCATCTCCACGTTTGTGCACGGCTCAGAGCGAAAGGCGTAATTGTGTCTGAGGGAAAAGAAGAAAACAATTAAATTTCTAATGACTGCCTGTAGAGCCTTGATGGGAAGAGTGGACACACAGCCAGACACAGGGATTTAACGTGAGGAGGTTTCTGTTATAATGTGAAAATAAAGTCATAATGTTACCAGAATAAAGTTGTCACATGGCAAATTTGAATGACAATAATGTAATAGTTCTAAAATATAGTAGTACTTGTGTAATAACTCCTGCACAAAAAATTTTAAAAAGAATATTATTGTGAACTTTTGGTATCAGTTCTACAAATAAGGAGATACTTAATCTTCTAACTTATTAATATAAAATCATTATCAGCAGGACTTTTAAACAATTCAGGAAATAATTGGGTTGATTTTAAGGACATAATTATTTACTGGACAGTGTTTTTACCTCAGATCCAAATAATGATCAAATTTTTATTTTATTAAAATGATTTTCTAGTATTTTTATGACTTTTTTCTGCTGATTTTTCTGCTTTATTCTTGTAATTTGAAAAAAAATCTATTCGTCTTTCTATCTGAAACGACTTTATTGCTGCAATATTTATTGACAATAGTGATAAAATGAAACTATGCATTTCCATTTAGTTCTCTATTAAAAGTATTTTTGTAAAAAATCAACCTTTAAGCCTGCATTTTATCCATCTTCTAGAAGATGAACTCACTTGTCTCTTAAGCTGAGGAACCAGAAGCCGTTGTCTGGGGTGTAATTGATCTTCCCCTTCCTGTTGACGGACTGTCTGGCCACGCCCAGATCCCAGTCCGTTTTTCCCGTTCACCTCCACCTGTTCACAGGAAGCGCAACATGTTCCCCCGTCAAACAGAGCAGATCCTGAAAGCTTGAGACAAAACTGTCCAGCCAGTAACGCTGACAGTTTACATCCAGTCACAAAGTTTCATAGCATTTTAGATATTTAGACCAAAAAATCTAATCATCAATAATTGATATTGACTGATATGAAACGCTCATCGTCCAGCCCAGGTTTCCTAAAATTACACAGAACTTGCAGGTTTATTTGAAGAAGGTTGAAGGTTCATTTGTGCCTTTTCCGCAGTTTACTGGTAAAATTTACAGAACACCAGCTGTTACTTTCTCAAAGCTTGTAGGTTGATTCTTACTCAGAACATACTTTTTAAAAAATGTTTTAGTGTACAGAAAGTAAGATGTTTTTCCCATTTGGTTTCTAGAAAGTGACACTGAAGAGTCAGTAATTCATAATAGCTACATTTCCTTGTTTGATATATATTTAACTTGAATTAAAAAAAAAAAAATCTTTGTTTATGCACATATAGCTTCAAATGTTTTAGAACAACTAAAAGTTTCAGATCCATTAATGCTTAAGTAATATGGCTTGAACTACAATTGTACATATTCACTTTCCATTCAACATTTTATAGTAGGATAACTTTTCAGCCTATTACCTCCCAGTAATGTTTCCCATGGGAGATTGCTTCTCTCCCCAGGACACAGACCACCCTGTTGAACCTCTCTGGATTATCTGGAACGTGGTTGTATCGATCTCCACACCAAACCTGCAGAAAAATGGACTATTAGCCCGGTTTTCTAAAATCTATAAACAAAACTTAGTGGTTAAATGTTGTGATAACTGAACGGGAAGCTCACACTTTTCAAATCTTCTGACAGGATCAGTCTGGGATGGGCGGTGCTGGAATCCAGAGTGACGTTCACTTTGTAGAAAAACCATGACATGAAAATTAATGACTAAAAATCCTGGTCTAAACTCACGTAACAATGCCAGTTCATGCTATTAAAATGAAAAGTTATTAGTTAATTGTACAATTCTATAATTATACTTGAGAATAGACTAACTTAAACTGAGAAATCATTTTCTTTAAGCATTAGCTCTTAACTAAAAAGTTGTAAAAATATATTTTTGGTTAATCAATTTTCACTTGAGAAAATCATTTTACAATATATGGATTTTGTTTTCCAGTTGGCTTGTTCTCAGGCTAAGCTATGCTAAGTGTTTTTATATCTGAAATGTTATCCTAACATAAAATGTTGAATGGGAAGTGAATATGTACAATTGTAGTTCAAGAAATATTACTCAAGCATTAATGGATCTGAAACTTTTAGTTGTTCTAAAACATTTGAAGCTATATGTGCATAAACAAAGAAATTTAACTAAACCCTCAAAATTTCTTAATTTTTTCTTATTCAAGTTAAATATATAGCAAACAAGAAAATGCAGATTTTATTAATTTAATTTTACATACGTGCAAAATCCTGCATCTTCTTTTCTCCTGCAGGAGAAACAAACAATACATTTACATGTTACAGATTGTGAAGTTTCATGTGAGGAAAAAAATTATTCATGTGATTAAATGAAGTGTTGCATCCTGTTTGTTCAAACCAAGAGTAAAACTCACTGGGCTTTGTTTGTGCCACACTGGCCTCCAATAGCGGAGAGGGAAAACCTGGAGAAAAACAACAAAGTGCTTCAGGAGCTGGGATCAATAAAGCTGAAGTTTAATTTATTAGAATTATTTTACAACAGTTTCATAATTTAATCTGTGTGCAACAACAATATGCTGTTTTTTTAAGGGAATAAAAAGACAGACGTCTCATTTTAACCAAAACTTTACCACTAGAGGGCAGTGTTTAATGATTAATGGTACTAACTGAAGTTTCAGCTTCAACACTTTAACCAAACCGGCTCTTTACTACCATGAAAGAAGTTCATCTCTTTTGGATCAAAAAGAGTTGTGTTCATATTTTTGTGCACTTTGGTACAAAACTATGTGTCTTTTTCCCTCCTTGTTCTTGTTTTGCGTTTACTAACCATTTTCTAGAATATTCCTCAGATCTCGCTGGAACTTTTCCACCGTAGCTGCCAAAGATCTGTAGATGGCGGCCGTCCCCAGGTCTTTCTTCAGCGACACTCCGGTCCAGTCTTTGGTGACTGGAGGTGTGGACAGGCTGGAAAAACTCTGAGGAACATTTACAAATTAATAAAAACATCCAGAGTTTTCTAATTAAACCAACCTTAAGTTCTGACTGACCCTGACGCAGTGAACATGGTCCTCTGACGTGGCCAGGTCACTGAGAGCAGCTTCTCTCCTCTCCAGTTCCTCTATCTCCCTCTCCAGCTGGTGGATCATGGCGTCAGCCTGGTGCTCCGCCGACCTGCGGCTGTTATCCATCACCTCTATCAGCTCCGCCTGGGACCGCTCGATGGCGGAGGCCAGCGCCGAGAAGAGGCACACGGTGCCCGACGTCTCCCGCTCCACCGCCATCTGACCAGGGTGAAGGTCATTTAGAGAAACACTTAGAAACTGAAGATTATGGTAACACTTGGTTGGCAATTAGCACTGGAACCAGGGCTTAATTTGACTTTAAAATAGCAAAATATTTGATATTCACAAAGAGACTTTAGTAAAACATTTATTTTTTTTAAAAAGGACAATCCCAAAGAAAGAGAATTAGTAGGAATTAATACTACTGAATAAAAAATATCACTATTATTGATACAGATCACAAGATTGTCAAAAATATCCTGAATAGGTAAAAAAAAACCAAAAAACAAGCAAAAATACAATTGTTAAAACCAGTTCATAACATTTAACAGTAAATCAAAAAGAAAGGCAAAATTTGAGAAACTATACAAAAGATCAATTTAATTTTGGTGTTTTTTAATGAAGTTTAAAAGGTCTAAAAATATTTAGAAAACTAATGAGAACATGTTTTTTTATGAGAGGTAACTTTTTGTGTAATTTAAAAAAGGTAAATTTGTTTAAGAAGATGTGATTTTAACCTTAGATTGTGCAGGTTGTGTTTGTTTTACCTCTAGTTCTGTCATAGTCTGTCTGATCTCCTCGATCTTCCTCCTCCTCTCGCTGATCATGTCCCGGACGTCCTGCTCAGAGTCCCTCAGCAGAAACTGCAACACAACCAACATGAATCACACTCACTACCAACATCATGGCTCTGATTTCTCCTATAACAGTTATTTTTAAAGTTCATTTCTGGGATTACAGACTTTGCATCTCATCCTACTAACTGAGGCTTTACATTATTATAAAAGTTTATAATAGTGATGTGTTTTTGATGAGCTACATTCCTAAATGCTCCCACTGGCTCAGATTATAAGTATATTATCAGCTATTAACAGGAACACAGACACTCAGCTCTACATTATGATGCCACCAATATTAAGTCAGTCATTCCTTAATATTGATATAAAATACTGGTTTCAGTCATATTGTTTTACTAATATGGGAAAAATTATTATAGTTACAAGTGAAATGATTTGCAAATGGAACTAGCACTTTTTCATCAATATTAAGGAGTTATCCACTCAAAACCAGCTCCTATATTTTACAGAAAAGTTAGTTTTGTCTTATTTCAAGTAGTAAGATTTTATGTTTTTGCAGTGCACAAGGGTAAAACTGGTACGATCAGCGACAAAGAGGTAAGTTGTGAAATGGAAATGTACTCAGCATGAGGAAACTGCTGGCATCTGCACTTTATTGAGCAACCGCTGCTAATTTCTTTCAGTCAGTTTAAGTCAGTCCAAACAAGAGCAGAAGCTTTTATTTTCTAACCTTAGTTTCCATCCACTCGGCCTCAATAGTGATGGTGTCATGATCGTTGTGGTCTTCGATCGCACATTCAGGACAGATGCACATTTGGTCAGATTTACAGTAAAGCTGGAAGCAAAAAGAGGAAAAGTTACAGTGCTGCTAAAATGTATTTTCTCCATTACAGATTTTTTTTTTCTTTTGTATTTTTTGTTCTAAATTTCATAATTCTGATTATTTTCAGTCATTATTTGCATCTGTTCAGATATAAATCAGATTTTTTAGTACAATATATGAAAGTGGAACAAATCAGCTTTTTTGGGGGTGAACAGATCAGAATTGGGTCGTTGGATGTTTCTGGAACTAGAAAACCTGGAAATGGTTTCTAAAACATTATTTCTACAGCTTTACAAACAGAAAAAACAAGGAATGATCTGTAAAGAAAATGATGCATAACACACAGCAAGTCCAGCTTCTTAATGGTTAAAAATAAAAAAACACAAAGTGGCCTAGTCAAATTCTAGAAGTCGATGCTCTGAAGAGACACCCTGGATGTGGCTGAATTAAAACACTTCTAAAGAAAGGAATATTTAAACCTATTTGATTATTTTAAACATTTAGATGTAACAATAAGCAAAAACATAAGAAGCGATTAGTATTTTCCTCTATAGTTTCTATATCAATACATAAAATAATACCAATAATATGTGAATGAAATACAAAGTTACCAATATTCCTCTGTTATGGATTTCGCACAGAGGGACATTCTGGCTACTGGCCGCTCCGCTCAGAGTGAACCTCCTGCGATTGTTGGAGTGGGGCATCATATGAGGGAAGTGAGGATGAAGATGATGATGCTCGGGGCTGTGGTTCAGACTGGAAGACCCGTAGTGGTCCGGTACCGATAGAGCCATCGTGTTTGTGGCAGTCGGGTACAAAGTTGACGTGGACAGACCTGGGAAAGAATGCGCTGCCAAAAAGAAACCCCAGAAAAACTGTTAGGTCCTTTTTAATATGTAATTTATTTGTATTATTTAAGAAAACAGAATCTAACAATCAACATTTCATCTCTTGGACGGCATTTCAACATTCCTGCATCGCTCCATCATCGCTGGATTACATAACCCTGACAGGAAAGTCATGTATCTCCTGCATAAGTGAAATTACCTGAACTTGGCAGCTTTCACAGATGTGCTTGTTATGAAACCAACCAGAGCAACAAGGTTATTGTATAAAGGAGAAACCTCCATGTTGCTGTTCTCTTGTTTCTCCTCATATATCTGTCCCTAAACATTTTTAACGTGATGAGATCATTGTCTCTGCTCTGCGTTTTTAGTTCATTCATAAATGTTGTAACTAATATCATCCTGGAGTCACAGGCAGTATTTAAGCTTTTGAGATTGTAGTCAGTTGCTCCCAGTTGTTACAGAAGAAAACAACTGAATAACACACCATGGCAATAGTCTAAATGTAGCAAAATAAGAGGAAAAATTTTTGCACCTGCACCATGTTGAAACCATGATGACCATGACGAACAAAAGTTAATTAGAACAAATCAGAACTGACGTAACAGAGTCTCAACAACATGCTGCATTTCTAGTAAATACATTGAAACCGCAGCTTCTCAATCACTGGCCATGTTTTCATGGGTTTTTTGAAATATCGCATAAGAAAAGGTTGATAGAGATGTTAAGATTCAAAATAACTATCAGTTTCTCAAAAAGGGTTTTAAACTTTTAGGGTTTTTTTTCTTAAAAGTTATTAATGCGCTAAAAGGAAATGGAAATGCATTTGCCAAATAATTTCTGACGTAGCAAATGTTCCCATCCACCGTTTAATCTGTGTCTTACCACAGGCATGAAACTTTGAAAAACGTCCTAGTCCAAACCTTCACTCAATTTTTAGAAGTTGTGTGGTCTCTACATTTTGTTTATTATAGCTGTACGTGATGTCAACATGTGATAACGTTTTGCAAACCCTTTCGATTACTTACCCTGGGATTGAGCCGTGCCGGTCAGAGCTGCCACGTTCTTGGGCAGAGGTTTTGGCAACTTCTTTTTTAGTTCTGCCATGAAGTTGTGATTTGTGTGTCCCATCATTTTTCCCTTCTTGTCCTTCACTGGCCCTCCACCTTTCATAGATTTGAACTGATCGGTTATCTCTCGCAGAGTCCTGTTGATCTGGAGGTCCGGTCGCTTCTGAAAGGTTTTCTTACATAAAGGACACTGGAAAACCTGGAAGAAGACGATGGAATAGGTGAAAGGATGTCCAGGAGAAAGAGATCAAATCAGAAACGCCAGCAGACAAATGAATAGGTAATGAAGATGGAAGAAAGATCGTACAGTTGAAACATAGCCCTTGTGACTGTTGTACCTCCAGTCATGAAGGGCTGACAGCAGGAAGCTGGTATTTAACTATTTGATTCAACAAAGGTAGAGTTAAAGCAGCTCTACCTTTGACAAGAAAATTTAAAGAGCAAAAATGAAGAAACAAAAGACGATTGAAGGGAGCTTCAACAATCACTCACCTGAGATCCATCCCAGTATGTGGTGATGCAGGCCATGCAGAAACTGTGGCCACATGGTATGGATGAAGGATTGGTGAACACATCCAGGCATATAGAGCATGTGAACTGGTCTTCAGTCAAAAAACTGCCATTTAAAGACATCCTGAAAACAAAACTAAAGGACAGGCATGAATTAGACAGAATATTCTAGAAAGCAGAAGGTCAGTCGTGACCTTAGGACACTCCAACCACCTTGTCTGCTGGTGATGGTCAGAAAGTCAGCAGTGGCTTCCACCATCACCAGGTGAATGTTTTCATGAATGACTTCATGTATTGTGAACCACTTTGGAGTTTTGAAGTCAACATGAAACAATTCTGTAAGAAACTTCTTAATGTTAACCCTAAAGCCTTGAATGACTTTCCCCCTACATTGACACAGATGCATAAGACGGGCCGTTGTAGCTGCCGTTATACTATGACAATTCCTAATCCCTAAAAATCTGATTAGGAAGAATTAAGGATTAATAGAAAAAAATCTAAACATAGTGAAGCATGGCATACTGGAGGTTTGTTCCAAACATTTATCTCAGATCAGATTAGGATGTTCAAAAAACCTCCAGGAATGAAGTGGGGTTGGATTCTCTCCCTCATTTTCACGTACACTTAGTTCAAATACACATACAGGTACCAGATCATTAAGGCATGAATGCTGCAACCTGCCAATATTTTTCTATTACATAAAATATTTTCAGATTCATCTGCTGTTCAGATTTGGTGTTTTGGGCTAAAATGTATAACTGCTATATGGAGAAGGAGAGGGAGGAAGCACACATAGAGTCTTGAACATAATTGAAGGGCAAAACAATATAAAACAAATTCTAACTAAATATTTTTTATATCCTCAATTATTGAAGCAATTGGTGTTAACCCTTAAGTGTTGTTTGACCTTTTTCCTACATATGCATTGGCACAGATCTCTTGACAATTACTGGTTAATGAACCCAGGTTTCCGTTTTGGACAGACAATGTTCCTTCCTTACTAAAGATCTCTTATTTAAATGCCAAATCTTTACTGACTTTCAAAAGCAACCCTCCTTCCAGTGTTTGATATTTGATTATGTCCAATAAAACTTCTCTTTACTTGTAAAGTATGTTCTTCCTTTGCTAAAGAAGGCGATAAACAAGTAGTATTGTTGTGAAAAGAATCCATACATTTCTAATTATTTGAGGTAGTCCTGTGTCTCTATCACCAGTAGGGATTAAAAAATTGGTTAAAAGTTTGTCAAGCTCAAATAAAAAACATAAGAAGAACAGTTCTTATGGTGCTTCGTTGTAACCTCAGACTTTAGTAATAACGTCGGTAATAATAAAGACAGAAATTATTATGCTTAAGCATGTTTCAAAAATAAAACTCAATAAATGTTACAAATTTTCCCAAACAGAGTCATGTAGTCACATCAGAGAATATTAACCTTTCATAAACCATAATACAGGCAAACAGAGCTAAACACAAACTGGGCGTCCAGATAATTCACTTCTTACACTGTAAAAACACAAAATCTTACCAAGGAATTCTGGTCTAGTTTTTAATGCAAATATTTTAGCACACTTGAAATAAAACTGACTTATAAGTAAATTTTCAGGCTTGTTTTAAGTCAATAATCCATAATATTGATGAAAATGTTCTAGTTCGATTGGCAGATAAAGACATTTTTTGCATGTTTTAGGTAAAATAATCTCACAGTGGAAAAAGTTATTTTTCATCAGTATTAAGAAATTATTGACTCTAAGCTCCTAAATTTTGTTGTGAATTTGCGTTTATGTAAGTTTTGTATTTTTAATTAAAAAAAACTTTTATAATCCCCACGAAATAACACAATGTGACACATTACTTATATGCTGTCGAAACATATTAATTTTACCTACTTCAGAATAACAAGCAGATACCTTAAGCTGTAAGTCCAAAGCCCTGCAGAGACGCTTGAGGCCCGTACCTTCTGTGCTCGCAGCAGTTGAGGTTGTCTGGGATTTAAACTTCCTCAAATCTTGCGTGTGGGCGTACCTGATTGAGGGCGGTGGTGTTTCGTTGCAAAGCCACTCCCACTCACCTGTCTCTCATTTTAGCAGGTAAAAGTGGCAGGACTGGTTAAGCTAAAAGGAACACACTCAGATATGCTGCAGAGTAGGTCAAAAGTCAACAGATCCAATCCTGAAGCTGTGTTTCAGGAGATGTTCAGCTGCATTTCTCACGGGTAAAGTATTTCCTGGAACCGAGCATAAACAAAGACTTGCCAAACATCATTACAACAACCCTTTGATAGATAGTTTGAGTTGCTCATTAAGATGGAGATTAGCTGGAAATGGAAACGTATGCATAGTCCTAAAACTGCAACATCGTTCTGTGAAATGGCTCCCTGCATTGCTTTGGAGAAATGAACAAGACCAGTGAAGTTAAAGAAATATGGGACACCTTCATGCAATTTTTGAAAGCAACCAAGCTGAAATGAAAATAAAATAATAAATAAAAGAACAGCACCTAAGATTATCAAGAGAGTGACACTTTATCTAGGCACTAGATTGAAACTTTATTTTATTTATCTGTATACTTATACATATATTTAGTTACTGTACAGGCAAATATACTTTTTTCCTTTATTTAAATGTTTTTTTCCTTATTACCAATGCTGTTATTTTTTTGTTGTCCCTTTTTAGTACAATCTTGGTTTGTTTTAAGTTATACCCCGAGGGTTTGTTGTGGGTGTTTGAATGTATATTTTTATATATGCAAAAACATATATAAATTGTTTTTAAAAAATGAACTCTGCCATTATTTTTAACCTGGGCACTTATGGGGGCCGTAGCTCAGGGCCCCCATTTTCACAGATTTTTCCATCATTAGTTGGTATTATCAGTTCATACCTAGTTATGTATGATACTTTCTATTAATTATTGCATTAGCAAAATATATTTTCTTTAGGGGACAGAACAGTCCCAGGGCTCACGTCCTTGTAGACCTGGTCCTGTTTCTAAGCCTAAGAGATTATAAGCTGTTAGAGGTATAATCTGAAAACACAGTAGTAATGATGAAAATACAACTAATAAAAAATAGAAGTCAATTTAGTCCATAAATTAAGTCATAAACATGAAATAACCCAGGGACTAAATACTGGCCAAAATCACAAAAATTTATTAATTTCTTGGTGAAAAAGCTTTTTTCTTCATTCATGCCTCTTGAATGAAGTCGGTGTTGGTGAGGTGTGATTTTGGCACATTCTTTCATGCCAACTGCCTTCAAATATTGAAGGTTCTGGGTAAACAAACAAGATGAGTATTCCAGTAGTTTGACATTCTTTCTCTGAAACCAATTAAGAGTTTCTTGTACTCTGTTGTTTTACTTAGAAATTATCATTAGATTCTTTTCAAGAATGTTGTGGTGCTTTTTCCATTCATCCTCTCTTGGTTTCTGTGAAGAGAGGATGAATGCTGTATGAAAGCCAACTCTTGAATGTTCCGATCTGCAGACATAATATGACCATAATAAAGTTTCCCAGTATTTCTTTGGACTGTTCGAATTTCATTAATTTTATTTTATTTTTTTGTTTGAGGAGTGTAATATTTCGCAGTGAGAGTGCATTAACAACATTTTATATTGTTTTCATAGGAAAAACTTTAAAAGGATTGCAACAATAGAAATATGTATTTAAAATAACATAGTAAAAAGAATTGCAGGCTGTTTACTTTTCTTAACAAAATTTAAATAAAAATATTTTCACATGGACGTAGCCATGTTGTTTACGGTGCAATGCATCCTGGGTAGATGACGTATGCTAGGTGCATCATGCTAGCTCCGACCAGGTAGAACAGAACCGTCATTTTTGCGCAGTAAGTAACGCTCAGCTTCTTCAATTTGAACCAGATCGCAATAGAGAAATATCAAGAGGAAATGAAAACGAGATGGACCGAACCAATAAAGAAAAAAGTCGGCCGGAAGTGCTAGTGTTTGAGCGGCTGCTGCTTGGACATGCCAACCGGAAATTAGTTCGTTTGCTGCAAAGATCGCAAAAAGCTTCGGTTTCCAAATCAAGCGGTTAACGGTAAGCTTCGCGACCAAAATTTTTCTCAAATACATTGGAAAAGTGTCTTGCAAAGATTTATAGATGTTGCATTGTTATATTAGTTGATTTAATATCGCTTAGCTTGTGCTAATAGTGTTAGCTCCTGTTTACTGTAGTAACAGTTGATCACAAACCGGTAACTTTTATTTATTTGTTTGTCGTGTCTTGTGTATAACGCCAATTGGAAACTTTGAGGTAGCTTGCCTGAATCCAGATGTTTTGTGGCCGCAGTTTTGACATCTTGTGTTTTAGTTTTAATTGTGCAGATGACAAAATAGCGACCTCTACATGATCCAACAAAATGGCGACCTCTGTATGGTCTAACAAAATGGCGACCTCCATATGGTCCAACAAAATGGCGACCTCTGTATGGTCCAACAAAATGGCGACCTCTGTATGGTCCAACAAAATGGCGACCTCCATATGGTCAAACTGTTAAGCATTCAATTTTTATTCGACTTCATCTTTACACCTGGCTGTGTTTAGTTTCACATCTGGAGCCCTGGAGTTGACTGATGTTTAATTAAACCAGAGTCACTGACCAAAACTCAGTCTTTTAATAAAAACTTGGGTTTTCATGTTTTGATCTGTTTGTGTCAGACTCTGAGAGGTCACCATCTTTACAAAACCTCTCCTACAGAGCATGTGCTCACCACTTCTCTTTGTTTTAGTTGTTTGTCTAAGGGCACGTGGATTTGTAGGGTTTCCCACAGTTGCTTTTAGGTGTTGACGTGACATCGTCACGCATCATGGAAGGTCTCTCAGACAAGCTGTACCAATGTTTTCCTGATTCTGTTTCTGATTAGTTGCACCTCTGGTTTTCCATGTAACAGTCTTCCACTCCCTTCCTGTTTTGTATTATATCTCTAGTTCAGTCAGACTGTAAGAAGAACTCATTTGAACTTTACTTCTCAACTCTTGCACAGATTCTAAGTTGGATATATATCCAGGCTTTGACTTGACCATTCTATTTTTTAATTTTTTTCATTTGAGTTCTGGCTGTATGTTTACTGTTGTCCTGCTGGAAGGTTTATCCTCTTCCAGGATTGTTTGGTAGTTAGCTCCTTCTATTTTACAAAAACCTCTGATCTGATTCCCTTTCCTGATGTAGAATAGCATCCCCAGAGCATGTCACGGCCACCGCCATGTTTTGCTGCTGCTTGGTGTGGTTGGTGTGATGTGATAATGAAGTTTGTGGTTGAATAGACCCAAAATGCAAAAACACTCAGGGAGTTTGAAAACTTTGTCAAGGCAGTTTAATCAAGGGGGAGCAATTAATAATGTAGAACAGGAGGTCCAACGTAGGGCGGTTCATCCAGATAAAAATTTTAGTTACATTTTAAAAGGTTTAAAACTAAAAATATGTATTTTTGAACTAAAATGCAAGATAATCCTCTTTTATGAATATTTTATCAGTTTTTATCAGGACAAATAGTCCTATTTGTTTGTACCAAATAGGATTACAAACATCCAGTGAGTTTCACTCAAAGCAGACTTGCACATATTTAAACTGAGTGCACATATTTAGTAAACATAACTAAATAATGCGGGACTTTCTTGAAATTGACCCACATTCACATTTTTTTATGACTACTAACATAAAATCTAGACAGAGAAAACATCAGCTGAAAAATCTAGGACACTGCATGGTGTTTTTGTTTCTTATTGTTTTTCCTAACAAGACAAACCTGCAGGACGGAAATGAGTTATGAGTCCATTTGTACAGACTTTATTGTTCATTTAAAATCCCAGGTTTAGTTTAAATTATTTTTTAATGATGCATAATTTAAAAAAATGGTTTGCAATAAAATAGGTAATGTATTTTTAATTTAACAAACAAAAAACATGTGTCATGGTTGGTGTTTGGGTGGAACCAAAAGAAGGCAGATCAGAGTTGAAGTGAAGAGTTTTAATTTGGACTTGGAAACAGAGTGAGCTAAAACAACAGAGCCCAGCTATGTAAGTTCATTGTTTGGCAGTGACTCACTAAGACAGAATGGACCTTGGGTAAATTTCCGCCACTGTAAAAATATGTAATTATCTGCAGATCAGCCGTTCAGATTGCTGATAAATGACTCTGTGTTCTGGTAGACCGGCTGTTTTCAACCAGAACCGGTTTGATCACTCCTTCTGCTAACGCTACATCACAATGACAATTCAAGTAATTAATTAAATGAATCAGCAAACCCAAACAGGAACTGCAGTTCATTTTCTCGCCACTTGTTGGCAGCAAAAACAAGCAGAAGATTTTTCTTCTGTATCTATGGCGTATCTGATTGATTTCCCCTAACTCTTTAATAAAACTTAATTATCAAATCAAAGCGAGTAAAGTAGAAGAGGGTTTAACTACAAAACAGTTTAAAACAATTAAACTGAGTTGAATTGAGCTGAACATTTTCTAAACAGTGTTGGTAAATGTTTTTTAAAAAATCAGTTTGAATCCATCAGAACATAGTTATTACAATTTCCCAACTTAAGCTTTATAAACTTTTGGTGGATTGTTGAGATAGGGCCTTAAATCAAATAAGGTAAATTGATGTGAGTACAACAATATGAGAAGTAATTGAAGGAAACATGATTTTATTTGCAATAAAAAACACAAGTCTTTATTTGACATGAAACAGAGAGAAATTATATATAAACTTTCTATAAAACAGAAATATAACACTTGGCTTAATGGCTCTGCTCCGATTTATTCAGAGAACATGATCCATTTTGGACTGTATTCAACCCAAATTTGTTATCTAAACATCACATTCTCTAACATCAGTTTAAAACTATGAAAATAAAATACCAAAATAGTTTTGGCTTTATGTTAAAATGGCAGCTTTTGCACAGGTAAAATATAGACAAATAATACTAAACCGCTCATGAATTTGAATTGTATGTTTCTCTTTCTGTAGAATCAGCTTTTTTTACACTCCTTCCATGACCTTTTTCCGGACGGGTGGCATGTAGTTGCTGCTGATGCTTCTGGCTCTCTTCATCTGGTACACCACCTCAGCTGCTTCGTCCGACAGACACTGCTCCAAAATGAGGGAACAAATGTGCATTTATGGGATATTTAAACTGCAAGATTGTAAAACATTTGCTTTTAGTTACATTCATAGTTTTCTTAATCTAAATGCAATCAGGCACAACTAAATTTTACTGCATTTAATGTCTCAATCAGGCAAACTTAACATGTTTGGCATGTTTTTTCTTCAGAGTTTAACTTTATTTTTCTATTATGGCTGAAACTAAAAGTGTTGGCTGGTGTGACGGTAAATGCAAAGGCACCTGAGAATCTGCTTTCATGTTGCCACAAATTGTGGTCATGGTTTCCATCCAGTTACCATAGATACTCTCTTCCTTTTGGATTGGCCTCAACCTACTGCAACGCAGACAGACAGGAAATAATCAATACACGTTTAACCCAGCAATTAAAATGAGCCAAGTCTTAAAACCCAACTTTAGCCTTTTAAAATGAATGGATTTATTCCCACACCAGTCTCCTGCATTCTGATGGGATTCTAAGTCTCTTCTTCTTCTCTTTTTCTTGAAGGTGTTTCACCTCAAATTCAAAAGGATTCAGTTCTGAACATGATTGGAACTGATGAAAATTATAAGTTGCAATCTTGGTAATAGCTGCTGGAAACATGACAAATGTTGCAGCTTTGGTCCCTAATTGAACCGAGTCGACCGGACTACTAGATGTCTGGTAAACATGTAGTGAGATGTGCAATGACAGCACTTGGAAAAATTCAAAATTTAATGGATTGATGTGAAAACACTCAGTGAGATTCAATGGTTTTGATAGAAAGTGACCATGCTCGGATCTCAGAGAGGAAGTAGTTTCCTCACTACTTCCTGTCGGGCAGTGTTGGTAGTACCTGATGTGTTGCAGCAGGTCTTGTTGAGCTGCTAGCTGCCTCTGTGCTTCGGCCACGCGGCCGTCCATGGTTAAACCGGCGCACAGCTGAGCGCAGTGGACGGCCAGCACCGCCGTGTTGAGTCTTCCCAGGGGAATCTTACTTTAGACAAAACCGACCAAGTGAAGTCAATACCAAAGAATCTAAAAGACAAACCAGTTTGGTTTATTGGGTGATACTGGGAGTAAGCTGTGGTTTTGCTTTTAACCTGCTGGTGGTTACTGGCCGTTGTTCGGTAATGATGCGAGTGACTTTTTGCTGGTCTCTGCTCTTGAAGCTGAGCTGCAGCTGGAATGGAAGCGTGTTCCTCTGGAGACAATCTTGTAACCAAACAACATCTCTTAGCAAAACAAAACTTCTTTTTGTTTCTGTGCTCAAATGTTTTATTTCTGACTAACTCACATTCCATGTAATCTGGTTTCACAGCAAACTGGAAGGTGATCTCCAGTCCCTTTGTTACGTTTCCGATCTCTCTCACCAGCTTGTGATTGTTCTCGTCCTCATATGGGAAATATCTACAGGGAGAAGAAATGTTTTAGTTGTTTGAACTATTTCATATATCAATTGACCAATAAGCCATAACATTTTGACCAATTATCAAGAAACAGAGGTGAGCGGATTGGTCCAAAATATTGATTATATTGATACCAAGTTGAGATTGATCATGTAGTTTCAGATTCCCTCTTGAAATTATATTTTTTGGTGTGTGTTTGATTTCAGTCTCCACTCACACGCCGTCAGGAGCAAGCAGGGTTGCAGTTACACTTGTTGCTAACACGTTGTCTTCAGAAATGGACTGGATCTCTGTCGCCATGGTGCCGATGCTAACAATGTTCACCTGAGGGGGACAAAACATTAAGAGTTTAAAATGTATTTTTTATGAAGTCTTCACAATGGCAGTGTAGGGTTTATGGTCTCTGGATGAGTTGTGAGCAATGGTGCGACTCGATTAAAATTTTTAATCGAGTTAATTGTAATTTATTAATCACAGTTAATCAAAAATTATATATTGAGAAAATAAGCAACAATTTTGATTCAAAAGGGAATTTTTGCTGCTAAATTACACTGTATAAATCAGAGCTTCTCTGTTCAATTTTAGCAATTGAGGAATCAGTTTCTTGACAGTAATTTTTAAAATAGAATAATGCTTTAAAAATGCTATGCTTATGTCTTTAAAATAAGAGTCTAACTTATTTTAGACTTATTTTAATTGTTTATGCTTTGAATATTGTAAAATCTGATTTTCGATTTAATGTCTGGCAGCAATCTGTCAAATTGTACATGAGCTATGTTAGGGCTGGACAATAAATCAGTAACTTATATCACAATAGAAACATAATCTATGTCAATAGATATTAGATCCTGATAAAATGTTCAATATTCACAGAACTCAGATCCAGAACCGCAAAGCATTCTGGGGGATGTAGGCAGATTAAAGGCTTTTTCCGCTCAATCTGCTGGTCAGAAACATGGACGAACTCACTCAATCTTTGGTTACCTGCTGAGTAACTGGGGCAGCAGCAGTTTAAGGTTTTGCCACCATATTTGAAATGCTTAAAAATAAAAAACAATGGGGTGGAAACTGTGGATACAACTCTGGATAAAACAGAAAAGGTCACGCCACCAGTCAGATAGTATTTCAATATTTAAAACATAAAGCTTTGTTGTCATCAACTTATGATCACATTTTATACAAATATATGTATTTTTTTTAACCTTTTCTTGTAATTGAGTGACAATAAGGATAACATTTTCTCTTTCAGCATGCTTTTATGTTGCTGCTGTGATGCCTGACCTCCATGCTTTCAAGCATTGCTCAAAACTACAATACAAAAATATTTACACCTCAGATTTTCTGCATTTGTAACTGCCATATAATATTTTGAGTAAATGTGCTTACAGCTCACACCAAAAAACACCAACACATTCACAAACAAAAAAATAGAACACACCTACACAACAATAGTTTCAGTTAACCTTTGGTAGACATTTGTAAAATTGCCGTTATGCTGAGTAAAAAGGCTTAACCACTGCCTGACCAGCTTCCTGTTTAAATGTAAAACAGTGTTACTTTGTTCTTCTTTAGACATTTTAATAAATTCATATTTGTGCCAAGATAACCAGTTAAATGTGCTTAATTTTGTGTCTCACCCTTCCTCCAGTCACATCAGCCAGTCTCCCAATATCAGCCAAGCAGCAGTCTGTCCCTTTAAAGGACATCACTGAGATTATGATTCTGAAAAAAACAAGAAATTGTTTATTTATTCTTAAGAATACAACAAAAACATTCTAGCGTGGAGTTAATGGGGAGGTTAGTGTGTGTGTGTTTCCTGACCCTTTCTCTACTGCCTGCAGACTCAACTGTCTGTAGAAATATGAAGCCTCTGCATTACAGGACAGAACTTGCTCCATGTCTCCGAGTCCGATGTTGGCTCTGCCGTCAGTGCACAAAATGACCTGCAGCATACATTGAAATAAAGCTGTGACACAACTGAATTAAACATTCAACCTTTCAGATGAAATTACGTATAAGATCATTTTTTTTTTAGCATAAGATCTGACTTATGCATATTTTGTTTTAAAGGAGCAGTATGATGTATTTTCCAGGCTCATAGTGCCGTTTTATACCGATAATGAGATAACCATGGTACCTTCAGTCATTATTAAATTCTATGTATATCAAATAGAAAATTTCACTTGAAATTGGGCCTCTGTCTCTTTAAGAAACTCCTCCTCTTTCTAAAACTCTACCTTCAGGAAGTCATTACAACATTGCTCCATTATTAAGCCTTTATTGACGTTTTTTTTTTTTTTACCAGTGTTTCACTGAGAAGTAGCTCGTGTCACAGGAGCTCGGCCACCCAGCCGTTTAGCACACCTGAAAGGTGTGCTACCTCATCATTAAAGGTGACGATTCCTTCTCAAATGTATATAAAAAACTCAAGGCGGCACTTCAGGTATGTTTTTGATGTGGGAATAACATAATAACATGATGTAAATTTAAAAAAAGTCAATTTTAAATGATACTGCCCCTTTAAAAGGGCACAGTAAAAAGAGCTTCTGACTGCCCCCTGCTGGGGGATTCATTATTTTATATTTCTGGCTGATTTTCTGGGAATTCTCAATTTTTAGAAATGTCAACGTTGGCAGGAGTTACTCCTCACTTACCTTGGAGCCGGGGTATTTTGATGCTAACGCTACTGAAGCTAACGCTGCCGGACCGAGAGCTGTTGCTCCATTTTCCCTTAACCTGGAAGACATGGAAATATAAAACACCAGTAGCGTTTCTGTGTTTTTACGCTGTTTAAATTTATAGTGGACAATGAGTTGTCTTTGTTTACTTTTTTGACAGAATTTCTTACTCTTTGACTCTCTGGGTGAGATGTTGGTATGTCTCAGCGATGCAGTGAGGGACACTGTAACCCAAAGCCTGTTTCCAGATGTGTTCGTAGTCAACCAACGCCCAGTCCTTGATGGTGAGCGGAGTCCGAGTACCATCCCCGTAGATAACAACCTGACGGACAGGCAGCAGAAAACGTGACCAAACAAAATCACATTTTAACCTTAAATGCTTCATTTTCAAAGGTTTCATTCAACTTTGAACTTCATTGACCGCACATTCTGAGTCAACAATGGCTTATTGCAAAGGGACCTAGTTATATGACAGAGGCGTCCAAGAAATCCAAACAAACCACAGTTTGACTGAAACAGACTAAACAGCATTGGTGTGAATGCAGCCTAAAAAACAACTCATATGAACGTCTGGCTCAAAAATGGCCGGCACATCAGTCCTACCTCATCATTAAAGGTGACGAGGGCCACCCTGCGGTGCGGCGTCTGCTGCAGCGTGAACGTTAGCGTCTTCTGAAGAGCATCCTGGATTCCCTGTTGGATGACAGCAATCCACCAAGTAATCCACAATCAATAGATTTCACACAGGGTTTAATTTAATCATCAACAACAAATTAATGTCTCACCTCTAATCTGGATATGTGAAGCATTGAGCCGCTATCGGAAGTCACCTAAAGAGAAATCATAGAGAAGTGATTGTACTATGATCTTTTTGTGGTCAAACGTATGTAGGTGTTTCTACTTGCAGCTCTTTCTCTTTTTACGTAAAACAACACAACGTCCATCTTGCAAATGCATAAAACATAGAGATATGCTTAAAATGCCCTTTCAGAAGTTACAAATTTAACTACACAAGGAAAATTCAGAAGAGAGCAAAGAAAAGCCAAATAGGGCGTCCTGATTGAATCTAATGGAGACGTGTTTGTGAAACCGAAAGCAGAGAGATCATATCTGTTGTGAAAGCCGAGTCTTTGTTGTGAGTGACTTCTTGTGCTTTAAGTGCTTCTCATCAGTGACACACACTGCCATTTAGTCTGTTGTTATCAGAGCTAAAACGCCAGATTTTTATCAGTTGTGGTTTGCGTTCTTGGTATTTCTACAGATCGTTTACATTTTTTTTTTTATTGGAGATGCTGAACATGCAGATCTTTTAGCTGTTTTCTCTCAAGTCGCTCCTGAATTCAGTTGGTTGAGGTTCAGCTACTAAATACAGATGTAGCAGAAAGGTAGACTGTATTTTAAAGTATATCTTAACATTTCTGTGAAAGTGTATCTTTGGAAAATTTGGAAAAAATTGACCCTGAGGGGCGTGGCCAAGTATAGAAAACATGCTCATGACAGTTTTGCAGTTTTTTCTTAGATAAGATTTTAGTCTCTTTTGAGCAAGTGGCTTATGGATGTTTAGTCAACAACAAAACACTTGTACGTTGTACAGCTCATACAGTGGTAAAACCAGCTGACCAAACATGCTGGGCTTCACCGGGGTTGCTAGGTAACAGGCTGGGTTTACTGAGGTTGCTAGGGAACGGCGCGGTGCCTGCTGATTTGTGACGTTACATTCCGCAGGTTTTTGAAGCTACTCATTTTCCAGACACCAAAACTTTTAACTTATTGCCAGAAACTATCTGCATTGGGTTTTTTACGCACTTGGCTCTTGCGTTGTTTTAAGATGTAGTAGACAATTAAATGGAAGCATAAAAACATGCACAACTTGAATTTTGCATAATGCTTCTCATTGAAGTTTTCTGTTTTACACAAACCTCTGTAGTGACCGTCATGCTGCCAGAAATGTCCACACAGAAAACAACCATTGTGTCCTCCAGGTTCTGGTAGTCGTCTTCGCTCATTCTCGGCAGGTAGAGGTCGTCAGTACGCACACCCGCACGCTGACCGACGCACACTTGGGCCAAACTTTCGTCTACACCGTTTTCATATCCACAGAACTCGCATACCCACAACTGCACAACAGAGGACAAACTTAAAATGCTAATTTGTGTTCTTACAGGAAGGATCGTCTTTAACAAATAAAACAAAAACCTGGTTATATTGACATGAAATATTTACCTTCTTCCACACTGAGCTGAGACATGACAGCGCAGCACTACATTTCCCACAAATCACCGGGTTCTGGAAGGTCTCCAGGCCTGCATCTGCAAAGCAGAAATAGGATAAACTAATGGGAAAATGATGATGTTTGGTTTGTGTGTGTCCTGACCTTGGCTCATGTCAGCCAGTTTTCCAAGACCAAGTGAGATGACGTTGATGTTGACCTTAAAACGATTTTCCTCTTCCAGCAAATCAACTGGAAGAATCAGAAAAAATCGGTTGGAAAAGTAATTACATTTCATCCATATTTAATCTTTAAGAGTTTGATTGAGGGTCACTTACGTCTGGGAGGAACCGGAGGAGGAAGAGAGAAAGGAGTGACAGGAAGTTGAGTGGGGAGAAAAGGCATATTGGGAAGGGAAATGGGTCGAGGTTTTCTCTGGCGGCGTGGCGGCAGCGGCGGAGGACGTGGATCTGATGAAACAAGAACCATCAAGTGTTAGATATGCATCAAAAATAGGTTAAACGGCTTAATTCTTCAATTTATCATGTCACTACAGAGACACCGTGATACGGCAGATTTAAACAAGATTCTTCTCTTGAGTAAATTTGATCTCGTGCAAATAAGAAAAAAAAAACAGAAGTTTGCATAACAGATAAGTTCAGTCAGCATTTCCAATGTGTACAACTTGTGAGATTTCTTCTATTTCTAACATTATATATCAAGTGGTCATGTTATATTATTTTCACACATTTTTTAAATGGTGAGAAATCTGGAAGCCGTCTGTCTTTTTGACATTGTGTTGAAGAGGTACGGAGGCTTTGGAGTGTGTGAATTACTGGTGTTTTCCCGCTGAAGTGAGAGCTGCAGGATCAGATATTCACTCGTTTAGAAAGTCTTGACAACTTGACAACTACGCACAAGTAGGTGCACAAGTCAGGTGTGTCCTGATTTTCTTTGTTACTTAGGTTTTTTAACTTGTATTTTTAACTTGTTTCTTATAATATCACTTAACTTTGAACTCTTTCTGTTTCCTTCTCATGTTTTTTAACACTGCAACAACATCTTTGCTTCTTTCCGTGTATTTTTTGTTGCAGTGTTAAATTATTTCTTATTTATTTTGGTATTTTCTGGTTTCCTTCTTAATTTCTTTCTTGTTTAAACACATTTTGCCTGACTTTTTAATCATGCATCAAAATGACTCTGACATCATGGACTTTCCACTTGTTGAGTTGCAACCTGCACAGCTATGCAGTCTTTCTCTTCTCTTGCTTTTGCAGGCATGCCCACACACACACACACACACACACACACACACACACACACACACACACACACACACACACACACACACACACACACACTTAGGCATGGAGGTTTCCTCTTTAATATGCTTTCCTGTTATCTCGCTGCAATACTCTGGAGAATAAAAACGTTCACTTGAGAGAGAAAAACAACTGTTAAGAAGCACTGGACTTGGAAAATGTTGAGTTTTTGCTGAAGTGTGTGAGAAAGTCACCTGTTTGTAGAATCGTTCTGTTTTCATATTCGGGTCCAAACTGAGAATTACCTGCTGTTAGAGAGAGAATTAAAAAGCTAAATATGAAAAGCTTTGATGAATTCAACGGAACAAACAGTTCTATCAACTTTAAAGAGTTTGGTCACATTTTTGTCTTAGTTATTTAAAACTTGCTAAAGGTTCGAAGACATAAACCTTTGTTTGAATATTAGTCCTGATAAAACATTCCTCATGTTTGAGGGAATGGACTGGTCTGAGATGGGCATTTATCAGATTATCATTTATTGTGATACCATTTCTTGTAAGAATTTAGATCAGTCATTGTTTTTCTTCTTTTTTTTTCCACAAAGGCATCAACAAATATCTGTAAATATGGAAAATACAGTTAAATAAAGAATCTATGTGCAGTTTAGTGATATAAATCCCTTTTTTTCTGCATCTGTCTGTCAGATAAAAATGAAGTAATACATAGTTTATCATTATTCACCATAGTCCTATAAAATATCGTGATGTATTTCTAAGTCCATGTTGCCCAATGCTACTCACGCGTTCCATCTGGGCCCCAGTTACATACAACATGGCTGCAAGCAAACTCCATCTGGCAACCACAAAGATGGACAGAAATCTTTAAAATTTAAATTACAACTAGAGGAAGAGAGGTTGTCTGTAAAAGACAACAATAAGTCAGAACAGCAATCTGAAAATGACAGCTCAGCTTCCTGGAGTTGCCCTCACAGCATCACCACAGCATCTGGTTTGCCAATCCTGTTATTTTTCAAGCTAACAGGTGGCTGAGTAAAACCATGACAGCAAACACTTCCTCACTTCCTGTGTGAACAACAGTGAGGGTGAAGAGAACAAGGCGCTGCTCTGCGAGGGTTTAAATCATTGATGAGGCGAGTTGCTCTGCCAAAAACGAGAACATGACACAGAAACAGACGGGATTTAACCAGCGGCACGCGGCGCTAACCACAACATAAACAGTGACCAGCAGCCAGAGTCAGGCAGTTACTAGTTACAGTTACTCAGTTATAGTTACTTCTGTCATTTTTTTAAAAACATGTTTACTTTTCTGAGAATTTTTACTTGAGTAATTTTATTATGAAATATTTTTACTCTTACTTCAATAAAACATCTGGATTTTCTTCCCACTGAATGAAAAACAAACATGTTTTAACCAAAAACTCACCAGACAGACATGTTTGTTTCAGATCTTTAATGATGTACAGACTTTGATAAAAGTACTATTTTTGAGTAGGTAAAAAAAATGACACCATTTCTAATTTAATGAATTTTGTGGCCTTCAGGTCAATTTACTAATTGTGTCTGTATTTTTGGGCTGCCTCAGTCTCAGGTTTTTTTCAGCCTCTAACAGCTTTTGTTCGGCTTTGCTTTGCATCCCCACAGGATGACGCTGCCACCGCCATGTTCCATATAGGGTGAGTATTTGCTTTCCATCACAACCAGAAAGTCTCTTAAGCCCAGACCTGACTCTTTTCCCATTGATGAAAAAGCACCTTCATGGCATGATGCTGCCGCCACCATATTTTACCAACAATAAAATGTGTTCAGGTTTATATGTAGAGATAATGTCACAATGCACTAATCATTTTCATGTATCTGCTTTATTAAGTAGATGGAATACTTCTGGAAGCTAAAACATAATATAAACATTACATTTTATTAACAATACATCTTTGTTTTATGTTCATTTGTTACACCTGGTGCCTATTTCAGTATAAAGTGATGAGGTTCAAGAATCCATTCATGTTTTCTGGATGCTAGAAGAATATCCAACTGTAAATATGCGTTTGCTTGGTATTCAAATGAAAATGTGTAACAACTCAGATCTGTGTAGTAGGATGTTATTTCCTCTTAATATTTCTATAGCAACTGTTACGCTAATTCTTGTGAGGGGAAAATAAGAGACTGAAAACCACAACGTACTTACGGTACTGCAGTATTTATCATAAAGAAGCATTTTCACATCGCCCACGTTTGTCAAGGTTTAACAGAGGAGTGCTGCACTTGACCATTCACTTCCTGAGTCTGGAAGCTAGCCACCAAATAATTCAAATTTACGTATTTTAGCACAAAATGTCATGATAACATTAAATAACTTGAAATAGGCTCCCAAGCACCATATGATAAATAAAACATTTCTCAGGCTGTATGTGTTTAGTGTTGTGGAGAAAATCAGAGACTTGGGTTTAATTTTAGACATAGGAAACGCTGTCGTCAACCGCTAGCAGCTGCACGTTAGCATAGAAACTGAGAACAGTTCAAGTATGTCCGGCTCTTTTTCAGTTTTTACTGAGAATGTCTGATAACACATGGGTAAAGAATAATTCACAATCATCAAACTGATCATTCTTAAAGTGAAAATGTTTTGTACAAGCTAACATGGCTTAGCATGCGTTAGCATGACTCATTTAATGTTATCAGAAATTGGTTCCTTTTAATCCAGTAGCCACTTTTAGCTTCGGTTTATTTCTCCAAGTTTGGAGGTGACCGATAATTTGGACTCTTAACCTCATTAATTTAAAACATGTAGCATGAAAGCTAGCTGACCCAAATTTAGGCAAATGCAGCTAATCTAGCATTAGCTTAAAAATTACTCCTATTTTATCATGAGTTAATTTTTCTCTCAAAAAACTCTTATCAAATAAAATAATGTTCTGTATCAGATATATAAGTATATATATTTTTAGAGCAGTTTTATTTTATAATTGTTTTCTTTTTATAACTATTTACACTCCTTTGAAGTTTTTCTTTTTTTCACATAATAAACCTCTATGTATTTTATTGAGATTTTATGTGATGGACCAACACAACGAATGAAACATTTGTGAAGCAGAAGAAAAATATGTATGTATATTTTCTACATTTTTTATGAATGCAAGTCTGAAATGGTGCTACAAATTTTTTATTTGCTCATCTTTAACTTGATATAAGTGGCTTCAAATGTTACCTTATCAGTAATTGGCACCCATCTAGCAGTAAATAAACCAGTAAATTGAGACAATATTGTGAAATGAAAATGCAATATGAAATGGGAGCAAGACAAAATACAGCCCTACCAAAACACGGACGTAATGATAAAAAATGTAACACCAACACTAAGAGACGTAAACGATTTCCTAGGGATGATAGATGTAAGGAAAAAAATTAATTAATGTATCACAAAAGACCGACGATTATGACACAGGTTTCCGGCTCTTCATCTTATCGCAAACTTTGGATTGTTTGTTTGATTGATGTAGTGGCAGAACTTTGATTTGGCTCTTTTCTGGTATTTTTCTCTGTGAAAATGTTTTATCTGGCTCTGGTTCATTGAATTTAAGCTTCTAATGAGCCAAAATCTTTACATTTTGACTCCTTGATCTCATGCGGAAGTGTAGCGCCGCTGTCCGAGTGACGCGGTTTAACATGAAAACTTTGTCCTCATATTTTTCATGTTAGAATGATGTAATTTTCACATTTGAACAAAATGTTATCACTATTACACATATTCTTCTGGTGATAAAAAAAACATTTCATGCTGTATGAATTATGTCATTTATTTTGCAGAAGTCTAAAAAACGTTGTTGAACGTTAAATATCTATTTTCTTTTTCCGGGTTGGCAGCTCTGTTCTAATTTGCTGGAATAATCTTGATTCATATTAAAGAAAATTTTTTCAAAAACTGTTAATTAAATATTTGAAACCACCCTTAGGCTCATTGTTGGTGATTTAAACCTTTGGCGATTTATTGCCTGACTCAGTTTTCCGGCCTTCCTTTTAAATCGCTCACGATTTAAAAGGTCATCCTCCTAGATTTAAAAAACTTACTCAAGCCATTCTTATGAAGTTTCAGAAGAGGAAATACAATATTTGTAGGATTTTTTTCACCTTTTATGTAAATGTTCAATGAAAAGATTTCGATCAGTAAGAGGAGCCTCTTTATGTCTGTTACATTCAATCAAATATCAAATATTGTAAACATTGCAGTTAGTTTAAAAGACCCAGATTAACATTATGGCTCTGAAATTGCTGAAAAGGTCCACATAAACCTGAGGATGAAGCGGAGATGTTTGGTAATGGTGGTTTATCGTCCCACAGCGACAACAGAGCGAGGAGCGACTCACCTTTGTCGTGGTCTGTGTGCAGCGAGTGCAGTTTGTTAAACTGAAAGCTTTTCTTTCATGCAGCAGGTCGGTGGAGTGCATGAGTGTGGGAGTGCTCAGAGAGAGGAGCAGGAAGTCGGTGAACGGGTGGAGGTTGAGAGAAACACCAAGAAATGAAAGTTAAAAGGAAGAGGAGAGCAAAGACAGAAACAGATTAATTTTATCTACATCTTTACTGAAAAAAGAACTGCTTAATTTTAATCTGTCAGTTTCTGCTGTTTCCTCAGCTGTTGATTGATTTCCTATATATATATATATATATAAAAAACAACCTCACTGCATCTCAGCTTGGCTCAAACAGCCGTGAACTTTTCACATTTTTACACGTTTCATCTTCAACCTCAGTGTGTTTTGTTGCCATTTTATAAGTTAAACAGACGCAGATAGTTGTGGAGCAAAAGTTTTGTACTGGTACTTAAAAAGGCAATAAAACCGAACCTTTTTAACGTTTGATATTTAGCAGAAAACTCATTCTGCACTTCAGGTCGAATATGTAATCCATAGGGTAAAACATGGTGGTGATGGCATTATGCTGTGGGACTGCTTTCCTTTGACACTGTCAGGGAAACAAGATGTCCCTGAACACACAATCTGAGTTGGCTCGGATTAGAGCAAAGCATCTAAAGGTGTTAACATGTCCTAGTCAAAGGCCACACATAAACAAACTGTGCAAAGACTTGAAATATCTGTTTACAGACAAGGTGATATACTGAGGGTTTTCTGGTGTAAAAACAGTCAAAAATGACACTTTATAGCAAATATTTTTATTTAGTTAGTGCAACTGGGAAACGTCAACACAGTTTTTGACAAAAACATATAATTTCAGAGACTATCTAGGTAAGATGGAGAGTCAGTACTTAATTTTTAATGTAGAAGAGGTTAGAGTTTGTAGAAAGTTTGACTCAATTACAGTCAGTCTGATGCTAAACTAAAATAAAACCAGGAACATTTTTTACAGTGTAGCTCAAATAATAGACTTATTTGTTTGGAAGTTCATCTTTTTCATATCTAAAAGCAAATGGAAAATGAACATTCAGATTTCAAATGTGAATAATTGAAAAATGAAGGAAACACCACAGCAATTTAAACAATTAATAAATTAACTTTGTCCAACATGTAGGCTCGAATGTTGGGGTTTGTGCAGGGCTAGCAAATCCAAACACTGTCTTCTAAACATGAAAACAAAATAACACAAAGAAACAGGTGAACGTCCCAATTTTTAGCTGATTTTAATTTTAACAGAACAAAAAACAGTAAAGTTTGAGGCAAGCACTGCTTTTCTCAGATGTGACACCACTTCATATTTCACATTTGTTCGAAGCAACAATTAACAGCAGGTGGTCATTTTCAAGGCTTTCTATAAAAAAAATTGGTTTTATTTTTATTTATTTTGAAAATTAGCCTAACAGGAATGCAAAAACTATTTTTGTTTATGTAAAACTGCACGATGGTGCTGATGTCTAAATCGTAAGGCACAATTGAGGCATTTTTTTCACATTTTCTTAAAATCATAGGAATGACTAGGATTCAGTCTAGAGGGTCTAACCACCACTCTATGCAAGCAAATATGAAAACAAACATTTGACTGTAATAAAACTGATTTTTGTGATTAAATTGTCAATGTTTGTGACTAATCTCTACTAACATTGTGGGTTTTGCCTCACTTCTGCTCCGCCAGCGTTTCTACGACGGCTCTCAACATGGCGGCTACGGCCACGGCGCCGGGGTCAGGCAGGGTGACCCGCTCGGCGGCGATGTAGCTGGCCCGCCCGGCCCGCGCTGTGAGGTCACGGGTTGCCTCGGCTCCCGCAGCTGCTTTCTGTGGAGTCGGAGGAAATAAAGGGGAGACGACCGGTTTTAGCCGTCAAGTTGTCGACATCATGCACAAAATCTTTACTGTATGCATGATATGTAAAAGAAAAAGGGACGCAGTGCTTTGCTACTAATTGTCAACACTACAACAATGAGATAACAAGATCAGGCAAAATATAATTACAAAGAAATATCGAGGTAGAGGGAAGTACATCAGTAATGCTAGCTTGACTTTGACAAGCTAGCATGTAGACGTGCTGTGGAATTCGGGTCAGTTAAAAAAAAAAATTTAATGTTCTGTTCTTTGTGTGGAAAATGTTTGTGTTTTGGGGTTAAATCCTGATACATTAGTAGAGCTGTTGTCACTCAGTTGTCATTGTCAGCAGATCTGTTTGTAGCAAAATTGACTGAGAGGGCAGAAAAACTGAAGAAAAAAAAGTGGCTTTGAGTTGTTTAATGGTTTTTCTGTGTTATTTTTCCCTTTTGCTGTGGTGCATTCACTAAATTAATAATACCTACATCTCCAGGTTTCATTTTGTTAACAGTTGTTCTACAGGTTCATGGAAAAGTCTTTTTACCCTCCATTGTTGTGCGCATGCATGAAAGTTCTGGATGGAAACAATAATATGAAACGTGTCTGTAGTTACTGTACCGCCACAGCTGCATGAAGCACATCCATTTGTCCAGCAGGTGGTGCTGTAGTTAGCTTCATGAGCTCCTCTGCAGCCGGACACAAAGCATCCAGCTACAGAATGAAGACAGCAGCAGAGGTCAGAGTTCAAACAGGGTCAGGCTTAACAGTAAATTACATTATGTCATGATAAATCTAAACATGAATCCTCGTTTCTCACCATCGTTCTGTCTCCAGGGTCAGCGCCTCCGTATCTGAAGGAAGACATTTTTTTACTTTGATCTCTTTAGACTGATGTGTTTAGGTGATGTAGGTTATCTGGGTACCTTCTCATGGCTTGCGTCCCAGCATGCACTGCAGCAGCCCAGGCGGCGCCGTTGGTCTTCCCCTCGGTCACATGACCAGCTGCAGCGGTGAGAAACAGACTGTACAGCTGAAAAACAGAAAATAAGAACTGATCTCAGATTGTTTGGCAAAATATGAACATAATTAAATACATAAAGCTTCTATGGCAGGCCATTTTAGCACATAATCAAACCGCTGTGAATTGTTTCATTACATCAATCTTGGGTTATATGTGTTAAGCTTGTCAAGGAAGTGATTCTTGTCCGAGTTGTGCTGTTTTATTATTTCATTTGAAGAAAAATAAAGACATGTCAAAGAACTGTAAGAATTGCCTTTACTCAATTCTTTAGAAAAAGAGCATTTATGTTTATTAATTAAAATTTGAAGTGTCTTTAACATCAGTTTTACTGTTCATGTTTGTCAAGTTTTCAGCTTCATTGTTTCTCTCTATAATGAACATTTTTGGTTCTTGAAAACAGTAACAAATCAGCTTGCCGTACTGCTCCCGAGGATCCGCCCATTTTCTCCTCCACCAATCCAGCGAGGACGGAAAGCAGTCGCCCCGGGCAACCAGGAACCACATGATCCCGGAGCCACTCCTGCACGGCTGCAGGAGCAACATGATAATGGTTTGGTATTGGTTTTTATTTTCCTCCTGTAAAAACTGTCTCACCTCTAGCGGCCTGAGCGTGAGTGTTGCCACAATCTCCGTCCCCGGAAGCCCGGTCCAGAGAGTTTAGTTCCTCCTGCTTTTCCAGCAAGGTGGAACAGATCTTGTTTAAAACTTTGTGCATAACGGGACTGAGAGGCCCTGGGAAAAATGTAAAAGATTAAATTTACATGGAAATAATACATTAACATAGGAACCTAAGTTAACTAGCTTGATTTTTAGTACCAAATAAGTTAAAATATATTGTAATTTAATAATTTTTTGTCCTGTTGCAGTTCGCTTTGTATAAATTTCATTACCAGCCTCTTGGAGCGTTAGATGCAAAGTTATTTACAATATTTCTACATGAAATAAACAGATTTTAACAAAATTTAGTGACCTTTGGCGTGTTTGTCATCCTGTGGCCGTGTGATCATAACAGGAGCTGAAGTGATGCAGTTGCGTCCGCTCACAGCAGCAGTGCTGAGGTTTGGCCAGGCGGGGGCGCTGGTCTTAGTATCTGAGTTGAGATATGCGGTTAACTAACTGCAAAAACAGATTAAACTTAATAAGTTGACTAAATTTTAGTTACATAAATGTAAAAATGTCTCACACAGTAAATTAGTGAAAAAAATTCTAAATAGTTTTGAAAACTATTGAAGCAGAAGCACATGAAATCAAACAAAATTTAAATTTTCACCTAAACCTAAAACTTCCTTCCATATTGTTACTTTTTAAATAATGACGTGAAACAAAAGGTTTATGCTGTTTACCAAACAGCCTCAGTGTTTCTGGGTTGACCTTCATCAGGGTCAGAGAAACTCCCGCCATCTCCAGTGACGTCATGAACGACCCGACATCACCCTGGCAACCACAACCCCACGGCTCTCTGTAACCATGGAGACCGTCAATAAACCTCCACACAACCGTTGGAACAAAAGTCCAACAAAAACATCAAAATAAAAACAAAATAGTGTTGCTTTTATATTTAACATTTCCAAAACGACTCAACTGTTTTAAGTGAAACACAAAATAAGGACAAATCGACTTAATCACCAGTTAAATTTTTGGCCTTAAAAAACACTTTTTATATTTTAACCAAAATAATCTACCTCAGTTTAGGATTATTCATTTGAGGTCCATTCCATGCTTCACTTTGTCCCTTGTATCCAAAAAACACATCCTTAAAAACTGCATCGGAAATCTAATGTTGGCACGTTTCTAAATCTTTTTCATGAACATTAGCCCTCACCAAACCCGAAAGAATAATCTTAAATTTACAGGACTTTTAACAGCTTCAAACGTCAGTTTAAGGAGTAAAAATCTATGACCTTTTGTTTTAAATCCTTTAATGCTGAAATATCTGGCTGCACTTAAAAACAAGTGTCCCCAAATATAGAGTCTAAATATAAATTTCTTAAATAATTAACCAGTTTATATCAGTGCAAGCTAATCTTTGCAATATTGTGTACAATGTGATAACGGTAAATGTGTGATTTCTTATGCAGCCCTGGCTAAGGTGGTGTTAAATCATGCTGTTACTGTTCTAACATAGTATACTGCTGAAACACTGATATTAAGTTTCGTTAAATGGCTACAGATGGAAGCGGCTCTCTGCTCACCCAGGCAGGTGATGGCCGCTTGGGTAACAACAGCCATCTCCAGGCAGGACAAAGCGCCAAGGTTGTTCACACACAGAACAACACTGTCACCTGTAATAACAACATTAGAAACCAAGTTTTAATAAGCAGTTCATGCCTTGACTGGAGTCACTAAGGCATAAAACACCTGATCCTGGAGAGGCTGTGAGGTTGATCACTATATTTTAGGATGTTTTGGGGTGTCGTGGTCGGGCACTAGGGGGCCCCACTCACCGGAGAAAGGAGAGATATACAGATATATAGCTTAATTAAAAACAAGCAGCAATATGGTCCATGCTAACTGAAACACCAAACTAATAAGAATGTCATAACCTTGACCTGATTTCAAAGGCAGATGTGATTGGCTGTCTGGGTTGGTCATGTGATCGATCATCGTCTTCACCACCTCATCTGCAGACGCCACCTGATTGTCAAGAACCCAAAGAAACAAAGCTTGTTCATACATTAAAATAAAAACGACTACGGGTGGTTAGTGTTAGTATTTCTGGCTGACCTTTGACCTCTTAATTCCAGGCTCTCCATGGATTCCTGATGGACAACAGATTCATATGTAGTACAAGTTAAGACTGAATTATTTGAGAATAAGTCAAACAAAATATTATTTACAGTAACAGTAATAAATTTTCTGAGTCATGCTAACAGCTACTTATATAAACATTATTAATAGGGTATTTTATCCTGCAGCAATAACCCATTATTCATTTAAATTAAAATGATTTAAACCATTTCCACTCTGATGGTTAATATTTTCTGAAGGGCAATTTTGTTCATAGAAACATCATGATCCGTTTTATTTGTGGTTTCTTTTGTGTTTTTTTATTTCTGTTTATTTATTGTTTTTGGTTGTTGTGTTTCAGTTTGGATATTTTGAATATCTTCCAGTTCCAGGGTTAAGCATTCTTCACAAATTAAAGTTTATTGGTCTCTTTTTATTTAATGTCCTTTTAGGATCAGCCAAGTATTTCTGAATTTGAGAGCAAACTTGCATTTTTATATCATTATCAATTACTTGGAAATGGTCTCAAAACAACAGTATGGTCGTTTATGGCAATAATTACTTGGGCAATTTATCGTAAGCAAAGTGTGTTATTGTGACAAGTCTAGAGTCAAATAAAAACTCTAGAAATAAAAACAGTTTCAGTGAAGTTTTATCAGTTTTTAAAGCATTTTAAACCACTACTAGAGCAGTTTCATAACAATCCCTTATAGATAGAATGAAAAGTTAAACCTCCGTCCATCAGGTCTACAACCTCAACCCTTCCTCCACGTTTTACCCTCTCGACCCTCCTGTCACGGCTCTCACCCAGTCCCAGCTCCATGGCTCCTGGCGGCAGGTCGAAAGAGGGAAGACATCCTGGAACGCTGCATGGAGAAAGACTCACTCCCAGTGTGCCTGTGATGGAAGAATCCATCACAAACAGTGAAATTATCAGATAAGATGAACTCAGGCAAGTCAAAACAGTGGTGTTCAAACCAAAAGACATAATTTTCAAAAGCACTAATACCACAAAATAAATCTAGAACTATTTTTACTTCTCAAAAACTCACCAATCCCTTTCAAACTTCTTTCATCTTAGAAACAATCTGGTCCAATGAACAGCCTTCTTCTGCCAACGCCCCGGCTGAACACAGTTTAACAGCAACACTTTTATTCATTTTATCCATCCGTCCACTTTCTAACACCCTTATCCCCCAGTGGGGTCAGGAGGTGCCGGTGCCCATCTCCAGCTGACCTTTTGGGCGAGAGGCGGGGTCACCCTGGAAGGTCGCCCGTCTGTCGCAGGGCAGAGACAGACAGGACAAGCAACCATGCACACACACTCACACCTGGGGACAATTTAGAGAGACCAATTAACCTGACAGTCATGTGTGGGAGAAAACCCACGCATGCACAGGGAGAACATGCCAACTCCATGCAGAAAGACCCCGGGCTGGAATCGAACCCAGGACCTCCTTGCAGCAGTGCGACCAACTGTGCATTTTAACTAGAAAAGTTAAATAAAAACACTTTCCTAACTGATCCGTCATCTGATCCTTTTCTGATTGTGGTTTCAGCTTTTTGTGACCCACGTTGTGTATGAAGACGGTGCCACACAGGCCTCTCCTGCCGGCTTTACTGGGCCGGTCGAAGGCGCAGTCCTCTGCAACAATCACCATGTCCACGGCCACTCCCTGGTTACGGGCCTGCTCTGCCGCGAGGCCAAAGTTCAGCCGGTCCCCGGTGTAGTTCTTCACGATGAGAAGAACCCCAGAAGCTCCTGGAGAGCCAGAAAGAGGCGCCAGACTCCACATTTAGGGTTTTATCTGAAAACTACATTTAAATTAGTTAATATTTGAAGAGCAGATTTACCTGCTTGGTGTAAGGTGAGAATGGCAGCCAGGATGCTGGCAGGAGGCGGAGAGGCAAACACTCCTCCTGCCACGGCTGCAGACAGCATGCCAGCACCAATATAACCTGATGACGCACCAGAAACATTAAACTGGGACCAGCAACATTAAACTGGACCAGCAACATCAAACTGGGACCAGTAACATTAAACTGGGACTCCAGTTTAACTGCAAACCTATAGAATGGTGGGGAGAAAAAAGTACACCCACTTCTGGTTCTCTGGTTTTACATACTACCACAAATTAGGATCTAAAACGATTTAAATTAACTTAAGAGAACTAAAAACATCAAGAAGACTTAAAAAAATATGAAGCAAAAAAAAAAAAGAATATCTTTGAGTCGACGTCATCTTTATAAAAAAGCGATGCACTGATTTAAAAAACCTGATTTGCCTATGCTTTTTTTTGTCTGAAATTTTGCTAAATCTTGTAAGAACCCTTCTCAATTAACTTTAGATTCTAATAAACATTAACACTTGAAAACATTTTAAATATAAACAACACAAGCAACAAATAAAATGAATTCAAACAAAACTGTGCTTCAAAAGACGGGGCTGGTTGAGACTGAAGCACCAAACTGAAAACCAATTTTGGTAGAAAAAGAGAAAAATATAAATAGTTCAAATGGAAATGATCAAGTTAATCTTGTGATTAATTATTATCAGTGGATAAGATAGGCTTCATATTTAGCTATCGGCTGATCAACAATCTCCCAAAACTAAGGAATCCATATTAAAAAGAATAAAAAATTCTTATGGTAAGAAATTTATAATAAATGATGCGATAATTATGCACTCCTAGTTTCCCTAAATGATTAGAGTGTACTTTCTTTTCTCCAACATTTAAAGGTCATGGATAGTAAAAAGTCGTACCCCCGTGTGCCGGCTCATGTCCAGAACCTCCTCCGGACAGCAGGCCCACTTTGCCCTTCAGACTGTCCAGGTCAGAGCGAAGCACGACCCTGTGGCCCTTCAGCAGAGCGAGGCCCCCGGAGGCCCTGACCAGGCCGCACAGGGCCTCATCAACACAGCAATCCACCGAGTTGATCAACTTCCTCTGGGCCTGGGAACGTCAAACTAAATATTATGATTAAGTGACGCAAACGGAGCTCATCAGAGGATTTCTGCAAAACTAAAACACTAAAAAGACATGAAAGATTCGAGAAGATGCAGGTATTGGAAGATTGATCTCATAAGTTTTCTAGAAATCTTGGAAACTTCTGAGATTGAAAAGTGGAATATTTTCTAAAAAAAAAACAAAATAAAGTTTTAGATTAGTTTTTGAAATTTTCTGAAAAGAACCCTTAGATTTCTGAGTTAGTTTTTGACTTTTGCAAATTGTCTGAGGATGAAAAGTAAAAATGTTTGACCCTTGTAACTCAGAAATGAGCCTTTGCAGCTGAATGGACTCTGATCTCTGGTTCTGCAGAGCACGGTGAGCTGAAACCACGTTACCAAGACGCTCCATTCATCCAACCAGACTCCACTAAATGATGATAAAGCTTCACCAACACTCAGTGCATGACTGTCCTGGTGATAAAACAGCAGATTCACTCACTTACCTCCATGTTTAGCTCCTGTTGTTGCTTCTCCCGACAGGCAGCAGCACGATGACGTATCGGCGTCAAGGCGAAGAGATTTAGAGGCAAAAACCGGATGTTGGTTCCTTTCAAAAATAAAATCGCTTTAAAATCTATTTATTTATTGAGTAATTATTTGCACAGTTCATTTACAAAATTATATTTTGTATGTGTGTAAAAAATCTGTACGTGACCTAAAAGAACTAAATTTAGTCAAAGATTATTTTGGAAATATTTTAATTGTAGAAATTCTTTTAATTTTAAAAACTGGAAATGCTAAACATTTGGATTTCTTTAACGTTTCTCCATAGTCAACCATATATGGGGTGAGGCATAAAGATGTCAAAATATAAGGTACTCTTTCACTAGTAATTTTTTAATTATTTGAAAGATGGAAAAGAAAAAGCCTAATTTAAATTCATGTTTTTTTATATATACACAAAATAATAATAAAAAAACAACACTTATTTAAATATAATATTTTTGTTTCAAGAGGAAACAATGTTTTGGTTTGTTTTACTTTTCACCAAACACGCACGGTACCTCCTTCCGGAACCACAGGTTGGAAACACATGGAGTCCCCGCCCACCCGGGCTGCCCCGTCTGTTTTCCTAAACCCACTGTGTGGTTCCTCTTCCCAACCTGTCCGCAGTACCCGTCCGTTCAGCGCAGCTTGGAACCGTCCAGAGCAACATGCAGGATGGCGAGCGTGGAGACAGCAGCCGAACACGAACGCATCCTGCGGGAAATCGAGAGCACGGACACCAACTGCATCGGGCCGACACTCCGGTGAGTCAGCCTGCGGCGGCTACGTGCCTGTCAGTCCCGCTGGAAGACGGTCCACCGCTCGGCTCCTGAGAGCGCCTTCAAAACTTTGAACACACATGCTTCCTTTATCGGACAGCTAACCGGCTAACTTGAGCAAACATGAGATATGGCTACTTTATGTAATACATTCTGGAGTTAAAACTTAAACAGAACCTCTTGTCTGACTTAATGTTTCTGTCAAAACCCGGTTCTCTTGTTTTTGCCCTTTAACTTTGGTAACTTTTATCAGGAGGTAAAGCAACCGTTAGGCTAACGTTAGCTTCCTGAGCTAACTACTTGTCATTCTATTCACACTTATTGGAAACGCTGCTTTCATAGGAATTTTAATGCTCTCCGTTTGGTGTAAGCCTCATCCCCGGGTTCTGTCTTTTTCTGTCAGCCTTTTGGGAAAATGTTTTGAAGGCTTTACATATTAAGCTTAGATTTAGCAGCAGGTAATCTGTACAGTTGATCAGGGAGTGTCAAGTGCAGTTGCCTGTTTTGTCACCGTCGCCCATTAAAAATGCTAAATATTTGTTAATGATTGGCACAATTTCTTATGCTGTAGGTCTGTTGTTTAGTAGAGACTCTGAATCAGTTAGTAGTTCTTGTTTTGCTAAACAAAGCCTACCAAAACTACTTATTTGGTTCTACAGCTATCATTTATTGGGTTTGCAGCATCAGAACCAGCGACTTAAAAATGCTAAAAAAGGGGGTAAATAAGGTTTGTTCTGTTCTGGTGACGACTAGGGAATATCTGCAGATGAGAGCGTTAAGATAGTATTTAATAAAATAAAGGAGGTTATGGATAACCCTCAGTGTTTCATAGTGTCTTCAGTCAGAAGCTTTTCCATAGCTGCTGTAATACTGACTGCTACAGAAAATCTTTCCTGCCCATTTGAATTAGCATCTATGACAACTACTTGAAGAGTTAGAATTTTCCTCTAGGATCAATAAAGTATCTTTTAAATTTGATTCTATATTCATTACAGTTTTGCAGCTATTTTGTGAATAGAATCTGTTTATTGTTGCCTCATATTATGAATTGTATTTAAGTCCAGGCTTTGACTGGACTGTTTACTCCTGAACACAAATGCACACTTTGCAGATTTTTATTTGTAAAAATGTTTTCAAAACCTTGCCGTCTTTTATTTCAACTCGACCATTTCGCATTAGTTTTTTTAAATGGAGTCCGACTGGGATACATCGACATTAACATGACACAATGTGGAAAATTACAAGTGGTCTGAATATTTTTCCACACTATGTAACTGACTCAGAACTGAGTTTTCTGAAACGAAATCTGTGAACATTAGCAGGTTAGTTTTATTTCAGGCTCTTCGGAAATGGAAATGTTCTACACAGGAGGACGGCGCCCTTGGCCAGCAGTGTTTGCTCTGATTGTCCAGAGAGGAAACGAGTTGTGAATGAGGGGAGGAAATGCAGATGAGCAACTGCCCTATTGAAGCCTTATCAAAGGTGTCTGTGTGCTTTTCAGAGATGGATTTTTTCCTGTTATTCTAATGCAACAGTCATTTCTGTTTTCCAATGTAATTAATTAGATGGTTTTTTTTTTCTCTTTTGAGACAATGTGTCTAAAAATATGTCGTCACAAAGGCGCTTTGGTGAAGAAATAAGCTCAGTGTTTTGGCTGTTTTACAGTTTTCTTGAAATGTGTTGCAGATTTGTGATGCATGGAAGCTGAAGCTTTATAAACTGACAGGAGTGTTTTAAAGCCTGCTCTGTGACATCAGAGTTTGCATTCAGCGTTCGCAGCAGTCTGAAAATACATGCAGGCTCTAACACAACTTGACATCTTGCTTCAGCACCTCTGGCTGCCACATTCCTCTGAGCTGCTCGGTGCCACGCTGGGGGACTTCCCCCCTGATGGTTCATCTTTTCCAGCCTCTTTCTGTCCCAGTCGTTTCCCTTTTTCCACTTCTTGCTCTACGTAGCTCCACAAATGTTCTGGGTCAGTTTATATTGTGACTAAGTTAGCTTCTGGAAAGAGTTTGAACTTTTCTTCCTTGTTGAGTCTTTTTAGAGAATATTTTTTTCTTTAAAAAAGGTCTGTTAATATTTAAAATCGATCAACATAAGCAGTGGAAAGCTGTCATGTGATTTAATTGCTCTTCTAAGACCCACCTCCTGTCTCTGGTTGTTTTGGACTGAGTGGTGTATTTTTGCAGTTGATACTGGGAACACTGGCAGCAAAGGAGATCAGATTTTTACCCAGATTATTTGTAATTTTTTATGCTGCCATGACATTATGATAATTGTAAAAAAAGAAAACACATTTTTTGTAAAAGTCACATAGTCTTAATGTTTTTTAATGTTATGTTTTTAGTGTTTGATGTTAATGCAAGACTGCTGTGTAGAAGAATGAAATTACAATTTCCTGAGGAAAATCCCTATCTACCTACCAACCTTCCTACATACCAAGATACCTAGTAACCTACCACCAGCTTACGTACATAGGTTGGTGGTACCTACCTACATACCACCTAACCAACCTACCTCCATGCTACCTATGTACCAATCTACATACCTACTAATCTACCACATGGAAAAGTTGTACATGTATGGATGCTTTTTCAGTTTGATAGTTTAAAAAAAAATTACATAGAGATGCATTTTTTTGATGCATGCATAAAATGCGGATTCGAAACACACAGCTGATTATCACTTCTTGTTTTGTATTAAACCAAGCCGTGGTGTTTTGTAGCGTTAGCAGCAGCAGCAGCACTTTGTCCACTATAAGCAGAAAACATCATTTATTATTGATGATCTTTGATTGTTGTGGCCTTTACCAACCTGCAGCTGTTCCAGCAGTAAATGTTGTCCAAATAAATTCAGACTGAGTCTAGCAGTGGTGTTCTGTATCATTTCTACAGTGAATAGTGTTAATCAGGATCCATTTCTGTACTGCAGGTCTGTTGTGTCTTTGGGTTTTGGTTCCTGGAGCAGCAACAGCAAGCAGGTCAAGACTGGCTGCTAAATTCCTCCCTGACTGACAGAGTGGACTCCCTCGGGTTACAAACGTTGAGGTTTTCTAGGTTCCACCGCAGCTCGTTCTGTCTTTACATGTTATAATTAATCACCATGGTTACCGTCTGCTGGCCCCTGAGGTTCATCAGATGAACCACAGACAGAAACCATTCGTTAGGTCGTGGGTTCATTGCTGGACTGAGTGATATGAAAAATATCAGCTGCACCTATCATACTAAAATACTTTGGTGTTTTATTTTGAAAATCAGAGATTTTGTTGCTTTTTGATTTTAATGAACCATATTTTAGAATTGCAAAAAAATTATGAGGCAACAAATGTAGGTATGGAAAGATATTAATGTTGCACTGCTGTGAATCATGCTACATAAATATTTGATATGCTAACAATGTAGTGATATCAGATTATGTCTGATAATTGATATTTACCGATATTTATAATATTTAATTTCCCTCAGTTTTATGTTGGTGAAAAGATTGGAATCAAACTTTTCTGATTGCCATAAAAAATTCAGATATGGGCTAAAAAAGATCTAGTTTATTTATTTGCTGTATTAACATGTTGCAAAAGTTTTATGCCGTCATGTGCTTTTGTCATTTCACTTTTAGTTTTGTAAATATCCTTTTTATTCTACTCTTGATAAATACCAGAATTTACTCATAATTTTTTTATGCTGTTGTCTATTATCGTGAAAACAGACTTTAGCTCTTATTTACTTACATTACTTTGTTACTCTGCTGAATAATTTTTTTACTGACTACTTTTTGCTTCTGCTTCAGTAATGTTAATTTGAACTAACTTCACTCTGCATGGTCTGAAACTATTGATCAGATTGATTGTTATTAAATGATCTACTTTAGTAATTGATTAATCGTTAACTTTAGGATAGACTTAAAAAAACGCTATTTGCTGAAGAAACAAGGAACTCAAAGCAGTAATTAAGCCAAAACTGTACTAAAATATAAATATTTTCTAGTAGAATTAAAAGAATATTAAGTTAGAATTGTATTTTTTACATGCTTTGCTACAATTGATCAAGCGGTCACTAAATGAATATGCAATTCTGTTATTGCATATTAGGTAAAAAAATGGTTAAAAAGGGACTTAATTATTTGTTTATTTGCATATTTTAGTGTATTTTTAATTAGGCTTGTCACAAAAAGCAATACATCAATTATTTGCATGATAAATTAAAACAATGTTAATAACTTCCATTTGCATGATTTATTGTTTTTCCTTATTTTCTCTATCAAAAACTGGATGACAAACTCTTTAGTTTAGATGACAAACTCTTTAAACATTTTTTAATGGACAATTTTGAGTACATAAACTTTATAATGAGTCCTAATCATAATTAATGTTGTTTTGTTTATTTTGTATATTAAAATGTCTCCAGTGTTAGATGTTCATTAGAATTTCAAGTTTACTAATTTTTGAGAATGTGTTCTTGCATTATTATACCTTTATTTGCATTATTCTATGGTCTCAAATCAACAATATTATTGTTTATTGAAATAACTTCTCAGACAATTTATCATCAAGCAAGATTTGTTACCATGACAGAATAATCTCTAATATTGTGAAAACAAAAAAAGAATGAAGTGTTTAAAAGCAAAATCTGCATCATCTGAATGATGGATTTGCTAAAATAAGTTGCATCAGAGCCTCTCATCGTCTGTATGTGAACTGGACCCAGTTGGACCCAGTTGGACCCGGTTGGACCCGGTTGGAGCTCAGCTGTGTGCTTTTGTGGCGCTCCACCCCGTTATTAGCGGCAGCCAGCTGGTTGAGGCTCGTTTTGTAGGTTTTCTCTGTTTGGACATGCACTAGGTTTATTTCTAGCTTGTTTCTGTTAATCCCTCAGAGTCAGACGTGTCCTCTCGGCGGTAAAACTCTGGCTCACCATGGAAACGGTGCTGATGTCGTAGCCAGCAGCTAACTCCAGTGTTTGGTAACCAAGAAGTTTTTATTTAGGGTTTCAAATCCAGTTTTTCTTCAGCCTGGAAGTGTGCAGACTGTTCCGTTCTGCACATCAAACCCAGCTGGAGGAACTCTGTGAAGGGAGAAGAGACGACTTGACACAAGCTTGTTGGGTCCAGCACGCCTTGCTGAGTCATCACTCTCACTCACCCAGCTGCTGGGGATCTCCCAACTGGGTTAAGATCCTATTTAGTCAGCTGTTGAGCAGGTCAGCGAAGAGATTTCACACGAACATGAGCGTCAGTTTGCAGATTGATCAAAGTTTATTAAAACAAGGAGTTTGTGGTGATTTTTCTCGTCTTTATGCTTTAATAACAATAAGTGATGGCAACATTTTTACTCTTTCTGGTGGTTGTTGACATAAATTAAATATGACACTATTAAGACACAACATTTGCAGTAACATTTCTACAATGTTTCTGTTTATTCCAATCATTCAGATGTTTTTAGTTCAGCAACATGGACATTTTTCGAAAACGTGCCGTGTTTCGCCAAATCTGACCATTGGGTGTGCCCAAATCTGTTTTACTTCACTTTAATTCACTTTTTTTGCCTTGTCTGCAGTTGTAGCTTTCAGAATTATTGTCTGACGGAGAAGTCCAACAGATTTACTTTCATATGTGGAGCATTGCAGCTTTCGCTTCAACGCTCCACTGGAGAAGTTAAGAGGCTAAAATGGAAGTAAAAATAGAGGAGGGGCAGAAGATTTTAGTCAACTTTGTTTCTTGAATGGGGTTTTGTTAGTTTCAGGACATTTCTGTTGGTGGATTTCTCTTTTACATTGTGTTTACAAGTTCAAAACTGACTTTTCTGTTGGGCTTCTGTTGAAAGTGCATGAGGTCATCCCACTGGTGGCTCCCGTGTTTGTTTGTGTCTAAAGAAAGCCCCGCTGTGGCGTCAGACCTGCTCTCTATTGTACAAGCCAGGCACTTCCTGGTCAACAGGAGGAAGGGTGAGGGACTCGTAGCTGCACACAGGTGTGTGTGTGTGTGTGTGTGTGTGTGTGTGTGTGTGTGTGTGTGTGTGTTGTGTGTGTGTGTGGTGTGTATGCGTGTGTGTTGTTTCAGCGTAGGAAAGACACAGGAAGAACCAGGAGGCTCCCTAAAAAAGGATTTTCCATTCACTCTGGTCACTGTTTTGGGTTTTCATCATCATATTCAACTGGGATCATTTTATCCAATATAAAAGCATTTTATTTAAACCTATAAATCAGATTTTATGTCCAAAAATCTCTTCCAGTGAAAATATCAGAAGACACAAAGAAAGAAACCAACATTTACTAGACAATAAACAGCAAAGTATTTTCAAAATACTTAGAAAACGAAGTATTTTGGGGTTTCTTGATGGTAAAATTAAAATATTTTGGCATTAAAAGACATATTAGGTCCCATAAAGTAATAGCTTGATTGTTTCATATCTAATAATTATACTTTTTGCCATTTTAAACCCCTAGTTGGATATTGGCTTTGGGTGCTACAAGTAAATCCATAATTTAGAAACAAATTTTAAAAGATAGTGAACCATCTGGTTTTTCAGGTTGTGTCTGTGTCTTATCAGGGAAAATGAAAGGGGAAAGGGGAAAGTTGAAAGATGTAAATCTGAGGGACAGACAAAACGCCAAAAACATCACAGCCTTATTTTGTTGTTTAGTAGCACAAATTTCTCAATTTTTAAGAATATATAAATATAATTAAACCTCAGGTTTTAAATTCAAAAGAGAAAAATCAAATATTTCCATTAAAAAGTGCATATTTAGTTTCAAAACAAAGCTTACAGAAACCTTCAAAATAAATCTCTGTATCACAGTTAAAATTGGTAAAATAAGCAGGTTTAAAACGCCTAATGAGCTTAAAAGACATGAACCTTAAAAATAATACCATTGGAAGTCTTTCACAATAAGAGCTTGAGAAATAAAGAGTTGTCTGTTTCTGTTTTTATTTGGCCGCTGGCCGGTTCTGTAAAATCAGAACCCGTCTCTCAGCAACAGGTTCCAGTATAAATAATGTGCATACTGCTCCCTAGTGGACATTTAACAAGACAACTGTTTTTATTGTTTTCATTTCGTCCTGAAATGAAAGCAGATGTAGAATAATTTTGTGTATTTACGGTAGATTAATCAGAAACAAACCAACATGAACTCGTAAAATGTTTTTTTTTAAATATGCCTTTTCTTTTAATTCTTACCATGCTGTTTTCTTAATTTTGAACGTTTATATTCCTGAATTTGTTCATTGTTGTTCACTTTTTCTGTTAATAGTTGGGATTTCTTTGCAGACCTAATTTGTGTTAACTCCTACTTATTTATTATTCATGCTTCCTTTATGTTTTTCCCTTTTTCTTTTCTTTTTTGCCTTCATTTTTTCCCTCCTTTTCTTTTTTCTCCATTTCCTTCTTAAACACATATGATTGATGGACAGTTGTTTTATAACTCAGTATTTATGTGAATGTTAGGGTAAACTGTCATAATGTATTCTTATTAAAAATAAGTATGTTGTTAAAATCACATTTTTCTTTCTCTCTGTCTTCCTCTGGCGCAGGTCGGTGTACGACGGTCAGGAACATGGCCTCTTCATGGAGAAGCTCGACGCTCGGATCAGGAACCACGACAGAGAGATTGAGAAGATGTGCAACCATCACTTCCAGGGTTTCGTCGACTCCATTACTGAGCTGCTCAAAGTCCGAGGAGAGGCCCAGAAGCTGAAGGTGAGAGGAAAAATGAGGAAGAACTTCAGATGGATAGAACAGTTTGAACTTGTTTTTGTCTTCCAGAGTCAGGTGACTGAAACCAACGTACGACTTCAGGAAGATGGGAAAGTGGTGAGTGCGGTTTGTGATGTCTCTGCTCTTCAGATCAGTTTTACTTCTTCAGTGAAAATCTCTGACGGTTTTCCTTCTTCTCAGCTCATCGGTTCGATGGAGGAGCTGAAACAGTGCCGCGTGCAGCAGAGGAACATCGCCACCACCATAGACAAGCTGGCTCACTGCCTGCCAGGTAACGCAGAACTACGCTGGACCAACATCATCACACGGTACCGGTCCGGATGTCCAGTTCTGAATCAGCTTTAGAACCAGGATCAAGCAGCTGAGCTCAGTCAGAACCAAACTTTGTAATGAGCCGACACTCCCATCTCCCAAACTATGCATGAAGCAGCTAAGTGAAGTTTCCCTGATCCTTCTCCAAATCAAACAAAACCATCAAAATTAGTGTAAAATGTTTGTGCTGCTAAAATTTCCATTTGTGCTGCAGAAATTTTTGTTTGTGCTGCTATCATTTTAAAGAGGTCATCAAAGGTCAACCAGGCAGTTCACATTTGACATATTTTTGTTTGTTATACTTCGGCCCGGCAGCTTTAAGTGATTCTTTCAGCTCGTTTCTAGACAACCTGCTGACTCTGTGTTTTGTTTGGCTTTGGTTTCATCAGTTCTGGAGATGTACAGCCGACTGCAGGAGCAAATGAGAGCCAAAAGGTGCGTGTGTGAGGATCTTCTGACATTTATTTTTGTTTCAAATGGACACCAGTGCAAACAGACACAGACTTGACGAGATTCAGAAGGGGACGCTGAGTTGTCATGCTGTCACTTAAAAAAAAATAATATTCCAAAATATCAGAATAATCACGAAATAAAAATAAAAAAAATGTAAAATAAGTGTAATGATTAGAAATCCAGTAAAAATGTGACTGAAAATCAAAACTTCTACACCGGCTTTAATTTTGATTTACGACATCAGTTAACGTTTTGCATTAGAAGGTTTATAACCAAACAAATCACAATGTTGAGATTTAGCCCAGTTCAGATTATTTTAATTGTGTTTCAGTCTTGTTAAAGTGGAAGGAACTATCAGTGTATTGTTTCACAATGATGCATATTTATACATTTGAATTCATGCTCACTTTTTACTAATAATTTTAGCCTTGACTCATCATAATGCAAGTCAGAATATCTTAAAATGCAGAGCAGAAGTAATGTTGACACATTTGATACCACCAAATTTATGAAACCATATAGATTTGACTTTATTTTATTTTTGTATTTTTAAAAAAATGTTAATGAACTGATTGTCATGTGAAGCTCTTAATGCACAAAATTCCCCATAAAACAGTTTCAGCAGCAGGATAAAGATAACTCATTATTTAATTGTTCTTATTCTGATTATTGCTCTGTTTTACTTTGCATTTATCCTGACTATTGTTTTTGCTGGGTTTTATATCAGATTTTTATTGTTCTTAGTCATTTTTGTCCAACATTTTGTGCTGCTTTGTCATTGATTGTTCCACTTCCAGACACTAGATGGCACCAGTAAGCTGTAAACAGACATCTGTAGCCTTTCTCTCCCCTCTTGACCTGTAAAACGGTCATGTGGTCATAAACTAGCCGTTTGTTTGGGGGGGTTTCTCCTCGTCTTATGGCTGCTGTTCTTAGAAAGAGCAGGCTGAGTGAGTTAGTCTTACCTGGAAGTTTCCGATAAAAGCTGCTGTCCTTTTCCTTCCTGTTGCTGCAGGTACTACCCTGCGTTACGGACTTTAGAGCAACTGGAACACACGTGTCTCCCCAGAGCCGGCCAGTACCGGTTCTGCTCCATCATGGCTGAGAACATCCCCAAGCTGAGGACGCACATCCGGGACACGGCCATGACGCAGCTGCGAGACTTCCTGGAGAGCATCCGCAAACACTCGGACAAGATCGGAGAGACGGCCATCAAACAGGTAGAAGGAAAGCAAACTCATCGCTGCTTTAAATTTACAGCATCAACACTTTGTTTCACTTTCTCTCACTGTTCCACAGCGTTTTCTATGTTTAAATCCAGCATGATATGTTCAACTTTAAGATGCGCCGATTTGAAAATTTTGGCCAATATCTGTAGGCCCAAATATCTCATATCTGTCAGATATTTACCGATATTTTATTAATTTCCTCACCATTTCAACTTTTTGATAAAACAAGCCATGATGTTGCTTTTTTACTTAAAACATCCCACAATGCTCTGCGTCATCACTGTCACAAGACCAACAAATACAAGGAAGTTAAGGAAGAGGGGATTTGTTAATATTGAACCGATACCAATACTTTAAACCACTGGAGTTCAAACTTTTTGCTCAAAGTTATTAACTTGAAAGTGACAGTTGTCACTAAAACAAAATAATTTTTTCTGGCTTTCAACTTAACAGTTTGGACACGACTGGTTTACAAATAAAAACAACAAACAAACAAAACACATTCTGTTTCTTTACAGTTTACTCCTCAGATTTCCATCTCTATTGTTATTATTACTATTATTATTTAACGTTAAGTTGACCTGTCTCTGCTTCTGACTTCCTGAATGTGTTCCTGTTTGTTTCTGGCTGGTTTCTGGCGCTAACTCCCCTACCGGTTCCTGCTGCGGGTTAATATCGACTCCTCAGTGTTTCAGCCTCACTCTGTGTGTAACTCAGAATCAGTCTCCCCATCTCTGAGAGTGTTTGTGTTTTCCGCTGCCAGTAAACAAACATGTCGCCGCTGCCGGAGCCTCCGAGGCGCGTCGACGATAACGCGCTTTAGCTTTTCACCACTTACCTCATTGTTTGAGTGTTTCTCAAGGCCAAGGAAGTCATATATGAGCGTCTGCTTGTTTGTGTTTGTCTCTGGTATCCAGAGCTCATGTTAGGGCCGTTTGTTTATTTGTGTCTTATTCCACAGAGCGGGATGGAAACTGTTCAGAGTTTCATACTTGCATATTTAAGTGTTTAGAGAATAGAGTAGCATAAAACAAAGGGAAATGGAATCAGCAATTGTGATGATATGGATGAAAAACATATAATAATAAATATTTCACACCAATTAATATTGATAATTATTGATTAGTTGTTTTGTTTTAAGTATTTGAAATTCTGTCAAACTGTCAGTGTGACCTTCTCTGTTTTTCCAGTTTTTACTCCATGCTGTTATTTTTACATTTTAAACATTTAGGAGGCAAAACCTTAAACTGTTGCTGCGCCAGTTACCCAACAGCCTGTTGCTAGGTAACCAAATAATGAGTTGCTAGGTAACCAAAGAATAAGTGAGTTAGTTGATTCCACAAACCTTGCTTAGCTAGTAGCGTTTTGCCTACATTTCCCAGAATGCTGTGTGGTTCTGAATCGCAGTTCAGTCAATATTCTATATTTTGATTATTCTATCAAACATATTATCTATTGATATTAATCACATGTTTATCGCAATATATGTTACGATTGATTTATGAGCGCATCTTAAGAAATACATTTTGAACAGATGATCTTGACAAGAAATGGCTCCTAAAGACGTTCTTGATGAGCGTAGATCTCCAATTGTTCTTAAATCTTAAGTGAAGTCATTTAACATTGTTTCACATTGTTCTGATTCAGGTCAGTTTACCAAATCCTATTTTATTCTACCAGCAACAGTCAGTCATAATCAATAACAAAAAAAGTCCTGGTTTGTCAAGTTAAATGAAATTCTGCACCACAAATTGAAAACAATATTTCTGTTGTTGAAAGTTGAGGAAAATGCTGAAATATTTGTTTTTAAAAATTATTGATCTGGATCGAATTCCTGATTGATTGACTTCAAACATCATGTCTGAATTTAAGTGTTCATCTCTCACAGATCAATTTAATGTTAGAAAAATGATTCTGGTGAGTTTCTTGGAGGTTAAAGGTCACCTTCTGGCTGTGTTGCTGTTGATCCACCCAGACTCATCAACCAGACTTTGGTGGTGTGATTCAAACGGCCTCTAGATGTCACTAAAGGTCCAGTTTTATCATGCAACTATCTTCATCTCCTGTGTCTCTACATGGGAGGATTAATTAAAAAGCTGGTTTTAATTAATCCAGTAGCACTGTAAAGTGTTCACATCCCTAGTAAAGTGTTCTGCTTCTGTAATGTCAAAAATTAGATTGTAATTAATTGCAAAACGTATTAAACTTCAAAACCTAAAGATGCCAGGATGAGAAACATACACAAAAATGTGCTACAACCTGTTTACAGAAATGAAAGATACTTCTTAGTCTCCTTTTGACCCAATTTCAACATTTAATCTTCTTGATTGTGCACCCATCACCAGTTATAGTCATTTTTATAAGCCTGAGTCACAGTTTAGCTCATGGGTATCCAAAGTGTGGCCTGGGGGCCATTTGTTGCCCTTTTACTGATTGTGTACGGCCCCCAACTGAAGTTCAAGTTTGACTTAAATTCAACCAGTCCAGCTCAGGTGTTTGATGTGGATACATTTTTATATTGGTAATGAGGGAAAAATTATTATTACATAATTTTCTTGCAATGGAAAAAGTTGAGAGCAGCTTTTCATAACCAAGCTTTTACAATAAGTAGAAAAGCCGACTTTGCTGCACAGGAATCAGCTTAATTCAGAATAGAAAAAAATGAGAAATTAGATCAAATAAAAACTAATTATTAAAACACCAAGATTAGAAATGGGAGGAATTGTTTAATTAACACTGTGGGGTTTCTCCCAGTGGATTATAAGCCTGGCGGGTCCCCACGCTTTACATGCCCCCCAGACCAGGCCTAATATAGTTGGTTTATTTTAAATAATTTATTTTATACACCAGGTACCGTGATAGGTTAAGCAAGGTTTATATATAATAAAACATCATTAATGTTTAGAATTTTATCACACATACACAACCTACATACAGACTATTTGTTGTATTTTCTTTGTTGGTTTATTTCCAAAATTTCCAGTCAGCTTTAACATTTCTTTTAACACATAAACAACTGCCATAGTGTTGAAAATGATAAATTTACGTCACACTGTGTAATGAAATAATCTTTTGAAGTTTTGGATGCACGTGAATTACTTTTTCAAACTATATTCATTTTTATTGTTACTACCAATTTTGGCAGGATCAGTCCTCCATATATTTTTGGGTCTTCATGTCAGAGTTTATCCTCTTATGGATGAAAAGATGTTTATTTTCCATCTGATGATGATGATGATGATGATGTCTTCAGTTCAGAATAGTTCTGTTAGTGAGCCTCGGATGCTGCGCTGGTCGCTAACCACCAACCCCATGTTGACCTTTACATGAAGGATCGCTGCTTGACAATTCACCTCAGCCACCGAGGAAGCTAACCGCTAATTATGAAGCAACAGAGCTGATGCCGATTCTGGGATTATCTCGTCACGTAATCAGTGCTGGGACGTTCTCCCTCCTCCCCGTCTCGTTTGTTTCGCCCTTCTTCTCCAAACTCTTCCTCTCGTTCTCTCAGACAGCATGTCTCTGTGGTGTGCTCTGTTCCAAATTAGCCCGACTCTCTGAATCCAGCCGTCGTTACGACTCCCTCAACCGAGGATGTGAAAATAAATGGATCTGGAGAGAAGGGGAAAAAGAGGAGAGTGAACGGGTTACAATGGGGCTATTGTCTGCTGCCACGGGGCCATGGAAGAGAGAGGAAAGGAAGAAGTGGATGATGAGGAAAAAACGGTTTGGGAGCTAATGAGTGGGATGAGAAAGGAAAAAGTAAATGGGGATGAATAAATGTGGAAAAAAAAGAGACTGAAATGTCAGGTATGGGACGAGGAGTCAAACACCTGGAGGAGAGGAGAAATTACTCCTTAAAGGAAAGACAAAGTTTATTTGTGTAGCAACAAGGCAGTTCAAAGTGCTTTGCATTAAAAAATTATACTACAGTTATCATGAAACATGGAATAAACATTCTTCCAAATGAAGCAAATATACATAAAATATGTTGATCAATGTTCCACTTATTAGTAATCAAAAGCAACTAATCAGGTGGGTTTTTAATCTTGACTTAAAGGAACTCTGTGTTTCTGCTGTTTTTCAGTTTTCTGGAAGTTTGTTTCAGATTTGTGGTGCATAGAAGCTGAATGCCGTTTCTCCTTGTTTGGTTCTGGGAATGTACAGCAGAACCAAAGACCTCACAGGTCTGGAAGGTCTGTACATTAGAAACTACTTTAAAACTTGGGTGATGTGCTCCATCTTCCTGAGTTAGAACGAGGTTTTAGTCAGGCCAGCAGCGTTCTGGATCTGCTGCTGCTGGAGAATAGATATTTTTTTCTTTTGTAGGTCTGTGAAAACACTGTCGCAGTAATCAGTTCGACTAAAGATAAATGCATGGATGAGTTTCTCTAGATCTTGTTGAAACATCATTTCTCTAATCCTAGAAAAGTTCCTCAGTGATAGAAGGCCGACTTTGTAATCGTCTTTATGTGACTGTGAAAGTTCAGGGAAGAGAAACCAAGAAAAATGGAGCAAAGTTTAAGGGAAAAGTAATATCATCTGAAGCAGTTTTGTCCACACCTTTTTGTTATATAGGCCAGTACATTTATGTTTGCGTCTAAAAACAGAAATGTTTTAAATCAATTCAGCACTGATTTTCTGTATCGGATTATTGTTGGTCGATACGAAAGGTTAGATGTCAGAATTGGTATTGGAAGTGAAAAATTGGATAATTGAATCCATCTTCTACAAAATGGGTCAGAAGATCATTGTATGTGCAAAATAAAACATAAAAAAGGTCTTTTAAAATAAATAAGGTCAAACTCTTCTTAGTATCAAACAAGCCTACAGTTTCAACCTTTTTTGGTTGATTTGCTCTTGAGTAAAACCATAACATTGAGTTCTATCCAATCTCTCCAACACTGGATTTGAATCTACTGGTAATTTTGGGTGATCTTTCATCAAAGAACCCAAGGCGGGACTGAGAGGTGAGACTATGATGGGAATGAAGTTATGACGAAATGCAGCAAAAATCGAAAAATATTCAGAGGAAGTAGAGAAACCAGAAGCTTTTCCTCATCATTTAACATTTCTGTCTTTCATCTCATCACATTTCCACAAGTCTTAGAACCTGTTGTCTCTCCTCCACCTCCTCTCTGCCTCCTTTAGTTCCCCGTCTCCTCCCGTTTTCCTGCTCTGCAGCGACAGACGGGTCTGGAGCTTTTGCTCCGTCGTCCTAACGGGAAACAGATTGCAGGGCCTGTGAAGTGGAGGAAGATGGATTACCTGTATCTAGTTACCGAACACACACGTGTGTGTGTGTGTGCGCGTGGCGCGTCGGTGTATCGAACCATCACAAGGAAAGAGAAAATGTACCGTTGTGGGTTGCTGTGTCACTCTGCCCAGCAGGGGCATCAGGCTGCATTATTTCTGACGTTTCAGCTCCTCATCTGTTAAATAGTAGCAGCACAGAGTTTTGACCTCGACTTTTACTGGCTAAGCTACACAAACATTGCTAATTAGCCAATTAAACTAGGGCATAACAACAACATAAACGACCTCAGCAACCATTTTTCATCTGTCTCAGATTTCTGTTTCCAACAGATGGAGCTTCCTGACAGTTTGAGGAAGAAATTTAATCACCTGGAGAAGAAAAACAAGATTTTCTTTACATATAAGAGAAGACAAAATAGCTGACAAAGTAACTGATTTGCAATATTTGCGTTATTTGCAATGTTTTCAGATTAAAATTAACGTCTAATTCTTCACAACGCAATGTTTACAGTATGTATGTCCCAATCAGGATGTTCTCAGTCTTAATCAGGTGGATCCTCGTTTTATTTTGAAGTCTGATCCTTTGTTATTAGTTTGCTTTTTTAAATCAATGAGGCAACAGTCTCAGGAAAATGCTCCCGTTTTTCCGTACAAGTGGAACGATTTTCCGCAGAACAATGATCCAGGTTTATGTGTCTGTCTTTTGTCATTACGGAAATAATGCCTTCTAAAAATATAAATAAAAACAGGAAACTGTGGTCAGGAATCAACGAGCGCTCGTATCCAAAACAACATGAAAAAACACTAGCAATATATTATCAAATAATCAACTTATTAGTTTGATATTTTTTTTTCCGTCTTGAACCAGCATTAGTTATATTCCCACGCTGAGCTTCTGACCTCCCTCATTTTCCATTTTTTTTTGTTTCTGTGGGAAAACCCTTGGAGATGTGAGGGCATCTTTCCATCCACGCCCTGACGGGCTTCAGCTCCTTTTGAACATGGCTTCCTTTGCTTGCCGGCGCCGACACGTAGGCTACGCTTCACTCTGCCGAAGGGGACGTCGACGGACACGCCAGGGACCTGGAGCGGCTTGGTTTGGGCCGCTAATGACAGCCATGATGAGAAAAACTGGTGTGCACGCAAGACCCGGAAGAATGCGGCATGCTGTAAGAATAACAATGCCATCTTTGATCTGATGCCCACATGCGGGCGGTCGCACAATCACAAGGTAAATGAGTCATAAAAGACAATAAGTGCTAAGAAAATCAGTGGAAAATGCTCCGAACAGGAGGGGGAACATTTCCAAGCGTCAAACAAACTCAGGTTTTCCAAAACTTAATCTGGGAAATTAGAGGAAACAGTATGTCGTCGACTTGAATTGAGTTTTGCTTTCAAATGCAAATGAACATAATCAGATGTGAAAAGAGGCAGAGAGGGAGAACATCTCTGAAGACGTCAGCATCAACGTCAAGAAGACCCACTTGGCGCTTCGGCTTGCCTCTTGCATTCCTCGGCAGGTGTGTTCGGTACACTGTTGACGCACTCGCCGAGCTCCTGTTCAAACCGGCCGCACAAAGGTGGGTTGTTCTGCGAGGGGAACCCTCTTAAAGCCGGCCTTTCTTCTGGGGAAGCCTTTCTATGTGGTGCTTGAAGCAGAAGTGCAGGACTGTGCGTCACCAGAAACATTTGGGACAGAGGGGGTAAATTGGGAGGAAGAAGAGATGGTGCATAAAGTGGTCCAAATTCTCCAAACAAGTATTGAGGTAAAACCAGAAGGTAGATGGGTGGATTCACTGAGAAATCTCCAACAAGCTGGCATTTTTGGATCAAATCTGTGAAATTACCATCAGCACAACTGCAGCAATCACTTCACTGTGACTAGTTTACAGTCAAAGTTATTAAATCTTTCCTTATCAGCCTGGCAAAACTGCTTCATACTTCTAATTTTACAATCACAAACTTCACTGAACCTCAAGCCGGACCATTGCAGGTACCAAGAACAACACTAGAGGCCTCAGTTACATTTGTAAACATAAAGACGTGACACGCTGTAGAAATCCTCAATATCTAGATGGACATTAGATATTGATTAAAAAACCTGCAAAATTATGACGTTTTCCCCTGAGTAGGAACCCTGAATGCACCACAGAGCTAAACTGATTAGAAGATCAGTTTAGTTGAACAAAAGAACCAAAATCCAACCAAACGCCCATATTTTCATTATCAATTTCACCTATTGATTATTTTCTTTGGAAAATTAAAATAATTTCTTAATATGTAACTGACAAAATGTAATATTTATTGCTTATTTCATAATTGGTGATTGATTTTTTTTATGAAGTAGAGCACTTTAAACTAATAAAGCACTAATAAAGTTTATTTGAGCACTTTGCTCAAATAAACTTGGACTTTACCCATTTTATTTTTCTCAAAAATAGTTTTCTGCACATTTTTCTCCACAACCAGCAATTATTATTTCCATTTGAATGGATTAAAACATTGCGATTCTTCTGAATAACCTGACTGATGCGAAAGGTAACAATTAACGCAGGTTTAAGATGTGATCCGTTTCTGCTTTAAGTCTAATTTTATTCACTGACTCATCGTCCTTCCTGTCTTTTTTTTATTTTCATTATTATCTCCCTGACGTTTTCTCACGTTTGGAGCAACAAGGCTTCCAGTACAAAACACTTGGTCTCCGTCTGCAAACTTGTTATTTTTATGTAAGATTTGTGTTTTTTCTTTGTTATGTACAATTCTTCGCATCTGAATCCTGGTTTGTTTGGTTTCCATATTTTATTTCCTGGGGAGTTTTGTTGAACAGATGCGGTGCAGCTTCTGCAGAGACGGTGTGTCATTGTTATCAGCTAACATCTGGTTTTGGTGTCAGACTCTGAGAATCAAAGGACCTCCATCGCTGCGCTCTGAAGTCGAGCCAAAGAGCCTCCCGCTTCTCCTCCGCACAACTTGAAAAGCTTTCTGGGAAATGTAGGAAATAACTAGGACAGACAGAAACAATGCAGGTCGGCCGGTCCCAGGGTACAAGAAAGAGGGAACCGGTTTCTGAGAGCGACGTTTGACCCTGGTGACCTTCTGCTTCGTGTTTCTGTTCAGGCTCAGCTGCAGCGCTCGCTGGACAGCTCCGTCACCCTGCAGCCCAGAGCTCTGATTGGCCGGCGCGGCAGGAAGGAGGCGGCGGTGGTAACAGAGGGCAGCGGAGAGGGCGGCAGTCCCCTGTCTGAACAGGACTCTAGCATTCTGGACGTGGAGGATGAAGAGGAGGAAGATGTGAGCATGACAGCACCGCAAACACATCCAAGTTACAGCTGTGATCTGATCTGATAGAGGTTCATGTTTAACAACAATGAAATAATTAAGCAGCTTTTTAAAATCTCAACCTATTAATAAGGATTTTCCACCTTCTCTTTTAACATCACTATTTATTTATTTAATTTGTTTTTTAATTGATTAATCAACCTAAATTTTAATTTGTAAATAACATATTTTAAATAATCACTTGCATTAGTTTTAGTTTGGTTTATTTTATTGATTTAATCAAATTATTTTTGATTAATTAGTTCATTGATTAATTCAATTTTGTTTGAATAAATTTTAGAATTAAAAATCAATGTGCAAATATTTGAAGTTAAACTCATGGATGGAAAAAAAAACCTTTTTAGACAGATAACATATTTCTTATGACTTTTTGGCAACATATGTACTTTTATTCAAAGGCTGTTTTGAAAATAGAATTTTTCTCAAACATAAAAAAAACATACTTTCAAAATGAGTTTGATGTTTTTAAAGTTGGAAGCAGTTTGAAAGCTTTGTTTGATTTAAGTACGATCTCTGATCAAACGTTCCCTCCAAATCCTTCCATCGACGATGTTTTCATCAGACCCGAAGCGCAATAAGCACCTCTGTGCAGCTGCTTGATTGTCTGCGCATCATTTCCACCTTAAGAATCATCAAACCTGACCTGTTTGGAGTCAATCTGATGATCCGATCCCATTTTTATCTTTCAGTGAGAATGAAATTGCCTGCAGATAATTTGCATTTGATTTACATTCCAGTGAGGTTTTCCCATTCTTTGATTTTTATTTATTTAGTTGCTGTTGTGTATGCCAGGCTGTTGCCAGAGCAGAAATGTTCAACTAAGTTTAAGCAATAAAAGATGGCATTTGTGGCTCCATGAATGCCATCTTGCCACGGCGGCGTTCTGACCTGCTGTTAGTCGTCCCTGGCCGGATCGGAGTTCCTCTGTTGTTCCCACTCGAGGAAAACCAAGTACAATGCAGCTGAACTTGTCACCTCCCTGCCCGCCCTGCGCTGGCACTGATGCTCAGGTCTCTGTGGCTTATTGACGTCCTGTAAACTCGACTCAACCTTCTTCGTGTGAAGACCTTGTTTGGAACAAAGGCCTGACCCCGCAGTCGTCAGGGTTACGACCGTTTTGGCGCCAGCGGCCTTCAAAAATGCCAACCACCAGCCCGTCTTTCCCTTCCCTTCATTTAATGACTCTTATTTCTGTTTCACTCCTTTTTTTTTTTTTGTTTAGCTGCTTTTATTATTCGACATCAAAACATCTTTTCAACACCTTTAACTTTTGTCTCTCTTTTATCTTTTATCCGCTCGTAATTCATTATTTGTCCAATTTTGTTTCAGTTTTTTGTATTTTACAGAAAACACAATTGCTAAATCTACAAGAACATTTTATTTAAACAGTCTGTGAATGTCCAGAAACAGAAAATAATAGAGTGAAACTGCCACTAGTTTTAGTTTTTATTATATTTTATTAAACTTTTGTTTAAGTGGGACACTTTAAATCACAATTTGTTGTTTGCATTTTTAAAAATCTGTAAATTAACTGGAAAGACCTAAAATGTCAACAACAACAAAAAAGGGTTTTAAAATAGCATTTAAATAATTTTAAAAAGTCTTTAAATTCATTAAAATGCTTTATGGGATTATTTTTAGTACTTGAGGGGAGACAGTTTTTGGAGAAAAATAAATAAATATATACGCAAAATTAATCAAACAATGCTTTCAAAATTTGTTCTATTTATTAAAAGTAAACTCATTTATCTCTCTTTTTTAATCAACTTTCAGAATTTTTTCAATATTCAAACATTATTCAAAAATGTAACAACTAGTTTCTCTTTGTATCTGTCAGTTAATCATTAAAGATATTTATGAATTAATGGAGTCAGGGGCCTAATTATGCATACACTGTTTTAAAACGGATCACTTTTCTTTATTTTGGCTGATTATTTCTTTTACTTTTTTTGTTTTAATCAACTCGTGGTTTGAAAATGTTAGAAAGCACACAGATGTAGCATTAATGTTTTTTTATTGTCATTTTAGTAAATTTATTAACGTAAAATTCTCTGTGAAAATTCATTCTTCAAAAATGTAACAGCTGGTGAAATTTATTTTAGAAATGTATAGTTTTTCTATGTTTTGCTGCTTATTTAGCTACAACTGTAATAATTTGGTGTCATTTATTAAATCAAAAGTATTTCCTGTTTTTAGAGGATTAAAGATGGTAAATGTTTGTGTAACCAGGTCCCAGGAGCTCAGGATCTGGTGGATTTCTCCCCAGTGTACCGCTGCCTCCATATCTACACTGTGCTGGTGAGTCATTCCTCTTCATGTTTTCCTTTCCTTCCTGCAAACTAAATAACTGTGAACGCATTTCCACCTCTGCTCTTAATCCACTTGTCATCTCGTTCTCACCAGCTGCATTAAATCACCTTTTCTGGTCTTTATTTCTCCAGAATAAATGAAGTCAAATGACTTTATGCTGATGATGCTGTTCTGGTTCCACATTAGATCAAGCAATCACCAATCTACAGTCTACATTTTATATTTTTGAACATAACTTCACAACTTTAAAATTGCAGTTAAATTCAAAGAGAGCTAAACTGATGATATTTTCTCTGATTAAAATAAAACCCCAGCTGTCCATTATCTTACACTTACAGAAACTGACGTAGTGTCATATTGGAAAATACTTCAATATAAACATTGATCAGTTTATTGGTCTTTCACTTTGCATATTCCAAATTTGGTAAGGAAGTTTAAGTTGAGATTCAGTGCAAATTAAAACGTTTTTTATTTGTTATTCTTTAATGTACTCCAGGATTAGTTGATTTTCTCTTTTCATTCAACGTTGGATTCACTGTCGTCTTTTATTATTGATAAGGCATTACTTAGACTGCTTCCTCCCTACTTGATTTTCTGTTATCTTTTTTTATCCCTAAAGCAGTGCTTCTCAATTATTTTCTGTTACGCCCCCCCTAGCAAGAAGAAAACTATTCGCGCCCCCCACTCCCCACCGTGACTATCCATCTCTGCATAACATTTTTTCCTTATTAACATTAAAGAAAAAAAGAAAGACATGGTCAAACTTACAAAGAATAACTTTATTAAATTGTGTTTTAAGTCTGCAACAGAAAAGATTTTAAGTGCATCAATGCCTGAAATTAAAAATAAATAAATCCATGTCTACTGCTGCAGGCAGTATCAGCTCCTCTGCTATGGTGTGGGGCTTTTTGCACTGCGCAATTTGGTACGCCACCTTATATGATGCTAGCAGCGCTTGATGGTTTACTGAAGTAGCCTTCACAAAGCGGGATGACTGTTGGCAATATTCAGCACGTTTTCGCTGAAAAAACTCTAGCGGCTTATCGGCGTGATTGGGATGTAACGTATTTAAGTGACGCGCTCATTTATTTGGCTTCATGCTGTCCGCTGCGAGCATTTTTAGACACAGCAAACACACCGGTCTTTCCTCTTCTCCAACTGTAGTCACAGTGAAGCCAAGCGCTAAATACGCTTCGTCGTATTTCCTCTTCTTAGCTTTCGGTTGACTTTCTGTTGTCTCATTATCTTTGTCTCTCTCCGCTTTTCTTTTCATCCCTGTAAAAAACTTTTTCATGTTGGGGGTTGTTGAATAACGGAGGCCATAGACAGAACGCAGTCGGAGCTTTTTGTTGACTTAACACTGCTAACCAAGGCAAACCTGTTGTCTTGTAAGTCGTAAAATGTTGCACTGTCGCAAACGTGACAGAAGTAACAATGAGAGCGCCACTGCCGCCTACTGTGCGCAATTACACTTTATACTAGTACGGCCAAAAAAAAGCCTGTTCCCCAGGATCACACGCGCCCCCCCAAGTATCGCACCGCGCCCCCCAAAGGGGCGCGCCCCACTATTTGAGAAGCACTGCCCTAGAGTCTGTGGTATATATATAAAAAAGCTTTTCATTTCAGGTTTAGTCTTGTTTTATTTCTTCGAGTGTTGCATGTTATTTTTCCTGGTTAATTACAAGCTGAAAAACTGTTGGTTGTGTCTGATTCGTCAGTATAACCAGGTGTTACTCCAGTGCATCAGACTCATTGAGTTTTGACGATGTATTTGCAACCAGCAGGAGGTTTCTGTTGTGTTCTCCGAGGCCTCCAAGTTCAGGCCTGGCTTCGTTCCAACCGAGCTGCGTGTCTCTTCTCAGTCTGAGCGAAAGCGACACGGGTGGAGGTGTTGACTGGGCCACGGTGGGGTCAGCTGCACATTTCTGGTCTGACTGAGCGTGTTTGTGTGTTGGGGTTGTGACCGGGCCAGCTCGGCCACGGGGTCGGTGTTTCTGTGCACTGAGAGTTTTTTGTGTGGTGGGGTTTTGAGGGGGGCTAACAGGAAGTGCATGAACTTTGACAGGAAGGAGAACGATGGAGGGAGTAAAGGAAAGCAGAATCAGGGTGAGAGAAAGGCTACGAAGGAAGAGATGATGGAGAGAGCGCAGGAGTAGAAGCTCCTGGGAAAACCGGACAATTAAGAGACGTTTGACCAGGTTTAGACAGGTGATGGTGTCAACATTTCTAAAGTGAAGAAGGAGAAGAATTTATCAAAGCTAATCTTTGTCTATTCATATTTTTATGGTGTTTTTGGCTGGTTTTAACAACTTGTTACCAATGTGTACTTTCTTTTGTGGTGCATCTTGCAAAAGTATTTGTACACCTTGAATTTTTACAATTTGTATCTGTGGATCAACACAGATAAAATTTGAGCATTTTATGGTATTCAGCAGGAAGGGCTTGAAACCAGTTTTGAAATGTGTTTTTGATAGGACCAGTCTTGAATCCATGCCTGATATGACCAATCTAAATTGATCATCCAACTTTTGTGCAATGTAAGCTGATGAATTCAGTTTGCAGATTGTATTTAATAGCTTTAATATCAGTATGTGATAATTAGTTTAACCAAGTAGTTAAAGTTGAGTGGTTACTCATGTTTCTTGGAAGGTCTTGGACATGGTCCTGGAAGGTTTTGTGAAGTTTGGTCTTGGTTTCGAAAGGTTTGGTCATAGTTTTGGAAGGTTTGTTTTTGGTCTTTGAAGGTTTGTTTTTGGTCTTTGAAGGTTTGTTTTTGGTCTTTGAAGGTTTGGTCTTGGTTTTGAAATGCTTTAAGTTTTGGAAGGCTTGGTCTTGGTTCTGGTCTTGGAAGGATTGGCCTTTGTCCCCAAATGCCTCTTCATCTCTAGCCTCAATACATTTCTTGTAAAATGTCAGATTTGAGATGTTTCAAAAGGAAATAGTCCTGGTGGTGAAAAACCAACAAAGACTTGGTGGTTTCACAGAGTGCAGACCCAGGAAGAGGCTGAAGTGATACTTGTCTGTCTTTTTAGGATCTTAAGAGGAATGGCTGCACAACACCGAACGGAAAGATTACCGGAAGCAAATAAATACTCATTTGATGTACGTATCAAAAAAACCAAGATGAATAAAAAATTGATGGAGGATATAAAATCAGTAGAAGAAAAACTTTTAAGCTATGGTTGGAGAGGATGAAGGCCCTTGGAGGCATAGCACTGGAGAGTGAATCAGCTAAAGAGCGATAAGGACAGGTCAGAAGGGGAGGAATGGAGGAAGGTCGAAGGGAGGCTGAAAGGGCAGAAACAGGAAAGCGAGGAAGAAAACACAACACAGGGATTGAGATTAGAGAGAGGGAGGCAGCTACTGTGGGAGAAGAAGAGAAGGAAGGTGTTGAAAGGGTTGACCTGCTGACCTCTGAGGTCACCACTCATTTTGCCTCTCTGATGTTCGTGCTCACATTTTGGCTGTAAAAAGTGACGGAACGCTTTCATTAACTTTTCTGGGGAGTCTGGAAGAGGAATCTTCTTTCCTCTCTCTCCCCTTGCCGTTTTCCGTGCCCAAAGTCCACATTTTTCCAGCAGTTATTAAGCAACGTGCAGGCCGAACAATGCGCCTTTGTTGTAATTCATGTTGGGCAACGTGGGCCGAGTTATGATTGATGTAAACACGGCAAGCAGAGAGGGAGGGGAGGTTGACAGCGAGGAGCTTTCTTCAGAATCGGAGCTGACCTGCTGAGGTTTTTCTTCTGGAGGAGACATCGTTTGGTTGGACTAAAGCGAAGGAAAATCGAGCACACACAAGACTTTACGGTCTTTAAAGAGACGGGGAAATGGTGCAGGTTGCTTTTTTACGATCCTCCAGTGTGGAAATGTTCAGCAAAGAGGAAAATCCATGAACACCGAGAAGGAGCTTGGTCAAAATAAGACCTAGTTTTCCAAGTCGCCTAACAAGCTTCTTCTGATTGATGAGAGTTACCTGAAAGTTAACAGCTACACAGAGCTGTTGAAAGTGTTTGCACGTTTTGAATATATAAGACAACCTGAATAAATACTAAAACCCATTATTTTAGTCAATTATTCTGTGAAAAAGCATCCAAACCATGTGTGAAAATATTGTTGCTGGTTTGCTGAATAAAAACTGATGCGCCATATTTGTTTTGGTTTCACTTGCATTCAATTTATCACAAGATTAATTGATTTATTGCTTATTGTGACAGGCTTACATATAAAATCCCCATTTAAGGCATCTTTGGACGTGACATATATTTAAAAAAAACCAGTAGATTAAAACATGTAAGTGTGACAAAGCAAGGGAAATGTTTTTTTCTTATCTATAAATTAACATTTTTAACCTTAAAGTTTCTACGATAAACAAGTGAACATTTGCTGTAATGTAACCTTAAACAGCAAGTTGTATTCCATCTCAGTCTGTTTACATTAACCTCTCATTTTATTGGTTTTTATCATTCTCAGTTTGCTTCAGTCTCTGCATATCCTTTGTTTCTGTGGCGATACAAAGGTCACGTCCACCTCCCAGCCCAGGTTTCACCCCTCAGCTCCCCTCTCTGGGATCCCAGCGCCGTAAAACGAAGAGTTCACGGCCGTTTGATGCCGCTCGCTTGTTTGAATGCTCATTGTTCGGCTTAGGGTCAAACTGGGAATTAAAGAATTAAAGCACGCCGTGTTTTCATCTCACAGCATCAAACCAAACAGAGTTCAAAGATGTTATCTAGATCTCCACCAATGAGATTCATATTTTTCTGCCAAATGCTTTGTTGTATTTGTAACTTCTTGCTTTCAATGGACATCTTGCAGCCAAGACTTGCTATTAAAAAAAAAAAATATTGTTTACTTTAAGTGCAAAGCGATCATGTTGACTCTTTGGTTCCTTCAGGTCATACAAAGGCTTCTTGAGATTAATAGAAATCCTTCCTGCCCACAGCAACTCTTTGACGATACTCACATTTCACGAGTACTTTTGGTAAGACGTATTCCAGACAGATCAGTTTCCTATAAATTAAATAATCTGCACAATTTACAGATTACATTCAAATAAATAACTATTCCTGATGAACAGAGATTTTACTTTCTGTGTAAGTAGAAAATGGTTGGCACATTTCTGCAAATCTGCTAATGCGCTAATAACGCTAATAACGAAGCTAACTTTAGCTTCCCCTACATTAATATTTCTAGATAAATTCTAAATCGATAATTTACGCTGTTTTGTAAACTTTTAATTGACTTCTTTTTCAAGTTTGGTAAATATTTATATTCATGCTCTTATTTTGAAGTTGACAACTTTTTTTTTTTTACAACAGTAAACAGCTGCTAATGTGCTAACTGCAAAACTGACTTTTTGTCTAGCGCTATAGCTAACTTTGAAAATGTTTATCACAGTTAGCTTCCCATACTTTAATTTTCCGAGATAAAATTAGTTTCTGTGTTTGAATTTTTGCTTATAATCTTCTTCTTCTTCATGTAAGTAGATATTTATATTCATGCTCTTATTCTGAAGGGGGTGACGACTGTTTATCCAGCAGTTCCACTTCCTCTCCTCACGTTCTCTGTCTGTTTTCCTAATAACTTTATTTAAAACAAAAAGCATCTTAACAAAATAAAACTGACAGTAAGGAACAAGTTAGTGAAGTTAGCGCCTTAGCATTAGCTTCTGCTAAATATTGTGTAGGAGTAGCACTTTAAGTTTAGCTCAGTTAAGGCAAAAATCTGTGCAAATGCAACTTCGGCTGCATAAATCAGTTGAAAAGTGGTCAGATTGTCCAAAGAAAAATGGAAGTTTATGTGCTTTATTGTGTAAGTGTGAGAAATTGGTGCATGTAGATGTCAGCGAATAACCTGATCTCTATTTGTTATCACAGTGGTAACAGCTGGTGGTCCATTGCAGCAGATATGTGGGAGTTTATCCATGGTGGTCTGGTCAGGACCTGAGGGGTTCTGGCTGCAGGCTTTTATCTCTGACCTCAGCAGTGACTGTAGGTCCTGGTTTCAGACCTCAAACAGATTTCGCACAGCCCACAGGGAGATAAGAGATAACAGCTTCGGTGTAATGGAAGAAATAGATATGAAGTGATCAAGTTTACAAAAACAGATGCAGCTTCTGTCTGTGTGTTAAGGCGGTGGTTGACCTCACCGACGGCTGACCGATGAGGTCACAGTCTGTTATTCACTTATTTAAAATAGCTACACTGAGGTAATTGGGTCAATTTCGCTTACCATAACAACTTGGTGATGAAAAAATCTAACCTTTCAGGGTACAACTTGTAATCTTAACTGTGAAATACTAATAATTTCCTTTATCCATTTCAGGTTTGGTAGAAGCTTTCAAACTCATACACTTGTTGTGCTCTGTTTGTTCACCTTTGGTTTTTAACCCCCGTTTACGTTTTAGGGTTTGCGTGATGTGTTTGAGAACTACTACAGAAAGCAGAGGAGGAAACAAGCTCGCCTCGTACTGCAGCCGCACTCTAACATGGTACGACCCCGCACTGTCACGGTCATGGAGGGCCACACACTTCTAACTCCACACACAACCCCAACCTGACTCACTGATGCACCTAAAAAACACCTTAACAAATGTGAAAAAGGGCTTTATTTTGAAAGTCATTGATGTGCTGTATTAAATGTAAACCTTTTACCAAAGTGAATTAATGCTAGCTAGCATTACCTTAAATATACAGCAGTCTGTGTGATCTCAGTTTGGAGAACCATTTATAATATCACACAAAGAAATCAAACTTTTGTTCAAGTAACTGGAAGCAAATTTATGGCTATCTAGGATTAAGAAAACAGCCAGCTAGGGTTAAGCTAACAGCTGACTTGAGTTGATCAGACAAGGTACATTGGCAAGGCAATGGTAGTCAAGTTAAACCAATAAGCTAGAATGATGCTAAAAACTAACATGAGTAAACATTAGAGCTAACTCCTAATAAACTGAAGGCTAACTAGGGTGAAGCTAAAAGCAAATTAGATTAAGTGCAGGCAAACCAGGGTATAGCTAAAAGCCACTTGTATTGAACATAACAAATAACTTCAGATAAACTAAGGGCTAACTCAGATAAAGCTAATGGCTAACTGACTTAGCAGGTAGCTACAGATAAACACAAGGCTAACTCGGATGAAGCTAAAAGCTAACTGGATTAACTGGTAGCTACAGATAAACTGAAGGCTAACTAGGGTGAAGCTAAAAGCCACTTGTATTGAACATAACAAATAACTTCAGATAAACTAAAGGCTAACTCAGATAAAGCTAATGGCTAACTGACTTAGCAGGTAGCTACAGATAAACTGAAGGTTAACTGGGATGAAGTGAAAGGCTAACTGTAAACATAAATTAACTTCACATAAGGTGAAGGGCTATTTAGTTTATCTGTTAGCTGAAAGCTAATTGGTTTAAACATAAGTGATAACTAGTTAATACAGCTACTCATAGTGAAACTATTTCTACTCTAAACAAATTCTATGTAGCAATTGCAAAGCTATTTTTTTCTTTTCCATTTTTTTCTCCGAAGAGCTTTTAGCAGCGCTAGTGGCTCGCATTTTTTGACAGTAGTAGACTGACAGGAAAGAGGACAAGGAGAAGGGAAAAGACATGCGGCAAAGGTCGCCGGGCCCGGGAGTCGAACCCACAAAGTCCGCATTGAGGACTGAGGCCTCCAAACGCCCCTCAAAGCTATTTTAATCATCTTTTTTTCCTTTACACTCCAAGGCAGAATTAGACATTTATCCTACAGACATTTTTATCTTGCAAATTAGCCACTTAATGCTGAATGTTGATTAAACTTCATTCAAGCTTGGTTTTTAGTGATAATTTGTAACTTTTATGTATTTCTGTACTCGTGTTTTTTTTCCTTCTACTCGTCTCTAGCATGAAACCCTGGAGGGATACAGGAGGTACTTCAATCAGATTGTCGGGTAGGTCCATCCATTAATAGCTTGCTTTTTAAAATTTATATAAACTGAAATAATAGTCGTACAACGTGTACCAGTGGCCACATAATATTTTGAAATATTTGGTTTTCAAAATGTCTTGAACAAAGCAGTTTCTGATTGGTTTATCTATTTATCCTTCCTTCTGTCATCTTCATGCCTTTTTTATGCAGCTATTTATATATATTTGGAAATTTCATAAAGCTAAGAGCTCAGTTGGCATGTTAAACATTGAAGTTCATCACAGGACAGAGTCTCGTCTCTCGTTGATAAGATTCATGTAAATAAACCACAAGAGCTATAAATCGATGTCCTTTAGGACAGACCAGAAGTGTCGGCTGATTTGAGGTTCACCACTTCTTCTGAGTTGAGTGGGAGGTAATATACCAGAGTTAATTTATAATCTGCAAGCTAGAGATCAAGACGTTGCTGAAAACATCTGAGGTTTATTGCTGTTATGTTTTCCAAGTTTTTTCACACACACACACAAGAAAAAACAAACGAGAGAAATTGTTTGAAATCGGTCAAAAAAGTGGGCATTTTCCCGCAGTCGTCTGAAAGCAGAGAAAACTCGCTGCAGCTCGTTGTGGTCTGGCGAAGTCTGAGCGGCCGACGATTTGATTGAGACGTTCTGTCAGCGCACATAAAAAAAAATCACTGCAGACGCTTTGATCCGTTCATTCGGGCTTCGTGTCGGGAACGACTAGGACGTCGGCATCATGAAACTGGATGGATGCACCGCTTGCATTCAGTGCCTGATTGTACAGCAAGGATTCATCTCTGCTGCTCTGGAAATGCAGAAAAGCTGCAAAAGTATCAATCCTGATCATTATTGATGATGTTTTTCTAACTTAAGGAGTCATGAGGAGTTTGTGTTGCAGCTTTTTGTTACAAATTTGATTAATTCTAAAATATTCATTATGTGTCAGTAGAATACATTTACATAATGTTTTCATCAGAATGGGAGATATGGCTTAAAGTTACAATTTTATCAGAAAAAGATATGAAAAAAGTTGTTTTAATCAGAAAAATCTTTGAAAAAGTTAATTTGATTTGAACAGCTCAGTTGGTCTAGATTTTTTAAAAATAGAAACATTTGTTTGCACAATCGTTTATAAGTTGTGTTACAGACAATTTGACGGTGATCAAAATATTAAGCATTTCTCTGAACTATTCTGTAAACTCCACTGCGCCCTCTAGGTACGCAGTGCAAAGATGATGCTCAACGTTGAGCATCAAAGTTGAGCATCATCTTTGCAAGACACTCAAAATTCCTCATTTTTTTTATTTTCCTGTTGGAGTTCACGTAAAATCACTACTTCATTCAAATATTACAACTAAGTTTTTGATGAGGGAATAATATTATAACATGAAATCGCGCTGGAAAAAAGAATACTGTAAAAATCTTCTGCTTAACTGTTCCACTTTAGCAGAAGTAGTATATCTCTCAGGAGTGTTTATTTGTAGATTAGCAGACTTGACAACCCATATTTTTTGTGTATTTGATTCAATATTCGCATTTCCGACTAATTAGCTACTCCAGATGGAAATTAAAGACTGACTGAAAGTCTTAAATATTGAAACTTTGTTCAGTATTAGAGTAAAAAGTCAGGCCTGAAATTGAGAGAAGCAATCATGAAAAGGAGCCTGGTGTTCCTTTTCTGGAACAGAAAAGCCAATAAAAATATGAGCGCATCGATTCAGCTTTCTTCTAATATTACGATTTTATTGTCTTAGTTAAAAATAAACAGCTTAGTCTGGGCGTAATATTTTGTTGTGGAGTTGACCAGAATTGAAAAATCCAAATAAGTAAAAATACGCTTGTCAAACGAGATGGCTGCCTTGGACTTGCTGACATCACCCAGGGAGTTCATTGGTGGGGAAAAAAAATCTGGATTTGCTAAGATTTAATCTCCAAAAACCAAAAATTCGATTAATAGATTTAAAAAGTTTTTTTTATTTTATTTAACTTAAATTTGTTTCTTGTTCATGAAGTGTTGGCGTTTCTCTCTCCGTCCAGCTTCTTTGTCGTGGAGGACCACATCCTTCACACCACCCAGGGGTTGGTCAACAAAGCCTACGTGGAGGAGCTCTGGGAGTTGGCTTTGTCTAAAATTGTCGCTGCCTTGAGGACGCACTCTGTAAGATGTTTTCTAAACTAATTATCAAAAATCAGATCGATTATTCTGATCACTCAGTCACAATTGACTGAGTTTTCTGCTTATACTACTGTAAACTTCTGCATAATAACAGTTCAATATTGTCTGATTTTTCTAAAATATTCAATAAAGAAAATCCTGCAATAGAATCATAAACCATCAGACCTGTTAGGTGCAGGAAGTTTATAACTGGTGTTATGTTTTGATTTATACATTTTTTTTGTGAATTAGAAATGGCTGATGGAAACAACAAATTTAAAAATAACTTCCAATATCACAAAAACTTGATTTGGTCACTTGATTTGGTTTTTGGGTTTTCTGAAAAGAGCTAATGTGTTGAAGGAGATGAAAACATGTTACCAGAGGCACAAATCTCAGAGAAATTTCAAACCTCCAGGCCAGAGGGAAAATGCTCTTGATTTCTCTGAGATGTGGTCGATGATGGTTTCCAACATCTACACTGCAAAAACACAAAATTTTACCAAGTATTTTTGGTCTCGTTTGTAGAATAAATATCTTATTTTTGTCTTTTGTCAAGTTCACCAACTTACAAGAAACCTTTGGCCAGATACAGAGAGTTGTGTTGAGTAAATAATTCCTTAAAATTGATGAGACAGTTCTAGTTCCATTGGCAGATTATTTCATTTATAACATGACATTTTTTAGATAAATTAATTTATATCCCAATAGAACTAGTACTTGTTTATCAATATAAAGGATTTTTTTACTTAAACTTCTATTTCTCGCTGAAAAGTGACTTGTTAGTTAGTTTTGTCTCATTTCAAGTTTACTAAGATATTTCCTCTACAAATTAGACCAAAATTACTTGGTAAGATTTTGTGTTTTTGCAGTGTACTCGCAAATAAATCAAACAAAGATAAAGCAAACCAACTTTCTGATTTTAACATTTGTAAATAATTTTGGTGTTTCTGCCGATCTTCTAAATAACGTCCTGGTCTGTCTCTGCAGTCGTACTGTGACGACCCGGACCTGGTTCTGGATCTGAAGAACCTCATCGTCCTGTTTGCCGACACTTTGCAGGTTTGTGTTTGAACCTCTGAAGTCCTCAAACATCCTTGCCTCTTTTAACCCGGAGGACCATGAATCTTTTCTGAAACTTGTTTTATCAGCATTCAGTCTGTGTCCAAGTGGACAGCTGCCAGTTTCCAGAGACTCCTTTAATAGCCAAACCATGTTAGAAATAATAGTTCATCATCCAATGTGAGTTTTTACTGTTTATGCGTCTCTGTTTATGAGCGGCCCTCGATGGATTGAGTGTGATGGATGAGTGGATGGAGAGATGGTGAGGGGTGTGGGTGAAAGCTGGATGGGATGAAAGCATGGAGTCTGATGAATGGGTGGTCTGATGCCCACCAGTCGTTTATGTGAAGTGATGAGGAGCAGCTGAATCGATGCGCTCATATTTTTATTGGCTTTTCTGTTCCAGAAAAGGAACACCAGGCTCCTTTTCATGATTGCTTCTCTCAATTTCAGGCCTGACTTTTTACTCTAATACTGAACAAAGTTCAATATTTAAGACTTTCAGTCAGTCTTTAATTTCCATCTGGAGTAGCTAATTAGTCGGAAATGCGAATATTGAATCAAATACACAAAAATATGGGTTGTCAAGTCTGCTAATCTACAAATAAACACTCCTGAGAGATATACTACTTCTGCTAAAGTAGAACGGTTAAGCAGAAGATTTTTACAGTATTCTTTTTTTCCAGCCCAATTTCATGTTATAATATTATTCCCTCATCAAAAACGTACCTGAAGTGTCGCTTTGATTCTTTCATTCATGTTTGAGAAATGTTTTAATCTGCATGGCAACCATTCAGCTGCACTAAACGCCTAGTTGGACCAAACTTCACTTTAAAAAAAGCAGCTCCTCCTCTGAGTTTAGTTTCCAAGCTTCTGAGCTCCCATCTCACAGAGCAGCTCCTTCAGACTAGCCAGCAGCAATAAGCAAACACCTGGTGTGCATCAGCTGAGCTCATTATTGGAGCAACTTTTCAGTGCAACTGTGGTAAAAATGTTGTTAAAGAGTTAATAGAGGAGCCATGTTGTGACAACTTCCTGGAGCTGGAGTTTCAGAAAGAACAGGGTTTTTTTAAATGACAAAGACCCAATTTTAAGGCGCAAATTTCTTTTGACATATTTGACTTGTATAACAACTGAAGGTAACATACATACCTGATTGTGTCATAAAATGGCACTATGTACCTGGATAATACCTAATGTTGCCTCTTTAGGCCTAGAGGTATTCATATATAATAAAATTAAGTAAAAATTGTGCCACTTGAAAAACTAAAAAATTTTTTTACTCTTTAACTAGAATTTTCATTTTCCCTTTTTAATAATGAGTGTAGAAATATTTATTTGCATTTCAACAATCAAGCATCCTTTCAGAGAAGCTTGTTGTTTATCGCAATAACTTCTGGTACAAAATTTATCTTGAGACTTATTTTCTATTCTATTCTAAACATTAGTAGTTTCTGTATCATTTTATTGAAAGCTATTAAGGTCCTGCTCCAAGGTAAAAACTGATGTTTATGTCAAAACTCAGTAGTAGGTATTGAAAGTGCCCTTTCGTTAAATGCCTGGAAAACCAATGAATATGTGGCTGAAACTCTCCTGTTTTGGTTATTGTTAGGCGTTTTTGACGTCGTTTTTTCCCGTCCTTATGTGCAGGGTTATGGTTTCCCCGTTTCCCAGCTGTTTGACATGCTACTGGAAATGAGGGAGCAGTACGGAGAAATCCTGCTGAAGCGATGGAACATCACTTTCAGGTAGGGATCAGGTTGTGCGCTGCGGTTATCAGAAGGTCACGAGGAAGCTGAGGCCTTTCTCAAAACGGGCCAGGCGGGGTTTGAAGTTTTACAAGCAGCCAGAGAGAGGAAGCGCTTTAAATTGTGTCCGGAAGAGAATGGGTAGTAGCATTCAGGAGTCGGGTTGGGCCAATGTGTGTTTGGGCCCGACGTGCCATTGTTCCAGCATCCCTTTTGTCCCGTGACACCACTGGGATTCGTAGCAGTGAGAACGGACAAACAAACACACACATTCCCTCTCCTTCCTCTCTCTTCTCGTTCACACACAAGCACTTGGGAAGCCACAGGAATGTTGTGTTGCATTGTTGGGGAGAGAGCCCTCTCCGGTTCATGGACTCTCCATGGAACGCTGGAACGTCCGAGCTCCGGAGCGCCAAGAAGAAGTGGGGGTGTTGACTGAAGGGAGGGTGGTAAGAAAACCTCAAGCATCAGAATGACCCCCAGTGGGACGTGTTGGTTGTTTCTGAGAAGGAAAAACAGAGACTCATGGTGTCTTTCTCTCTTGTTTTATAGCATCTAAGCAGGAGATCGGAAAATATTACCTGACATTCTGTTTGCTTTGCTGCAGGCAGATTCTGGACCAGGACAACTTCAGTCCAATCCCAGTTTCTACAGAGCAGGAATACAGACAGTACACGTCTCAATTTCCCCTCCAAGACCCGGAACTGGAAAAGGTAGAGAGCTGCGACCTTGAGCTAGGCCGAAAACCCACAGCAGATGATCCTAAAGCCAACATAAAACTCAATTTGTCTTTTAGCTTAGCTTCCAAGAAGCTTCCCTTCTCTGAGTTTGTGCCAAAAGCCTACTGCCAGCTGAAAGAGTTCATCTATGCTTGCCTGAAATACTCTGAGGATCTTCATCTCAGGTGAGCTTCTTGGTGTTCGTCCAATTCCTCATGAAAAATTATAGTATTATAGAGAACTCAAGTGCTTGAGTCCACTCAATTAGTGTCATAAGAAAATGTCCTGCAGCATACAAGTGAAACAGGTGAAAACAAAAAACATATCACTACTTTTAGATAGAAATAAACATCAGCAAACGTCACATGTGGGGTTCCTCAGGTATGTGTGCTCGGGCCACTTTTGTTCAATTTTAAGGGAAAAATTATATCATCTGGGTAAAGATTACATAATATACCAACAAATTGTAAAACTTTCCTGGTATATAATTGTTGTTTGTTGGTATGCAACATTTATTATCACATACCAACAAACGTGACAGGTGGGGTTCTCAAGGCGGTCTACTTTTTATTTAATGTGTAAAAATTTAATAAAATACCAATAAATTATAAAAATGTGTTATCATGTTGTGTTTTTGGGCCATTTTTACTCAACGTAGTTGGCAAAATTGAGTCTTACAGTGATATAAATATATAGTGGTTGGTATATAATGGTTTGTTGTATGTCACATGTGCGGTTCCTCAGGGCTTTATTGTCAGTCCACTTTTATTCAATGTATTGGGTAAAAATTGCATAAAATATCAACCAATTGTGAAAATGTGTTGGTATATTGTATTACATACCAACAATTGTCACATGGTGTTGTTTTGGGACTCTTTAATGGGTAATAATTGTGCAGTATGAGCCTAAGTTCACACATTTTAATGTTTTACACAGGTCCTGGCTTGCAGACAGTTGACTAATTACTTTGCAGAATATTATTTATCTTGACAATAATAATGTTTAAAAAGTATATTATATATTCTATGTTTTCAGTAATATGAGTTTTATGGGAAAAGCCTTGAGCCCTTCTGTGAAAATTTCACATTATTAACCTGTTTATGCAGTTGCCAATCAATCAACCAGGTTTATTTACAAAGCACATTTCAGCAGCAAGGCGGTTCAGTGTTTTATATCATAAAAACACAAAAATACAAAATCATAAAAAGCAACATATAGTCAACAGTTGCAAAAAACTAGTAATAAATAATCAAAATCATCATACACATCAAAGTTACCTACAGTGTGTTTCTGTTCATGGTGGATTAAAGTGTTAAACTATGCAGCTACTTTTCTTTTAAGTAGACAAGCGATCCAGAAGTGGCTTCCTTCCTGTCCGGAAGGGTTGAACAAAGCTGGGTCTCAGCCAGTCACACGTTGAACAACATGCACACATGCAGGAAAGCAGACAGAAACCAACTCGCCCTGAATCACGATGCTTGAAGAAAGCAATCAAATCAATGGATAGAAAATAAATTGGAGAGGGTGAAAGCACTGATTTGTGATTGGAGCAGAAAACAGGAGAACGAGTGATTACTCTTTGGCTTAAGACTGAAAGGAAGGAACTGCTGCTTGTTAGAAGATGAATATGTCAGGGCTCTTGGCGTTTTGCTTTGTTTGACATATTGTGAATATGAACCAGTTCTGTCCTCTTATAAAGCCCACAAGCCAACCTGAACAGAACGGAGTGAATCTCCAAGTGAAAACCTCCTTCTAGTCTCTGACCAGGCAGGACAAATTGCTGCCCTCAATCAGAGTAATGATCCCAACTCTTTGAGCTCCCTTGATTTCTACCGTCACGCACGCCCTGCTATCCGGCTTCCTGTCGACTTCAAACATGCGCTGGCTCGCAGAAACGGAAGCAGACGGGATGATGGAGCCGGATTATAGTCACCGATATCCCTGACCTCTGGGATCAACCTCTGCTCACGTTTGTAATTAGGCGGAAAGAAGCGACCAACGCACTTTGGCGCCCTTCGTAGAGACGAGGACAATGGCCTTAAAGGAAACTTGTGATGCCACGCCTCGCTTTTAACTCCTTAGCTGTAAAACCTGGGATCCCATCCAGCCTTTTCACGTCTCAGTGTTTTAAGTTGATTAGTTGTTTGCCTGACTGTCAATTTTGGAAAATGAAGAGATGTTTGTTGTCTTGTAGATCAAACCCTTCTTCTTTTTTTAAATAGCATGTTCTCTTGTCTTTCCTAATCTGAAGAAAGCCTGAGAGAAATGGACTCCTGTGTCACGTTGGTATTTATACTCCAGGAAACTGTGAATATGAGTCAAAATTTCCTCAAAAGTCTGATTACCTTTAAAAAGTTAAGTGCTTTATTTAGACTATCCATTTCTAAGACTCAATATGAATGTTAAAATTCATCACTATTGTGACATTATCAGTATTTAAGAGAGTAAATGCTGATAATGTATTTACGGAAAACAACAAACAAAATTAATTTTAGCGTGTTAGAACTAGATCTATAAAGGAGCTCTCGATTTCTGGTTCTTCTCGAGAAGACAAATCAATCCGATTATCACAAATCAAGTCATTTACTAGCAAATTCTTTGAAGAGAGAAAACTTATGTTCAGTAAAGCATGTAGTTTGTCGTATATTTAGCTCTATTTAGGCCGGGTTTTCCTCAAAATATTCGCCATTTATCGCCACCGTACTTTGACTTACAAAATGTAAACATGTTCTTACTTAATTTTATTATTGCATCCCTGAGTTTAATCCATCCGTGGTTTATATATTTGATTGAAATCTCTGATTTTGAGGACTTCTCTCCCTCTCCTGCTTTTAACCACAGCTGGTTGGTAAAGACATCACTTTGCGACTTGACAGAGACCTGGATGCTAGCTTGGCTGGCGCTTTGCAGATAGAGCTCTGTGATTGTTCCTGGAAGAAAACGGTGATGAGGTGGTGAAGACATGAACATCCGTGGGAAAGAAAGCGACTCGTCGGAAATAAGGGGAATATTTTGACAGAGGTTTTCTTGTGTAATCCCCTGAAAAAATTGTGGAAAGATTGAAGAAAGTGAAAATGAAAGGTGCCGCTCAGATGCCCGGTGGCAGACGACTGAAAGAAAATCTCAGCATCTCCAGTAGAAATTAATATTCATATAATAAAACTAAAAGGGAAAATATGTCAACTTTTTAAATGCATCTACTGACATTTCTACTGTAAATATAGACACACTCTAGTTATTTAGAATAGCTCTGAAACTGCAGCTTAACCAGCAAATAACAGGATATTCACCTTCTTGGTGAATAAACTTTTGACATTTGTACCCTGAACAAATATATTTCTAGGATACATAAATATAATGTTGCAGTCAATATCTCCAGTCACATAAGGGAAACCATGTCTGGACTTTTAACATGTTAATTTGATTAATTATATAGATCTTAACAGGTTTAGGATTTTAACGCAGTTAATCAGTACATTCTCAAATTAGAATATTACATCAATCCAATGAAAAACATTTTAATACAGAATAAAAAGTTTTAATCTGACAAATAAGCTTCACTAGAACTTGGCACTTTGCACCAATCTGATGGATTAATAACGGATTAAAAACAATAAATATGTTTGTTGTTGAGCTCATTTGTGTATTCATTCAGTAATTTACCAGTTTTTGACTTGATAATGTTGCTTATTTTGTCGATTTGTTTTCGATAAAACAGACCCTGTAATTAACTCGACTAATGACTTCAATCAAGTCCCACCACTTGTTTAAATGTGTGTGAGATATTTCCATCAGTCAGTTAGCATTGCTGATAGCAGCATCAGCCTTGTTGTATGTGTTGGATGGCCCTCAGCCGGTATCCCTCCATCCATCCCTCAGCGTGTTGTTAACATGTCTGCGTTGAAGTCGTCTGGCCTCTCTTTGACAGAGCCGACCGCCGGCTGTTTATTGTGACTGATGGCAGCATAAATACAATGAAATTCGATCTGAGCCCTGCGGCGCGGCTATATTTGTACACCCACAGAGTTCACTACGATGCATTGACTTTTTGCCTCTCTCTGCACACATTCTTTCTGTCCATTCTGCACTTCTGCTGCTCCAGGATTTCTTTTTTTTCTTCTTTTTTTTAGATTTTTTTTTCAGGCCCCCCTGAGTTGTCGGAACGTTTTTTGGATTCTTGAGCTTCTTTGGAAGCGGACCGGGTTTTGGGTTCCAGCGTTCGGCCTCCCTCAGGCGGAGCTGCATGCGTCTGTGTGTGTTTAGGTTGAATTCCAAGCGCAATTTACTGATTTGGTTGGAATGATTCTGTGTGTGTTATCCGCAGGGTTCTGGAGTCAGAGACGGAGGACAGAAAAAAAATAAAAATAAAGAAACACAGATTATTCATCATTTCTCAGTGGGAGAAACCGATCCTGCTCTTTTCTGCTGATTATCTGTGTGCGTTTCACCTCTTCAGACCTTTACATGGAACCCTCTGACTCCTTCTGCATTTTGTCGCGCAGTTTGATTCTTCCAGGAACCTGATATTAAACTCCCTTCCAGGGGATTTGCTGCCATGCAAAACGTTACTGGACTCGCTGGTAACACTGTGCAGAAATTTGTCTGAGTTTCCTCACCAAACATCAGCCCCATTTCAAGCAAAACAAAATGGATAGCATGTCAGTCATTCTGCTAAGCTGCTCTGCGTTGCTGACATGGACTTTCTTTATTAGGTAACTTGAGCTCGTCTCAGGGTTTTGCCTGGTTGGCGGTGCAGAGTTGGTAATTTGCCGACCATTAAAATCATGTAAGAAAACGTTTCCAAAAAGGATGACTGGCTTTTTTTTTTTTTTGTGGATCATTTTTTAGTTTCAACAGGGTTCAGATTATTTAAACTTCATGGTCTCATCAGGAGATATAAGAAGAACTTTTTAACGAATCTGACAGATTAAAACATGATAAAGATGTTAAGGTTGGTTGACATTTAGACTTTTTTTTTTTTTTCCCCAATGGAGAAATTCACTTTTAACTGTTTTTGCTGGCATTAAGACAGAGTTAAGTGTGTTGCTCTTCTCTTTGCTCATGTAAAAGTTTTTCACTTTTTTTTCCTGGAACCACCACAGGTTTTAATTTGATTTATCAAGTTTTACCTCATACACCAACGCAAAACGGTATATAACTGTAATCGGAAGATTTGTGTGACAAGTATACATTCCTATTCAGCCCCCTTTACTCTCACACCCTGAAATAAAGTCCCCTAAACAGAGCAATCTGCTTCTGTAGTTATGTTTCCGTCCACATGTGGAGCAAACTTTTAAAATATAGCAAAAAAGGTTTTGCAAAGAGTGCAAAAACTGTTAGTCTCTAAATGCTTAAAGGAGACATATAATGCAGAATTTATCTTTTGTTAATTTTAATTTTTCCATTTGGGTTTCTGCTGTTTCTGAAAACATTTGGCAATTTATTTGGCAACAAATTGATGTCTTTTGGGTGATTGGTAAACAGGCGGTTTCAAAAATGTCCCAAATATTGAGTCACATTCGATGGACTTACCTTGCAACCACACTTTCTAGATTTTTACTTTTTAAAAGAAACTATGAATCATTTTCCTTTCACTTCACAATATTGCACTATTTTTGGTGTATGGCATTAAAATCTGAAGTTTGTGATAGATTTGGAAAAAGTGAAGACTCTGTGAGCTCACGTGTTTCTTTGTCTTCAGTTCCACAGAGATCGACGACATGATCCGCAAGTCGACGAATCTGCTGTTGACCCGAACCCTCAGTAACTGCCTTCAGTACGCCATTAAGAAGAAGAACGTGGGCCTGGCAGAGGTAAAGAGGATCATAGTAATCATCATAATTATTATTATTATTGACCAAAACTGAAGAAGATAACTGGAGAGGAGGAGTTCATAAAAATTAAACTTTTTAAAATCCCTGAAAAATTACCCAAAATGGCCGACTTCCTGTCGGTTTGAGACAGGACTTTTTGTTCTATCTATATACCAAATTTGAAGTATCTGGAGTCCAATATAAATACTTACATTTCATGAAAAAAAGGACCAAAATTATTTCATTTAACTTTGGTCCTTAGATCAGTCAATCAATCAATCATCAGTCAGTTCAAAGGGCTTTACATCTTAAGAATACAAAGTTATTAAAAACACCTTACAGTCAACAGTTGAGAAACCAGAAACAGACATTACATTTTGATGAGCGTCAACATCAAAATCATAAATACCCTCAAATATGTTGGTCAATGATCCATTTATTATGGTTCAAAAGCAATTCTTAAACATCTGGGTTTTAGCCTTGATTTAAATAAACTCCATGTTTCAGTGTTAATGTGGCTTAAAATTCAAAGTTTCTTCCTGTAAGTTAAGAGAATTTTCCTGATTCCGCCTTAAGATTGTGTTGCTTTGCTATCATTTTCCTCAAACTCGGATGTATTCGATTACAGATGGATCATTTAAAGTGCCCGGTGTCGGTGTTTGTTTTGTAGTTGGTGCAGGTGATCATCAACACCACCCACCTGGAGCAGAGTTGCCACTTCCTGGAGGAGTTCATAACCAACATAACAAACGTCCCGCCTGAAACGGCCAACGCCACCAAACTGTACGGGACCGCAACGTTTAAGGTCCGTTTATCTTCCCGCCTTCATTTCTACACACAAACCAGCTGCTTGTTCACCTTCAGTAGGCTGATAAGCTTTTACTTTTGTTTTTGTTGTATTTTTTTTTTTGTATGTCTTTGTTGTTTAATTTAAAAAATAATTCTTCATTTAACAATATACATATACATAAACCCAACATAATATGCTTATTTTGATACATCTCTGGAAAAAATGAAGATGCCACTTTAAATGATCAGTTTCTCTAATTTACTATTTATATGTTAATTAATTAATTTAGAAACAACAATACTAATGTTTTAACTTAGGAAGAGTTCAGAAATCAATATTTGGTTGAAAAACCAGGAGGTTTAATGCAGTGGGCTCTTATAATTCCAGAGCTGTAGATACACAAATATACACTTAGTCATATAAACATGGATGCGCAAAATTTCTGAATATAAACAACAAGATGCAGTCAGAGAAATGTATCTCTAAATGTTTATATGTATTAGATATAATCTTCCTCTTACTATTTTCCTCTCTGCGTTCTAAATGGTCTTTCCTGTGGCTTATTTGTTACTTCAAACGATCACGGCTGTGCTGGAACAGGACGCCCGCCATGCGGCCGAGGCGGAGATCTACACCAGCCTGAATGCCAAGATCGACCAGTTTCTGCAGCTGGCGGATTACGACTGGATGTCTGCGGCGCAGAGCAGCGGCGGTCTGACGACCAGCGACTACCTGGTCGACCTCATCACGTTTTTGAGGAGCACGTTCAGCGTCTTCACCAACCTGCCGGTTAGCAAACACGCACGCACACACTGTTGCAGTAGATTTACAGTACATTAGTAGACAGTATGGGGGGAATAGACAAAGCTGTTACAATATGATTTTAGTCCTACAAGCGCCGTAATAAGATACAAATATAAGAATATAAACATTTTCTTTGTTTTATTTTATATTTGTGTCATATTACTTTGTTTGTAGGACATTTAAAGAATCAATTTTACATAAAATTGACTTTTTTTTCTTTGATAATGTTATTCTCTCATCAACTGGGTTGTTGCTTTGATTCTTTTTTGTGTTTGAGAAATCCTTTCATTTCCATGACAATCATTCAGCTGTGCAAAACGCCTGGGTGGCCAAAGCCCCGCCCACAAAGACAAAGCTCCTCCTCAGAGCTGAACATTTATTTTAAAAAATTATTTCAAATATGACAGTTTGGAGCCTTCGATGTCTTGCTGCGCAAAATGAATTTAGGTCTGGAACGATTCCTCGAATGATTCGAGTATCTCGATTATTAAAATTTCTCAAGGAAATTTCATCTGTTTTGAAGCTTCGATAAATAATGTTTTCTTATGTAACGCGCCGTGTTGTGGGCAGCGCTCTTACTTCCGCCTATGAGTTGTTGTGAAGTGCTAGCTGCACGGCGAATTGTCAGGGTTTGGTGGCAAATATGTATTGCTGAAGTTTGCGGCGTGATGTTTGGAGTGCGGCAGCTTTTCTGCCGTCGGATCCGCGTCGTCACAGAATATTCCAAAATAGTCCTAATTTAATTGTGATGAAAACTGTGATGACAGTATTGATTACAGTAACTCGTATTTTTTCTTTCTTAATCTTTCCAAAATGTCCTGACCACTGAGGTTTGGCATCTCTGCAAAAACACAAACTCTTACCAAGTCATTTTGGCCCAGATTCTAGTGCAAATATTTTAGTGCATTTCAAATGAGACAGAACTAATTGACAAGTAACTTTTCAGCAAAATATAGGAGCTTGATTTAAGTCAATAACTCATTAATATTGATGAAAACGTGATTGGTCCATTGGTAGATTATTTCCACTCATAATAAGGCATTTTCCCATGATGTAAGTGAAATAGTCATTTTTCTGCCATAGAAAGGAATTAACTTAAAACAAGCTCCTATAACTTACTGTAAAGTTACTTATAAGTCAGTTTCATCTTATTTTAAGTGAAGAGAAACTTGAAACTAGACCAAAATACTTGGTAAGACTTTGTGTTTTTGCAGTGTACCGCTAGAGGTATACATCTGGTTTGAGCTTTACGGGCATTTAGAGTCCATTTAAATTTCAGTACCATAATACTGATAAAAATATAGATTTCTGTAATCGTTGAGGATTTCTGCTGTTTGGTTTGAAAGCGCCTCATCGTGTCAGAGGGCTGCACAATCTGCTTTAGTTCGTTAGTGGGATCGTTAAAGGGTGAGCGGGTCGGGTCAGCAGCCCAGGATTATCCGCAGGCCATTGACACTAAAGCCCCAGCGGGAATCGCCTTACGCTCAGTCAGGATGCCGCAGTGCAACATTTACAGCTTGTTGAGCGTGTTTCACAGGGCAGCCAGAAAATTGATAAATCCTATTAATTCAGTATGCTTAAAGCTTATTCAGGTATCCAAATGTAGCAATACATTTAAATAAAAATAAAAACATTCCTGTAAATGTGTTATTTTAAAGATCTTTATGAGCTGCTTGTGACTCCAACTGGGAACACAGTTGATTCGTTTTTAGTTATTTACATTTTTAATTAAATGTAGGAAGTTAATTAAATCTGTATTAGCATCAGTATTGGTTGATGTTTTATTTTTTTAATGTATTTTAGAGTCAAGTCGTGCTACTTTGTAGCACAATGAAGTTACTTTCAGATGTAATAAAAAAGCTACATTGATGACACGACTAAATAGAAATTTAACACCTTGAAATTGGGCCTCTGTCTCTTTAAGAAATGTCTGCCCTATCCAACCTGCTGCCTTCAGTACTTCATCACAGTTTCTCCATTCACCATTTCAAAATGTTTTTACCAGCATTGAGCTGAGATGTAGCTGCTACAATGAGCTCAGTTTCACCAGGTGTTTGCTAATTGCTGCTGGCTAGTCTGAAGGAGCTGAGTGGGTGGGTATGTTTGTGATGGGGAATATTATTATTACATTATTGTTTTTCTCTTTTCCTCTCTTTCTGAGAAAAATTGGATGACAAAAGTCTTTGGTCCAGTGCTTTGGTTTCAACTAACCCTTTTTTTGAAGAACATTTTTGCTTACATAATTCATTGTGTCTGTTTTGTTTATTTCTTTTGGATAATTACAATGTCTTGGAATCTTTTTGTTAAATATTCATTAGAATTTAAGGTTTATTGATCTTTGAATAATGTTTTCTTTCCAATATTATATATATATATATATATACATATATTTATGAAGTTTCATTTGGTAAATAATGACACTTTTATTGCAAAGTTGCATTAAAACTTGCGTTAAAAGTCCATTAATAGGTAGATGGGTCATTTTATTTATATAGCATATTTTCAGCAGCATAGAGAGTTCAAAGTGCTTTACATAAATTAGAAGAAAATACAAACAAAACAACAAAACCAAAAGAAAGACAAAAATATTAGGGTAACAGCAAAAAAAGTTAAATATTGGTTCTCCATGTTTGATTCTGGGATCGCTAAGTACTCCACGATTTATAAACTAACAGGCGGTCGTAGACATTCATGAACATTCCTTCATGTTCAAATAAAGTCTTTACCAGTTTGACCTCCTGAAACCTGCATTGATTGGACAAGTTGCCAGTCAAAGACCAGTATTAATATCAGAAATCAATATCAACCCAAACTTTCATATTAATGCATTCCAAATCATATGGTTTCAAAAACCTACAAGCTTGTTTTTATCTGCATTCCTGCAGGTGATCATATAAAAGTTAGAGAGTCAGACACCTACAGACCATTTCTTTCAGTCTGTTTTGATCAAAGGTCACGAACAGATTCATATGATGCAAACACACAGCGAAATCAGCTTTAAGGTGATTAGGCGCCCAGATTTGGACCAGCCGGGTCACAAGGCCACACACAGGCCACACACACTGCTAAGTGTTTCGCAGCACATCTAATCAGCTTTTCCTTCACACCCTCCCACAGACCCGGACACGACCCCATCACACATGCTTCAACGCGGACTCAAACGCGGCGTGAGGCCTCTTAAGTAGATCAGACGCTATGGATCTAAACGCTGGGTGGTATGACCCCGCTCAGATAAAGGCTGGTGGTGTGAAACAGGCGAGTTATGAGGGAATGAAGCAGAGCTACAGAAATAAATTATTTTAATATACTGAATTGTTTTGAGGCTAATCCACACTCACCTGACACTTTATTAGGTGCAATAAAGTGTCAGTAATTTGTGAGCTATTGCTGTCTTTTTTCAAACTTTGTTCCAGATTTTTGGTTCATAATTTTGTTGACATTTGATAAAATTACAATTTTGCTGAGGTAAAATCTGAAAGTGATTAATATAATATCTGTCTGAGTTCCAGCTGGTTTTATCAGCTGGGTTTTCAGCCTTGATTTAAAGAACTCAGTATTTCAGCTGTTTTTCAGTTTTCTAGAAGGTTGTTTCAGATTTGAGGTGCATAGAAGCTGAATGCTGGTTCTCCATGTTTGGATCAGAGGATGTAGAGCTTTAATGCAGTAACTAATTACGAAACAATCAATAAACACTTTGGTTGTAGTTACCCAGAATGCCTTTTACTGTAGTCCACTTCCTGTTTTTGGAGCGCTTGTTGTTCTCTTGTTGAACCGCACCAGAGTTCAGTTCAACCAAACCAAGACTGAGGTTTTCAGATGGGCCACCGTTTGCATTTCTTGGTGCGCTTTAGAGATTGATTGAGTCTTCACACCTTCGCTAAACAACCGAACTTCCAATACAAACAAAGAGTTCAATTAAAGTGCATTGAACATGGCTGCTGTGAATCCACTCTAACATTATTTGAATCCCTTCTGCATTTCCTACAAAACAAAGTTGCTTGGTGCCGGCCGTTTTTCCCTGCCGTCATTTTATCCCCACTTTGCTAATGGACATGACTGTATGTTAAAACGCACAAATTAGTGATTTATTTTAAAATATTTCTATTCCATCTGCACCAAAATGACTAATTAGTAAAACACAGTAGATGTGGAGGACAGTTTGGAGGACAGAAGTTCTTTGGCCAGTTTCTATTTAGTGTTTGCATGTCTGTGGACATCCTGCTGGAAGCGGCTCTGTACTGAGATGAACCTCAGCAGGATCAGGTGTCTTCTTCAGCTTTGGACGCTGTAAACACGCGTCTTCGCCGCCTCCTGTCTCTGCAGACGTTATCCAGGAGCTAATGGCTTCACTCGGAGTTGGACGCCACTGGATAGCGCTCATAATTTAGCCAGGCTCAAATTATCGGGATGGAATGAGGATGACGGGAAAAGGCCTCTGGGGGTGAAAGTGATCATGTAAGAATTAGGAGGGAATTTTGGACTCGCAAGCTTCCAAGTTTCAAGATCCAAAAGCTACTTGACCTGTTTTCTGTTGTGACCTGATTGCCATTTTTATTTTTTGTGGCGATGCTTTATCACGTCAGAGTGGCTGAGGTGAATTAGCTTAACCTCCGCAGGCCTTGTGCGATACTTTTACTGCTCTAACTTTTCATTTTCCCAATGAAGCAATGGGATTTGGATGTTTTTCAGTGCAGGTAATGTCTGTATATGTTTCTGTAGGGAATGCCTGTAGAGCACGCCACCTTGCCGGTGAGTATTGGCGTGAGAAATGCAGTGGCGTTTACCTTACTGACCTGCTTAACCCTGCGGTCCGGTCCAACAGCAAGCATGTGGGAGAGGAACGCAGCAATGCATGTTTGAACTTGATGTGGTTAAATGTGTTTCTCTGCTGCAGTAAGAAAGAAATAACTGCTCACCTGCTCATGTTGTGTGTTCAAGTCAGTTTAATTAACTGGATTTATGCTTAACACATTTGCTTCAATTCC